ACAGGACAATTTTCGTGGAAGTACCTTCTCAAGTAAAAATTTATTCACATTTCCTTTCCTTTTGATTCTAAATACAACGTAAATGTACAATGTAAATAAATTATTCACTAAGTTCGAATTACAAATAATTAGGTGTGAACATGGTTAAAATTTGAGACGAAAGTGGAGATAACGTCATGACATGACATGAGATGTGGGTGGAAATAAAATCAGAATTTCTAACCACCAGAACAACCTTCATCGGGAAGACCAAGTTGACCAGCTTTGTGGCAGGATATAGATGACAAAAGCCCCATGAAAATGATGATGAACAAGAAAGAAATAAAATTCGTACGAAGATTGAAATCCATGGTTTTTTTTTGTATTGAACAATTTAAATTTTAACTGTTGGAAGTAACTTGTCACTAATTCAGTTGTAAATTTAATTATAATCTTCACACCGAATGATTTCACCTTTTATACAACTTTCTCCCAATTTCAATTTGTTTTTTGGTCTCAATAAAGTTTCCTGAATAAACTCAACCCAAAATTCATCTACGTAGATGTAAATTGATAAGTCAATAGAAATTAAACTCTCAAAAAGTATACAGGGTGTTTTATTTGTATTTACGACATTTGAAATGCATTAGCTTTCAACGAATAACTAATTTTAGAGACTTGACTTTTACTTCAATAGCTAATTGAACTTTACATTCTTTTTCTAGAGTTAGATTAAATTCAAAAACATTTTTATGCTCGAAAAATGAAGCAAATTTTAGAATGATAAAAAATTGATTTTTTAGTTTTTCTCTAAAGCCACAGCTTCATGACCTCTGAACTTTTCTGTGTGATTACTCTACAGATCCATCTTACTAACTAGTTAGGTTTATTCTATGCTTAGGCCATTCGAGAGGTGTGGCTTTTTGTGAGACGACAAAAATTGTGAGTTCTAATTCAAACACCCTGTACTTTATTCAGCCATTTAACCGTTTGAGTACCAATTCCAGAGTAGATTGATCTAATTTAATTCTCCAAGTTTAATCATCTGCATTTCTTAGGTGCCTGATATCAGGTAATTAGACTTCAGCTTTCAAGTGCTTGTAATAAATAATCGTTTTGGTCTCAATAAAGTTTCCTGAATAAACTCAACCCAAATTTCATCTACGTAGATGTAAATTGTTAATAGTAAAAGCTAAAGTTACCCGACTTGGTTATTCAATACAATACGATCACATTGATCCACGACAATTAAAACCTTCCCTTAATTGAAAATGTCTCTGGTCTTTTCTTGCTGGACAAATTAACGGTACAACGGGCTACGAAGAAGCGGCCTCACAAGGAATCATCCTTGGTATCAATGCAGCTTCAAAATCTCAATCAAAAGAGGCATTAATTGTTCCCCGTTCAATTAGTTATATCGGCGTTTTAATCGACGACCTGACGACCGTCGGATAATTGGACCACCGTATGTTCACAGCTCGAGCACAATTTAGACTCTACATGAGACCAGATAATGCTGATTTACGTTTAACTCAATTAGGTAATTTTACAACCAAACCAACCATTGAATCTTATCATAATTTGCTGTAAATTCAATGTCACATAATCACATTTATCTTCATCATCATCCTTCATCTTTGTATTTCTTTCTCCTGTTTTTCCAGGTTATCAACAAGGTTGTGTTCCCCAAAAACGTCTCAGTCTATTGGTACCTATTTACAACCTTGAATTGGACCTTTTGATAATAGTAAACTTACAATTAGTCAGCTGATCTAATTTCAACCATTATCTTCAAAATTATTGTAATTTAGTAATTTTTCCCAAGACTTTTTATCAACCAATTTATTCAACCAGAAATTAGATTAGTTTGTGATGATGAATATTAAGTAACGTTATAAATTAAGTAAATAAATTTTAGTTAACAAAAAATTTCTAGTTGATTCAGTTTTAATTGTCTATTTTTCTAAGGTGAGTGCACTCCAATACACACTTAAGTTAACTCTGTTTTCACTATCACTATCTAATGGATACATACATGTAAATAGAAAAAGAGACAAAAGATTACCGCAAAATTAGTTAATTTCTCTTGTCCAATATGATTATTTTGTTAAAATGAGTAAATTAGTGATTTTTAACAAATTTAATATTCTAAATCAAATGGATTCTGGTGTTTCTCAGTTTGTATTAGATTTTTATGTCAGTCCAGCCGAGATTAATAAGAAACTCATGCTCTCAGTGAAAACTACCAACAAAAATGTCGACTACCAAATAAAAATACAACAATGAATAATGGAATTCATGAATTTGTTTTTCAAGCAATTATCAAAGGCTTTCCAATAAATCATCGAATCATAAAAGCAAAGGCAATTTCAATTGCAGATAAAGAAGGTATCAAATTCAAAGCAAGTAATAATTATTAATAGTTTTCTAAGGTGAAGAAAGGGGCTAATTTGCCTACAAAGCTAGAGGGGAAGCCAAATCAGCTGATTTGGATAAAGTTAATAATTGGTTCAAAAATGATTTACCAAAGATAATCAATGATCATCCAGGTTATGATATTTTAACGCTGATGAAACAGGTCGTCAATTCAAAGCGATTTACTAAAAAAGTTATTACAGCAAAACCTTTCTAAGGGAATATTTTTTTGATGCTACCTATTGATTTGACTTTTTTTCGTTGATTAATGTTGGTCAATTAAATTTGTATACACAAGGTTCAGATAAACATGGTGTCAAAGTTTCAAAGGAAAGGGTCAAATATTATTATGTGTTGGTAAAATGGTGAGAGGAAAGATCCACTTGTGATTGGTAAAAGTAAAAAACCTTCGAATCGAAGTTCCGTTGAAGATTAGATTAGACCTTAGATAAGTTCGACTGAAGACGTTTGTACGTAAACGCAAACGACAAAAGGTTTGGTTTTTCTTCGTAAAATAGAATATTCAGATTAATTATCATTTCAGTCCAAAAATTAAGAAACTTTAACTTTTAAAATTTTAATTAAAATTCACCATCACAAATATAATTAGAGAAGCTCAAGTCATTCAAAAAATAAGAAAACTGAGACTATTTAAATTCTAATTTAAATTTTAGGCGACCACCAAGACCATTACCATGTTTTGCAAATTACAGCCAAACGAAATGAGTTTGAGGGTAATTTTATATCATTCGCGCAGCAAAGATGATAACAACAGTTTATTTACCACCATTACCACCACCACTACCACCACCAACACTATCACCTACTGGATTAAGCCCTCGATTACCACCTGGATTACTATCAAGCATTTCACCTAGAAAACCACCAAACAAACCACTAAGCAAACTACTAAGCGAACTAAGCAAATCACTAAGCAAATTAACAAGATCACCTTCATCATTATCAGCAATCTGGCAGGATATAGATGACAAAAGCCCCATGATGATGAACAAGAAATAAATAAAATGCATACGTAGATTGAAACCCATGGTTTTTTTATTAAACAATTTAAATTTTAACTGTTGGAAGTTACTTGTCACTAATTCAGATGAAAATTTAATTATAATCTTCATATCGAATGTTTTCACCTTCTATACAACTTTCTATTACTTTCAATTTGTTTTTTGGTTTCAATAAAACTTCCTGAATAAACTCAACCCAAAATTCATCTACGTAAATGTAAATTGTTAAGTCGAGAGAAATTAAACTCTCAAACAGTATACAGGGTGCTTTCATTTGTATTCACGACATTTGAAATGCCTTAGTTTTCAACGAATAACTGATTTACAGTAAGAGACTTGACTTTTACTCCAATAGCAAGTTAATCGTGAGTTTAAAACGAAAAGTCGTAATAGCCGAACTTTACATTCTTTGACGAAGAGTTAGATTAAACTCAAAAATATTTTTATGCTCAAAAAATGAGGCAAATTTTAGATTGATTTTTTAGCTTTTGAGTCAATCCGATAGATGTAATGAAATGAGTCTCTTGATGGTATGATTTTGAACGATAGTGGAAATCGAACTTTGGGGATTAAAATTTCAGTGTTTTCCAACTCATGCGAGAGATAATTATTCAAAGATTAATACTCTTTTAGAACGACTGATTATCCAAGGAAATAATTACAACCGTCTTCTCGTTCAACACCTCGAATGATGATTTGTAAACATTTGCACGAAAAAGGTAAATCGTTTCAATGTTTTGATTATCCTCTTGTAACTATTGTCTTGAGTCTTGCTACTAATCAGTGTTTCAAGAAATTGGTGGATTCATCTGAGCCATGTATGTTAACAGCCAAGTGGCATAACAAGCGACCGAAGTTATGATCAACATTGTTTGAATGACCCCTCTTTCTGATGATCGAGGGACAAACATCGGTATCACACCTCCAACTGCTCCCCAAAAGGCAGTAAAAATTATGATGATTGGAATGGAAGCAGGCATCACGGAAAAATAATCAACAATTTTTTCCAAGAAAAGAAAAAGGAACAACCAAATCTAAGAGAAACACAAAAGGGAAGATTTTAAATACAATTAGTTTGTGATTCAAGGAGACGAGATTTACCTAGAGATGGAAAAATAATTCAAATAAAATGATAAAACTCACCTTAGGAAAATAGAAAATAATTGAAAGTAAATCAATACAATTGTCACATTAACCTTGTTGATTGAAAAACAATCAAGATTTTCTGTCAGTCAACTTTTACATTCAAGAGATTTCGTTTCCATGGTTACATGTTGACAGCGATTTTTGATTGAATCAAATTAACAATTTTTTGTTGATTATAAATTTTTATCTTCTAATTTTATATTAATATTCGTCATCACCAACTAATTTAATTTCTTGCTAAAATTGTTATTAGCTATTCAATCCAATGAAACATATTGGATCAATTATTAATCTTCTAGAACAATCAATTGGTCTGATTATTGATTGAATTTGCAGTTCGATAATTTTCCAGAGAATTGAGTATCGTCAGTATGTAAGATTTGTTGACCAGAATTGTCAACAAATCAATCAACTTGGATTAGTGAATAGATTGTGATATTTGTATTGTGTATAATATATTATATTATTTGATATGTTTAACAAGACCAAAAATATTTGATTATTTTCATTTTGTTTATCATAAGGAGGAAGAAGATAATATCTTTTAAGAGTGAAGACTTGGTTACAATTGGATTTTACAATTAATGGGATTTTTTTATCAACCTTTGATTATTGATTATAATCTGATTTGATTGTAGTGACAGTGGAAAATTATGTTTAGTAAGATTGGTTGGAACAAAAAGGAAAATTTGTTTCTATGATTTGATTATCCTCTTGTAATTATTTTCTCAAGTCTGAATACTAATCAGTGTTTCCAGGAATCGGTCAATTTGGGTTATATAAGATAAACATTTAGATCGTGATTGTGATGATTAACGTGAAGATTTAGTGAGCAGTTAAGATTTTTATATTATTGTTTCAACAGAAAAGACCAGCAATTAACTCTTATTTTTTGTTCTCAATTTTGATTGATAAACATTCAATAGGTGGGGAAACGTTTGTGTAGAATCGGGTAAAAGAAACATTGATTATGTTGATAATGGAGAAGTTGATGATAGAATACTGAAAACTGATGATGGAACAATTAGTTGAATATTATTCGTTTCTCAGTTTTTCAGTTCCATCATGAATTTTAATCCAAAAAGGGTTAGATTTTCATGGAAATAATAATTGATATCTTCTCTTCTTCTAAACTGGTGGTAAACACTTTTTGATGAATTCAGCAGCATCTCTCATTTCCTATGAGGGAAAAAGAAGATAATTAGATTGTGGATAGAATTTAATTTAGAGATAATTAGGGAGAGAAAATGATTTACCTCATTACAAGATGAAAAGCTCGTGTTTGGTAATTTAAGATTGAAATTACACTCAGAGCAAAATGATTATTGAAAATAATTTCTCAAATGACTTTAATAATTGCATAAAATTGTTACATAATATTTAATGTATGATAAGATTAATGTTCCAGCTAATGAAAAATTAGATTTCAGATTGATTGTGAGCCACGAGGTCACTAAGATTACCTCCGACTACCTAGATGATTTTTAATAAAATATTCTTATTACTTCTTGTCACCCTTATCCTCACACCCCCATTGACCACCCTTACCCTTATTCTTATCACCCCATTGACCACCCTTACCATTACCCTTATCCTCATCACCCCATCCATGATCCTTACCCACATTACCATTACCTGATCATCCGAGGATTACGCTTAAATAGAATACGGTCATTAGAATCTTTATTACCATTGCGATCACTCTTTTCAATACCAAGATCACCGTGGACCACCATTACCACCAAGACCACAATTACCTTCTGGAGTTTTAGGAAGAGAACATGCGAATCATCAGTGGCACCAGAACAATGGCATGATAATGATGACAAAAGCTCATGAAAATGATGAAGGACAAGAAAGAATTGATATCCATGCGAAATTGAAATCCATGGTTTTTTTTATTAAACAATTTAAATTTTAACTGTTGGAAGTTACTTGTCACTAATTCAGATGAAAATTTAATTATAATCTTCATATCGAATGTTTTCACCTTCTATACAACTTTCTATTACTTTCAATTTGTTTTTTGGTTTCAATAAAACTTCCTGAATAAACTCAACCCAAAATTCATCTACGTAAATGTAAATTGTTAAGTCGAGAGAAATTAAACTCTCAAACAGTATACAGGGTGCTTTCATTTGTATTCACGACATTTGAAATGCCTTAGTTTTCAACGAATAACTGATTTACAGTAAGAGACTTGACTTTTACTCCAATAGCAAGTTAATCGTGAGTTTAAAACGAAAAGTCGTAATAGCCGAACTTTACATTCTTTGACGAAGAGTTAGATTAAACTCAAAAATATTTTTATGCTCAAAAAATGAGGCAAATTTTAGATTGATTTTTTAGCTTTTGAGTCAATCCGATAGATGTAATGAAATGAGTCTCTTGATGGTATGATTTTGAACGATAGTGGAAATCGAACTTTTGGGGATTAAAATTTCGAGTGTTTTCCAACTCATGCGAGAGAGATAATTATTCAAAGATTAATACTCTTTTTAGAACGACTGATTATCCAAGGAAATAATTACAACCGTCTTCTCGTTCAACACCTCGAATGATGATTTGTAAACATTTGCACGAAAAAGGTAAATCGTTTCAATGTTTTGATTATCCTCTTGTAACTATTGTCTTGAGTCTTGCTACTAATCAGTGTTTCAAGAAATTGGTGGATTCATCTGAGCCATGTATGTTAACAGCCAAGTGGCATAACAAGCGACCGAAGTTATGATCAACATTGTTTGAATGACCCCTCTTTCTGATGATCGAGGGACAAACATCGGTATCACACCTCCAACTGCTCCCCAAAAGGCAGTAAAAATTATGATGATTGGAATGGAAGCAGGCATCACGGAAAAATAATCAACAATTTTTTCCAAGAAAGAAAAGGAACAACCAAATCTAAGAGAAACACAAAAGGGAAGATTTTAAATACAATTAGTTCGTGATTCAAGGAGACAGATTTAACAAGAGATGGAAAAATAATTCACATGAAATGATAAAACTCACCTTAGGAAAATAGAAAATAATTGAAAGTAAATCAATACAATTGTAACATTAACCTTGTTGATTGAAAAACAATCAAGATTTTCTGTCAGTTCAACTTTTACAATCAAGAGATTCCGTTTCCATGGTTACATGTTGACCGCGATTTTTGATTGAATCAAATAAACAATTCTTTGTTGATTACAATTTATTCAACTTCTAATTTTAATTAATATTTGTCATCACCAACTATTTTAATTTCTTGCTAAAATTGTTATTGACTATCCAATCCAGTAAAACGTATTGGATCAATTGTTAATCTTATAGAACAATCAATTGGTCTGATTGTTGATTGAACTTAAAGTTTGATAATTTACCAGAGAATTGAGTATCGTCAGTATGTAAGATTTGTTGACCAGAATTGTCAACAAATCAATCAACTGGATTAATGAATAGATTGTGATATTTGTATTGTGTATAATATATTATATTATTTGATATGTTTAACAAGACCAAAAATATTTGATTATTTTCATTTTGTTTATCATAAGGAGGAAGATAATATCTTTTAGAGTGAAGACTTGGTTACAATTGGATTTTACAATTAATGGGATTTTTTTTATCAACCTTTGATTATTGATTATAATCTGATTTGATTGTAGTGACAGTGGAAAATTATGTTTAGTAAGATTGATTGGAACAAAAAGGAAAATTTGTTTCTATGATTTGATTATCCTCTTGTAATTATTTTCTCAAGTCTGAATACTAATCAGTGTTTCCAGGAATCGGTGAATTTGGGTTATATAAGATAAACATTTAGATCGTGATTGTGATTATTAACGTGAAGATTTAGTGAGCAGTTAAGATTTTTAGATTATTGTTTCAACAGAAAAGACCAGCAATTAACTCTTATTTTTTGTTCTCAATTTTGATTGATTAACATTCATTAGGTGGGGAAACGTTTGTGTAGAATCGGGTAAAAGAAACATTGATAATGGAGAAGTTGATGATTGAATACTGAAAACTGATGATGGAACAATTAGTTGAACATTATTCGTTTCTCAGTTTTTCAGTTCCATCATGAATTTTAATCCAAAAAGGGTTAGAGTTTCATGGAAATATTAATTGATATTTTCTCTTCTTCTAAACTGGTGGTAAACACTTTTTGATGAATTCAGCAGCATCTCTCATTTCCTAAGAGGGAAAAAGAAGATAATTAGATTGTGGATAGAATTTAATTTAGAGATAATTAGGGAGAGAAAATGATTTACCTCATTACAAGATGAAAAGCTCGTGTTTGGTAATTTAAGATTGAAATTAAACTCAGAGCAAAATGATTATTGAAAATAATTTCTCAAATGACTTTAATAATTGCATAAAATTGTTACATAATATTTAATGTATGATAAGATTAATGTTCCAGCTAATGAAAAATTAGATTTCAGATTGATTGTGAGCCACGAGGTCACTAAGATTACCTCCGACTACCTAGATGATTTTTAATAAAATATTCTTATTACTTCTTGTCACCCTTATCCTCACACCCCCATTGACCACCCTTACCCTTATTCTTATCACCCCATTGACCACCCTTACCATTACCCTTATCCTCATCACCCCATCCATGATCCTTACCCACATTACCATTACCCTGATCATCCCGAGGATTACGCTTAAATAGAATACGGTCATTAGAATCTTTATTACCATTGCGATCACTCTTTTCAATACCAAGATCACCACGTGGACCACCATTACCACCAAGACCACAATTACCTTCTGGAGTTTTAGGAAAGAGAACATGCGAATCATCAGTGGCACCAGAACAATGGCATGATAATGATGACAAAAGGCTCATGAAAATGATGAAGGACAAGAAAGAATTGATATCCATGCGGAAATTGAAATCCATGGTTTTTTTTTGTATTAAACAATTTAAATTTTAACTGTTGGAAGTTACTTGTCCCCAATTCAGTTGGAAATTTAATTGTTATCTTGTCACCGAATGGTTTTACCTTTTATACAACTTTCTTCCAATTTAAATTTTTTGTTTTCTTCTCAATAAAGTTCCCTTAATAAACTCAACCCAACATTTATCTACGTAGATATACTGGAAATTGTTTGGCTAATAGAAATTAAACCCACAGAAAGTATACAGGGTGTTTTTATTTGTACTCATGACGTTAGAAATGCCATAACTTTCAATGAATCACTGATTTTAGAGAATAGCAAGTTAATCGTGAGTTTAAATCGAAGTTAGTTTAAAGTGGGTGACAAAATTTTTCGTACACTAGTTTTTCGATTATAAATGAAAAGATAGATCATTTTGACTTTACTTTTCTGTTTTAAATAGTCATTTAGATGAGAATGAAGAAGTTTAATTAATAAAAATTCGGTCAGGAATTCAGTATATCCAGTCAGATTTTTTTAATATTGAGAAAAAAATGAGACAAAATTTTTTGTACACCTCGACCATAATTAATAGAGGTTTTCTTTTGATTTGATTGTTAATTAAATTGATTAATTATGTTATTACAATCAATTTAAGACCCTTTTTGATCAAAATCGGACAAGAAATAAAAAAGTTTCACCAGATTGAATTTAACATGGGAGTCTATGGACAATGACGGGTTTTGGCCTGGTACTCAGAGAATATTCAGGCCAATGTCATGAAAATTCAATTACTTATTATCCTTTATGTTATTAACAATAATTTAAAATTAAAATCATAATATTAGCGCTATTTTTTACATAATAAGGCCAAAAACCAAAAAATTAGAAAAAATCTTAAAAAATTATCATATTACAGTCAAACCATTCAGGTTGAACCAAGTTTCTATTTAGCACAGAATAATTTCTATTTAGTTTGGACATGCCATCGGCTAATCCATCGGGTTAATCTCTTTTCTCTAAAAGGGTTGGAATTTTTTCTATTTCCACGGGAAGATTTTCTATTTAGTTTGAACATTTTCTTCTGGTTTCTTATTATTTCTCCTTCAAGACTTTTTCCAATGCAAATCATCACGTTCTCATAATATCATAACTCTCATAACCTCTAGTTCTCATAAAATTATAAAATCGAAAATTATAATCGATTCAACCCAAATACACCTGATGATGTTTTTCAATGAGTTGATCTTGCAAGTTAAATGGCCGCTGAAAACGATTGAATCAATTATTATGAGAACATTATGATTTGCATTGAAATCTTATCTACAATCCAATATTTCAGTTAATTTATAATAATCTAAGTTCAAAAGTTAACAACAAATTAAAGTGTCTAAAAATAAACAGCCAATTCTGTACCTTCTCCATACTCAGTCCATATTTCCAATTGACTTCTCAATTTCTTTAAGACATAAAATCGGTGAAAGGCTTCAATTGAAGATTTAATTGTTGAACCTCAAGGCGATGGTTACACTTGCAAAGGAGTTATAACATCTACTGGAGAGCGAATCGAAAGTTCATCGGTTATCATTACAACGGGTACTTTTCTTCGAGGAATGATCTTGTTGGGCTGAATATTATTGAAACGAATTAGAATCGAAAGTAAATTAGATCGGAAAAGTTAATTTTCTATTATTTTTTTCTAATTGTTCATCTTTTTCCTAATTCTAAATTGTTACTCCCACAGCTCAATATGAAAAATTGGTTAGGAGTGAAAAAAATGCAAATCTAATATGATTTACAGAAAGAAATTTATTTATCTAACTTCAAATTTTATTTATTAGGTTGTCCCATGCAAAATGGTGGAAGTTTATTTTCGATTTTTGCTTTGATTAGTGGTTCGATTAATATTTGTTTTTTGGTCTCAATAAAGTTTCCTGAATAAACTCAACCCAAAATTCATCTACGTAAATGTAAGTTGATAAGTCAATAGAAACTAAGCTCTCAAAAAATATACAGGGTGTTTTTATTTGGATTCACAACGTTTGAAATGCCAAAGCTTTCAACGAATAACTGATTTTTAAGACTTGACTTTTACTTCAATAGCAAGTTAATCGTGAGTTCAAATCGAAAAGTCGTAATAGCCGAATTTTACATTCTTTTTCTAGAGTTAGATTAAACTCAAAAACATTTTTATGCTCGAAAAATGAAGCAAATTTTAGAATGATAAAAAACTGATTTTTTAGCTTTTCTCTAAAGCCTCAGCTTCATGACCTCTCAACTTTCCTATGTGATTACTTCACAAAGATCCATCTTGTTGTGTTTATACTATGCTTAGGTCATTCGAGAGTGTGTTTGTTTTATTGTAAAATCGTTTATAAAAGCAAAAACCGTGAGTTCAAATATAAGGACCGGACAGTTATATCGGCGTTTTGGTCGATGACCTGACAACCGTCGGAGTAATTGAACCTTACCGTATGTTAGGTCAAAAATTGTCCTTTAAATCAAAGAAATAATGAACCATTTAAATCAATGCGACTTCAATTGTCAAACCAATCAAATGTTTATTTAAGCTCTTTCCATGGTTTAATCGTCAAGTTTTAGTTCCACGTAAATTAAACCTTTAGAAGTTGACTTTTTTGTCCAATCCTTTCCAAACAATTAATTCATGTTTAATGTTACCAAACTTTTCAGTATTATTATCATTAGATAATTAAATGTTAATCCGAATAATGATGATGATTATCATGTTAGTGTCATCTTGAAAATATCGGCTCATGATTAATATCAAGTAAATTACTATTCTCACAAGATCCACTAGTTGTAAAGTGTTGCTAATCCAAATGGCACAAAACTCAATCAATTATACCTATCCAACGATTATAGCTACAGACACAAAATTTGCTAGAGATATAGTCAGCATCATATTATTGAAGAAAATTATTAAAATTTTCGAAAAAATTTCTTATTTTCAGTGCTAGAGGTCTAATTGCGCAAGGTGATAATATCTGGTCTGGGAACGGTAGAATTTGAGTTTTTAATTTTTTTGCGTTTTTTTGATCAGTTTTTAATCCTGATTTTGATAAAATACCCTAGCTGACTATGCCACAACTGCATTACGATTTAAAGTATAAAAAAATATTGAATATAAGGATAGTTATGAGCATTTGAAGTTGAATAAAAAATTAAGTTTTCAACTTTTCTGACTTTTCGAAAAATCTTCTCTTTTTCAATGGGCTTTTAGCCTAAGGGATAAGCTTTCCCGAAGATTTTTCAGTGACCTTGCGAACTTAATGTCACTGTGTTGTAATTAAAATAGTTACAGATTTGAGTTTCAGCACAATTGTATTCCAATCCTTTGTCTATATTTTAGTGAAAAATTAATCTCTCTAACATAAATAGTTTACGAAATATATGTGTTTGAAATTTGTGCCATTTGGGTTAGCAACACTTTACCTTGATATTCATAGAGAGATCGGTTATTTGGATGATTCTGTGAAAGAAAAGAAAAGACAAATTTGATTAGTCATGTCAAACAATTAATAAAGAAAAGTATTTCTATTTTGAATAAACATCGAAATCGTAACCATTTCATCTGATCGTTTATGCAGTCGATCAATTGATTTGTTTTTTGTTGGTTTACTTTTATATTCGTTATAATCTGGCTATTCTATCAAAATGATGAGCGAAATTTTTAAGACGAAATTAAGTCACAACGAAGAAGATTCTATAAAATATATGTGTGGTTCAATCTCTTTCTGCCTTCTAAAAATTTCTTCTCATCTGATTATAACCAAAGTCTCTCAAATCGTTCGTAACATATACAGGGCGTAACAACCAAATATCCCTACTTTTGGCTCCTTATTGCTTGTAGGCCATTTTCTGGGTCCGATTTTTTTCTTTGCGATTCTACAGAGAAAATGTGAAAGTTTTGTTACGTTTTTATCTGAAACTTTTCCGTGGAGCCGTTGATGAGTTGTGGCCTCCCAAAGTCGGAAAAGTGGTACATTTCGGTGCGAGAATTTTTTCCAGAAACTTTTTCCAGCCATTTGAAAGTGCAAAATTTTGCAAACAAACTGAGCTAATCAGATTTTTGATCTGACTTTCCGTTCAGGAGTAATCGATATTCAAAGGTAGGGAATAATCCCGATGTCTTTCATAGGAAATTTTCGGACTTTTTTGATTGTCTTGAAATTAAGTCCTACTAAATAGCTAATACCGAAAATGGTATTGAAGTCAAAAAAATTCAATGAAATGCACTTATTGGTCTGAAATTAATGCTTATTGTTTGCATTCGGTAGATAAATTAACCACATGATAAACTTATTTAACGACTAATGAGAGAGGTTTTTTTGACTTCTAATGACTTGGGGCAAACAGTCGGATCGGAATAAAAAAGTTCATTAGGACACCATGATGTTCAAGATCAGACCAACTTTTAATAACGAGTTCAGGGAAGGGAAATTACATTACGTTCGAATTACAAATAATTAGATAGGGACAATGGTTAAAATTTGAGACGAAAGTGGAGATAACGTCATTGCATAACATGAGATGTGGGTGAAAATAAAATTAGAATTTCTAACCACGACCATCACCACTACAATTTTCATCGGGAAGACCAAAACGAGTTTTGTGGCAGGATATAGATGACAAAAGCCCCATGAAAATGATGATGAACAAAAAAGAAATAAAATTCGTACGAAGATTGAAATCCATAGTTTTGTTTGTATTGAACAATATAAATTTTAACTGTTGGAAGTTACTTGTCACTAATTCAGTTGAAAATTTAATTATAATCTTGTTACCGAATGGTTTCACCTTTTATACAACTTTCTCCCGTTTCAAAAGTTCTGTTTTCGTCTCAATAAAGTTTCCTGAATAAACTCAACCCAAAATTCATCTACGTAAATTTAAATTGATAAGTAAATAGAAACTAAACTCTCAAAAAGTATACAGGGTATTTTCATTTGTACTCCTGATGTCTGAAATGCTATAACTTTCAACGAATGACTGATTTTAGAGACATAAATTGTTAATAGAAATTGAATTCTCCGAATGTATAATTTCCGTATCCGTTTAATTGTTTGAGTAACAATTCAACCTTTTCCACGTTTAATCATCTGCATTTTCATGATGATCTCATGTACTCACATTTTAGTGATTTTATTCTAGTGCAAGTTGATTTAAGACTAGTGTTATTAATAAATACAGAAAACGATCAGGCAATTAGACTATTGCTTTCAACTACACACTGTACCTCTAATTAATGTTCAATCAATAATGTAAAATCTCTTGAAGGTTTTTTGAAATCATTTTGTAAGATATTGGAAGTTTAAGAATATTATCAATAGATCCACGATGATACTAGGATAGTCTCAAAAATAAGTTTCAGATCATTCTCGACACTTGGGACTAATCGCCGTCCATTTATTTAAATACAACGTCATCGTGGCCTGAGCACTTTGGATATTTTTTTACCAAAACAAATTTATTTTCTGTAAGGGCATGAAAAGTTGTCGATAAATTTCATGGTCTAAAAACTTTTCGTTGCTGAGAAAAAGCGACCTGAAGTTTTAACTTCGAACTCGATTTTCTCAAAAACTACTGATCAGATCAGAAAAAAATAAATAAGTACCAATGGATCAGAATCTCCATGACATTGAAGAATTGGAACTTTCTTGTTACCCTGAACAAATGCATTAGGATATTCTTTATGAAGAGGTAGCCAGCAACTCAAGGCCAGAATACCGGCCAAAGGTTGAGAATAACGAAGTCCAGTGTGAAGGGAAAGTGCACCACCTTGAGAAAATCCACCAAGAAGAATACGATTTGAGAATATATTGTGTTTACTTTGTTCCTCTTCAATAATTTTCATAATGGATGCTGAAGCCTTCAAAATACCATATTCATTTGTGCCTTATACAGCCGTGAAAATTGAGTTTGTGTTTTTTATTTTATTCATTTGAGCATCTTGATTGATAAAAGCACAAACTCAATTTTCACGGCTGTATGTAAATAGTCAAGTGGCATAACTAACGATTGTCGATAGAAAAACAATCGAGATTTTCTGTCAGTTCAACTTTTACAATCAACAGATTCCGTTTCCATGGTTACATGTTGATCGCGATTTTTGAATGAATTAAACTAACAATTTTTCTGTTGATTATAATTTTTTATCTTCTAATTTTAATTAATATTCGTCATCACCAACTAATTTAATTTCTGACTACAATTGTTATTCAATTTAGTAAAACATATTGGATCAATTGTTAATCTGCTAGAATAATCAATTGGTTTGATTGTTGATTGAATTTCCCTAAACTGATTACAGATTAACTCTTTGATTGTGGACCAACTTTATAAACATATTCTAAAGCAGATGATACAAGACGAAGATCATTTTCGATACTTTTTGACCAATTTTCGACATCACCAAGTTCCTGAAATAGAAAATGGAAGAAAATCATTTTTAATAACAGATTAGAATTTAATGGTTGGCAATTTACGATTTACCTTGACTGATTTATTTAGGCTTTGCATTAGGGTTAACCATTGATTTGCCTGTTTTGAAAATTGAGTAATATTAGCGTGTAATTGTTTAGTCTCAGCATCCAATTTACATTGATTAAGATAAGCTTGAGCCACTCTGGAAATAATAATAGAAATCGACGAAAAATGAAACAGTTAAACGATTGATTATTATTCAAATTAGAAAATTAATTACCCATCATTAAGATGATCAACCATATGATGAGTTAATTCAACTACAGAATCAGAAGCTTCAGTTTTTTGCTTCTCAATCTCTTCTTTCCTCTCTTGTTGTTTACATTGATGTTCTTTTAACATGGAGGATAACATGATTTACTAATTCGATTTAACTTCTTTAGGACCGGTAACAGGAGCAGATGATTTATCAGTTGAATCGTTTTTCTTGACCTGATCAACTAGGGCTGATTTGTTGACACCAGGAGTATATGAATCGGTTATATCGAAATCAGAGACGAGATAATAAATTGAATCTACAAAAGCTTCATAAATGTCGGGAATGAATCTTAGAAAAAAATTGGGAATATTGAGCACAGAAATGGTAACTGCAATGATCAGGATTGCACCATAAGTCCGATCTGGATTAAAGTGTGAATGAGAATTGGGAGCTATACTCTTGAGATGACTGAATTGAAATGGTCTCCAGAAACAATTAACTCGACTGGTGTTGATTGAACGCTGTTGAACCAAAGATAATTGATTGGAACCCAATCGAAGCTGATTAACCTTCAAAGATGAAAATATTAATCTGCCAATACGATTACTATGTAAACAAATCATTCCATTTACACAAAAGATAAGGTTATCTCAAACCTAGAATTAGATGATCACTTATTTGACAGGAAGTAAACTAATTTTATAGCAGATTATGACTAAAACATCACAACAATCAAGTTAATTTACTTTTAATTCAATTGAATTTTTTTTCTAAATTGTTGCTCTTAAAATGGTTGAGCTTATTCGTACAACTATGGATAGGCTCTTTCCTCTTAAGGTCAGCTGGTGATGAAATGAATGTGTCGCCATCCGACGAATTATGTGATTAAGAAACACGAATTGGAAAATTTGACTCAATCTCGTTAAGTGACAATGTTATCAACTTGGATTGATAAATAGATTGTGATATTTTGTTATTGTTTGTTAATAAGAACAAAAAATAAATGAAAGAAAATAATTTCTTTAGAAAGAGAAAACTTGATTAAAAAGTATTATGCTCTTGGTTAAACCATTTCAAGGGAAAGAAACAGCAGCAAACAAATTCTATGACCAATTTTTTGAGATAATTGTTTGGGTCAAACTGGTCACTTGTGGTCCAATCAACGGATTCATCTGAGCCATGTATGTAAACAGCCAAGTGGCATAACAAGCGACCGAAGTTATGATCAACATTGTTTGAATGACCCCTCTTTCTGATGATCGAGGGACAAACATCGGGACCACACCTCCAACTGCTCCCCAAAAGGCAGTGAAAATTATGATGATTGGAATGGAAGCAGGCATAACAAAAAAAGAATCAACAATTTTTTCCAAGAAAAGAAAAAGGAACAACCAAATCTAAGAGAAACACAAAAGGGAAGATTTTAAATACAATTAGTTTGTGATTCAAGGAGACAGATTTACCAAGAGATGGAAAAATAATTCACATAAAATGATAAAACTCACCTTAGGAAAATAGAAAATAATTGAAAGTAAACCAATACAATTGTGACATTAACCTTGTTGATTGAAAAACAATCAAGATTTTCTGTCAGTTCAACTTTTACATTCAAGAGATTTCGTTTCCATGGTTACATGTTGACCGCGATTTTTGATTGAATCAAATTAACAATTTTTTGTTGATTAAATTTTTATCTTCTAATTTTAATTCCCGGTCTAGAAAAAGCTAAAGTTACCCGACCTGGTTATTCAATACAATACGATCACATTGATCCACGACAATTAAAACCTTCCCTTGAATTGAAAAAAGTCTCTGGTCTTTTCCTTGCTGGACAAATTAACGGTACAACGGGCTACGAAGAAGCGGCCTCACAAGGAATCAACGCCGGTATCAATGCAACTTCAAAATCTCAATCAAAAGAGGCATTAATTGTTCCCCGTTCAATTAGTTATATCGGCGTTTTGATCGATGACCTGACAACCGTCGGAGTAATTGAACCTTACCGTATGTTCACAGCTCGAGCACAATTTAGACTCTACATGAGACCAGATAATGCTGATTTACGTTTAACTCATTTAGGTAATTGTTACAACCAAATTAACCATTGAATCTTATCATAATTTGCTGATAATTCAATGTAACATGATCACATTTATATTCTTCGTAATTTTTGTCTTTCTTCTCCCTCTTTCTCCATTTGAAATTCTGAATCAATCCTGTTGACCAGAATTGTCAACAAACCAATCAACTTGGATTAATGAATAGATTGTGATATTTGTATTGTGTATAATATATTATATTATTTGATATGTTTAACAAGACCAAAAATATTTGATTATTTTCATTTTGTTTATCATAAGGAGGAAGAAGATAATATCTTTTAAGAGTGAAGACTTGGTTACAATTGGATTTTACAATTAATGGGATTTTTTTTATCAACCTTTGATTATTGATTATAATCTGATTTGATTGTAGTGACAGTGGAAAATTATGTTTAGTAAGATTGATTGGAACAAAAAGGAAAATTTGTTTCTATGATTTGATTATCCTCTTGTAATTATTTTCTCAAGTCTGAATACTAATCAGTGTTTCCAGGAATCGGTGAATTTGGGTTATATAAGATAAACATTTAGATCGTGATTGTGATGATTAACGTGAAGATTTAGTGAGCAGTTAAGATTTTTAGATTATTGTTTCAACAGAAAAGACCAGCAATTAACTCTTATTTTTTGTTCTCAATTTTGATTGATAAACATTCATTAAGTTTGTGTAGAGTTAAACGTTTGTGTAGAATCGGGTAAAAGAAACATTGATAATGTTGATAATGGAGAAGTTGATGATTGAATACTGAAAACTGATGATGGAAAAATTAGTTGAACATTATTCGTTTCTCAGTTTTTCAGTTCCATCATGAATTTTAATCCAAAAAGGGTTAGAGTTTCATGGAAATAATAATTGATATTTTCTCTTCTTCTAAACTGGTGGTAAACACTTTTTGATGAATTCAGCAGCATCTCTCATTTCCTAAGAGGGAAAAAGAAGATAATTAGATTGTGGATAGAATTTAATTTAGAGATAATTAGGGAGAGAAAATGATTTACCTCATTACAAGATGTATGTCCCATGTTTCGATAGACTTTAAACTCTGTTGTTTTAAGCATTTCTTTCAATATGTCGGCAGTTATGTTGCCCCACATTTTGGGTACCAATGGATCAGAATCTCCATGACATTGAAGAATTGGAACTTCCTTGTTACCCTGAACAAATGCATTAGGATATTCTTTATGAAGAGGTAGCCAGCAACTCAAGGCCAGAATACCGGCCAAAGGTTGAGAATAACGAAGTCCAGTGTGAAGGGAAAGTGCACCGCCTTGAGAAAATCCACCAAGAAGAATACGATTTGAGGGTATATTGTGTTTACTTTGTTCCTCTTCAATAATTTTCATAATGGATGCGGAAGCCTTCAAAATACCTTCTCCATCTTCAGGTCCATCATGGGTAAGGGTCATCAGGTCAAACCAAGAGGGCATAATCATACCAGCATTTAGAGTAACCGGTTGAACAGGAGCAGTGGGACAGATTAATTTACAGTAAGAAGGTTGTATTGCTGAGAGAGAATCAGCCCAACCATGACCTGTATCACCAAGACCATGAAGAAATATAATCTAAATGAGAAGAAAAAACAAAACGAAAGCTTTAATACATAAGACAAGCAAGAGAATAGAAAACAAAATTTCAATGGTTAACCATTTGAACCTCGCATAGAAATTGAACTTACCGTTGCGGTGTGTTTACCATCTCTGGAATCAATTACAACCGGTTTAGAGCCTGAAGCCATTTCGAATAAGTGTAAAGATGCCCGATTAATTATCCTAGGAATGTGTTTAATTGCCCTTTTAGCAGAGGAAAGGGCAGTCCGAGTTGACTTGAAAATGGGAATAGTGAAAGAGGAAACGGTGACTGAGTCAATAGAGGAAAATGAATCTAATTAAAGCGATAAAGGGAGAAACAAACGTAGACAATGAAGGAGAGAGACAGAGAAAATAACAATCAACTGAATTAATTGTGAAATTAAAATAATAAACAATAGAAAGTCAATAAAAGAGGAAGAAACAAACAAACGAAAATTATATCAACAAGAAAATGCGACAAAATAGAAAGAAAAACAGACAGAGAAGAAAAGAAAGAGGAAAGAAAAAGAAAGAGAAAGGTAACAATTAACTGTGAGAGCGCGTTAATTATAATTAGATTAAATCATTTGGTTTCTCTTCTCGGGTGATTAACTTAATTTAGAAAAAATTTAATTATCTTATAATGTAAGGGATTATCTTGTTTGGTATTGAGAAAAAAAAGTTCTGAAAAAATTGAGAATTTATTTTGAGCGGTAATTAGTTTTAAATTTTTATTCTAAATAAATTAATGATAAACAAACTGATTAGTAATTAATGATTAAGTTAATGATAGAATTAAATACACACCAAGAAGAAGAGAACAATTTAGTTAATTGTTTGCAATTGAAAAGTAATCAAGATGAAATTTTGTGATTGAGAAAATGAGACTTTGTTGAAATTAGAAAATTTTCCAAAAAATTGATTATATTGATTTCGACTTAATTGTTGATTAGACGAGAGAAATTAATCATTTAGATTTAATCCACTTTCCAATTCATTTTGAACACTATTCACCATTTCTCTGACTTGTCCAAGTGAATCAAGGATTGAATCTTTTTGATCCTGATTAGATTTGATTGTTGATCTGATTCGTGAATCTGATTGTTTATCATTTTCACCAGCGATTAACTTATCGTAATCATGTTGATTGGTGAATGTAAATTTTGATTTACCAGCTAATTGTTTGGGTGATGAGATTGATGGGCTTGATTTATTGATTGGTGATCGACTCGAGGAGATGATTAAATCATAAGCATCTTTTAAATTGTTGTATTTAACTTGAAGTAAGTTAATTAGTTGATTCTTTTCCTCGATTGCTTGAACTTGTCTCACATTTTCGGCTGTTAGATGTTTAATTTTTTCTTGAAGAAATTTAATTCTCTTGGAATCAGTTTGACAATTAGCCGATTCACCGCCGGAGGAAATTCGCTCACCCAAAGTTCCGTCATCAGTTTCCTCTTTCTCCAAACCGGATATACAAGTGCCGATACAATTTTGTAACGATTTTTGTAAAATCTCATTTTCTTGAGTTAAATGATCCAATTTCTGGTTCATTTCGACAATTTTAGCTGCGGCGAAATTGTCTTTAATCAACTGCGAACGCAAAGATTTAATCACGTTCTGTGATTCAATTAATTCAGTTGACAATTTTTCCACATGACGGATAATCTCACTTGGAATCCCTTTGGTTGTAGCTGATGAAAATGAACCAAGATTAAATTTATCACCACAATCAGACAATTTAAATACTTGTAACATTTTCTGATAATCATCAGAAACAGAACCTGATGAAATCTCTTTATCATCAACAATCAAAGATTCATCATTAACTTCAGCTGATAATGATTTCTCCATGGTAATCTGAGTAGATTCAATTGCTGGACCATTTGAATGAGTTTCGCTGACCATTTGATTGGGAACTTTGATCAGGTCGCTCATGGTTGATTTACCGTTAGAATTTAAATCAACCTGTAAACTATCAATGTAATGTTGTTGTAAGATAATTATTTCCTGAAGTCGACCGATTTCATCCTGAGTTTCCTTCAACAATTGAAGGATAAAATCATGTTTACCACCAAGACCGTTACCTTTAAGATGATGATGATGATGATTGTGGTGATGATGATCTTCATCATTGTCAATTAAACTGTCCCGTAAATTGTGATGATCAGAATTGTTTCGTTTTCTATTAGCCGATTTACTACCAGAGGTTGTAAGTGATCTTGTCAGAGAATCACCATCAAGCGATTTAATTTGATTGCCTGAGGCGATACGTCCAATTGTTTGATCAGCTGAGTTACGATGTGAATTAAATGTAACCCGATTAAGTGATATTGTTGAAGATGACCGATGGTGGACAGTTAATCGAGCTGAAGATGGTTTTGGTGAAGAGATATACTGTTGATTTGAGTGAGTCGAGTTCGTATCGTTAATCCATTCAAGGCCAGAGTCCGTTCGAGAGGGTACACTTGAGTACATCGATCGATATTGTCGCCTTCGAGTTACATCAAGTTTCGTTTGTAAACTAAACTTCTTTGTCGTAATTTCCTATTCTCACTCTCTAATTGTCCGATTTTCAATTGAAGATTAAAAATCGACTCTTCCAAACTGACCACTTTCTTATTATTCTTTTCATTGACCATTGAACGTTTGGACATTTCGAGTAATCTATTCAATCGAGTGGTTAATAGTTTAATATTATTGTTCGACTCATTTACTTGTTTCTTTAGAGAAAAATTTTCCTCTTTCATTCGAAGAAATTTATCTTCAATGTCACTAATCATTTCGACCAATTTTGATCATCTAAACAACAACAATTAACACATAGTTACACAATCAAAGAGACACGACAATTAAGATAATGAGAAAACAATCAGATGATAATTTGGTCAAGAATCGAAAAAAAAATTCCCAATGTTTGGGTTAACCTTTTTTGTTAATTCAAAACATTGGTCGTCATAGTGATTAACCTTAACAATTAGTAATTCTGTTTACTGAATTTACTAAATTTTCAACAACAATTAAAACTAATTGTTCACAATTTCTCAAAACAATCAAGTCTCTGATTGATTTTCTTTTCAAATGAAAAGTTTCATTGATCAACTGAATACAATTAGGTGACTGTCAACATCTTAATTGTCAATTCTGTTTAAACTAATTGTTGATTATCTTTGGTTCAATTAGTTGAAGTTTCGAGTTGTAATAAAATTTGAATCTTCGAGTATTAATTACATTTGATATTCTTAATTGTTGTTGGAGTAATTGATTGATTTTCCCTTTTTTACGAAAAATCGATCATTAAATATTTAATTATCTGATTCCTCATTTTAATTAACCATTCAATCCAAATAATAATCTTCTCAAGGTTGCAATTCATTTCTTTCTCTTTCTTTTTCTCTTTCTATCTGTTAATCTCTCTTTCTATTTCTCTATCTTTCATTTCCATTTTTGCTCTCACTTTGAGTTTTATTTTCTTTCTTTTTCTCTGTCGCTTTTTCTTTCTACTTTCAGTTGAATTTTTTTTCCATCTCAACTTAAGTTGTTTTTTTAAATCCATGAATTCATCTGATTAATTGTTCTAATTAATTGAAAGGTAACACTTTTTTTCTGTTAAATTTTGTTTACTCCAACATCCAACTAACAATTAATTCATTTATTTTAGGCTTTTCATCGGACAAATCAACAATTAACTCAAGATGTGACACACATACACCTTAACCCACCAGGAAGACATTTCTCTTGTTCTTTCTGCTCTCTCTTTCGGTTTTTCTCTTTTCTTTTTTCGATTAGATTATTTCTAATCAAAAATTTTAATCCCAACAATAAGTTATCTCTTTAATCAATTACCATCCTGTGGACAATTCATCTTCAGGCCTTCGCATCGCCACCAGTGTAATAGCAACAATAACAAGACATCTACTACACACTAGTCTCAATCTCATTCTTCATCAAAAGTAAGTCACTTTTTTAGGTTTTCTTTTTGTTTTTCTCATTGTCAGTGTGTTTCTTTTGTTACCTTTGTCTATTTACCTTTATCGATGTACAGGTAATTCTATAACAATTCTCTAATTGTTGATTCTCCGAGAGAAACATCTACGTTTTTGAAATCCTCGTATTGTTTACTTTCATTATCTTTTTTTTCTCATTCTCTCTCATCTTTTGTCCCTTTCTTTTTTTTTCTTTCTTTCTCCTTCTTGTGTTCTCTTCCATTAATGACGATGGTCTAATTTTCTTCTCTCTTTCCCTGTCTCTCTGTTTACTTTAATTTCTTATTGATTAGGTTTCCAGACTTTTCCTGGTTTTCTGTTACAGATGAAGTGCAAAATAGTATCAACAACAGATCCACCAGCCAATAAGTCCAATAGGTTGACTCGGACATCATCTGCTAGTAGGACAGTTAAACCATCAACATCTTCCTCGCATGGAAACAATAATTTTAAGATCAAATTGAAACATGGCTATAGTCCAAATCGAAGCTCCAATTCTAATATGCATGGATGTAGAACCCAAACTAGATCATCAACATCATCAGCTACTTCAACTTCAAGAGGAAACAGTAGAAACCATGGGAATACCACCACCACCCCGACCACCGCCACCACCGCTGCTGCTGCTACTACAACCAGTAGTAAAGAAAGTGCCAAGGAAATGAAAAAATCAAAAGATTCTGGTGATCATAGATGTAACTGTATCTGTGCAAACTGTGGTCTTTTCATTGATGATTCAGGACCAATTGACAAGCATCGCCATGATGTTTCCCTTATCAGAGAACCTATTAATTTAGGTACCAAAAATGTTCGCCAAATTTTACAATGTGTTCACAATGGAACTCCCGAGATAAAAGATATTATTTTAAATGAATGTAACATAATCTATGAATGTCGAATATGTCGAAATCTATTCCGTAGTTTGGCTAACCTGTTATCTCACAAAAGATATTATTGTAAAGACCATAAATGTGAGAGTATGTTGCTTTTTGACGATAAACATTTAACACGTGGATTACCTGAAGAAGATGATGATTTTATCTTAGCCAATTTTCAATCAAATGTTCCAATTGAACCAGAAAATGTTACAAAAAGAGCTAATAACAAGACTAAAAGTGATCTACATACACCACCACCACCAACAACAACAACAACAAAGGCCAGAAACCGAAGGAAACAAGAAACTACCTTTGCTGGTCCAATTGATCATCGAGATGAACCATCACCATTATTAATCAATTCTGTTCAAGAAAGCAAACCATCAACAGCAGATGAAATTGATTGTTGTATTGTTACGAAAAAAGTTAAACCTGAAGTTGTTGCTTCTAAACGTAAACACTTGGAATCGTGTGTTAACAAGCTGTTACATGAGAAGTCATCACCAAAGGTGGATCAATTAACAATCCCTCAAGCTGATGATGAAATTGATGGAATAAAAGTTTTTAAAAACTCAGAAGAAAAAATGAATCAACCATCGTTAAAGAATCAATGAATATTGATGATGTTCCAAATAATAGTCAAAATGAACAAAGATCAACATTGTCGGTTATCAGTCCAAATGGTAAAATTGAAGATAATCCAGTTAAAGAAATTGTAAATTCTATTTCCACCTCATCGATAAATGCAACAACTACAACAACAACTCTTTGCAACACATCAACAATCAAAACCATAACAACGCCAATAGTAAAAACTTCAACAACTTGTGTTGTTTTTAATATTGATGAAAATGCTAATCATCCAGTTGCTGGTGAAGAAAGTGAATCAAATATACAAGAAATTGTTAGTTATCCTCAGTCAATATCCTCCTTGGTCTCAGATGATGGTGACTGTTCCCATATGAGTGAAACTTTCCCTTCTGAAGTTAACAGTGAAATGGATAATGAATCAATTGATGTTGATGAGGATATAATAACCATTAATAACAAAGAGGCAAGTCAACAATCACTAATTATATCAACATCTTCATCATCTTCTTCTCCATCTTCTTCTATTCGTGAACATCCATCTAATCGTAATAAACCAAAAACCTTTGACGATACATATGAAACAAAACCTTCACCCATTTCCACTGTTCCTTGTTCAATGTGTACCTCGAAATTTAGCTCGAAAAAGACGTTAAATGTTCACATTCAAACGATTCACAATGTTCAACGATTAATTTATCCCTGTCCTTTTTGTTGTTTAACATTTAAACAGCTATTCAATGCCACCCGTCACATGATCCAAGTCCATCGAAAGGGTAAAACTCAGGTCAAATTTTTAAGGGAAGCGGTTAAAAGGCGAGCCTATCCGGAAGTTAAATCTGATGAAAATGGAGAGGAAACGGTCAAAGATGAAGATGAATTGATTGATAACCCGATTGCTGAACAACCACCCATGGAAAATCTGGAAGAAGAAGACGAGGAAGAGGAAGGAGAAGGTGATGATGAGAATGATGAAGAAGATGATAGTGAAGATAAAGTTAATCCAGATAATCCATTTAATCTGAAAGCTGTGCCAGTGATTGTTAAGGTTGGTAAAAATTTGAAGAGAAAAAACTGTGATACATTGAAAGAAGAGTACAAATTATCTTCATCTTCATCATCTTCTTCTACATCATCTTCATCGGTAAAATGTTCATCAGCATCTTCAACGGAAGCAATTAAATTAACAATCAATCACAAGCAAAATAATGAAAGTGAGGTTAATCAATTAACAGATTTACGATCTAAATCTTCATTGGAAATTGATAATAAGAAAGAGACTGGAACCAATTCATCGAATCAGGAAAAAGTTCGACGAGTTAATCCGATCATTTTTTCCTGTATCAATAATTGTGGTGAATATTTCATCAAGGTTGATAGTAAAAATCAACATGAGAAAAAATGTTCCAAACCTGATGATGATAATGATGATGAACAAGACGATGATCAGGAAAAAAGTAATTACAATTTGACAACGGATTCAACTTCCCATAATCACCACCATCATCATCACCATCACCACCGGTCAAGAGATTCACTTGATTTAACAATTATAACCGAATCAATATACAAAGAGCTTGAAAAGGTTGGCAATCTAATTACACGTCGGTGTAATCATTGCCCTGATTTACAATTTAAAACAAAATCACTTCTCATTCAACATTTGATTGTTCATATTGGTTATGAAGTTTTGAAGTGTAAAAAATGTGCCTATCAAACGTTAAATCGGACCGAGATGGACAATCATCTGGGCAGTGCTCATGGTACACCGGAGATATTAAGAGGAAGGCAAATAGTAAATCTTTCAACATCACTTGCCAACGATACCAATGGTAACATCATTGAATAAATTTGATCAACAAAAAAATTAATAACTAATCAATATCATTTTCTCTCTCTTTTTTTTAATTCGTTTAGGGTCAATTGCTAAGAAAATCTCATCTCGAGTTGAATTAACGGAGGACAGTCAAGAATCAACTAGAGGAAATGTCGATGAAACTAAAGGTTCATCAGAGAAATCAAATTCGTCGAGTATTGTCCTACATTTAAGGCCGAAATTAAGTCGAAGTAGGAAGAAGAAAAAAATTTACGAAATTGTTGGAGATTGAGTTTATAGTTTGAATGAAGAAAATGAATTAAATAATTTGTGGTCGACACTCGCATGCAATCAAGCAAAAACATTCTGATGGTCTGGAAAACAATTAGCCAAAGTGATTAACTTTAATTGTTTTACAAATCATGTATTAGATGATTTAAATTAATTTTTCTACCTGTTATATCAACCCTTTAAGTATCCATACAAAAGTTAAAGTGCAACCAAAATCCACCAATAAGAAATCGGAGAAATCAACAAATCAACCAACCAATTAACCAAAATGGATACACAGTTATATTAAATATACAAATCATCAATCCTAATTATATTATAAAATCATTATCATTATTATTATATTTTAATTAACTCTTTCCAAACTCTCAGAAATGAAAGATAATATAATCAAATGTGATATATGAAAACAAAAGCAAATACCTAAATTCCCATATCCTCAATTTTTAATTGTAAAAAATTAATTAATCATAAACACAGGGTCATGTTCATATTGATACTATTGATTATTTGTAAATAATTCCTTCTGAGTTAATGATTAATATAATTAATGATAATGATGATATAAAACCAAAAAAAATAATGGTGTAATAATATAAGATGAAATTTAGTCATTAAAATATTTATTTAATGATAATCATTGGGAATTTTCAACAATCTGTCAATAATTATCACAATTCATTTGATAAGAATGAATAATTTATCCTTAATATCTGATAATTTTATTTTATGAGAAAAATGTTTCAATTAGTTAATCAAATCGCTGAGAAAAAGGTTATCTTTGTGATTAGCAAGTTCGATGAGATGATCGAGTCACATATTCGAGGATCTAGAACTTTTTAGAACTTGGAGTGTCTCGATAATTCCAATAGATGGAATTGCTTGATATTCACTCCCTGTATCAACTCAACTCCCACTTTCTCACCATCTTGCTGATCAATAATCATCCGCATCTTTTTTTCATCCTTTTCCTTTTTCTAATCTTCTATTTTCACTCCTTTATTTTCATTTTCCAATCGACTTTCAACCTTCAATTAGTTGAGAAATCGTATCATCTAATTGGAAATTAAAATTCACTAATCATTAATTGTCATGTCGATATGTTTCCTTGATAATCACCAATCTAAATTTTGGTCATTTAATTGAACCTTTAACTATGATTTTGTGAGAAGATTTTTTTATCTTATTCAATGTTTTTCATTTCTGTGATTGTGATTATTTTTATTTCCAGTAATTAGTATTTTATTTAATTGTTTTCTCATGATTAAAATGAATTCGAATCATCGATTTATTTAATTTAACTGTGATTTTTTTTAATTAAGTTCAATTTACAATTCATTTGCATTAGTTCAATGATTTGCTATCAAAATTTTCTCGTCCTCTTCTCATTCGGTCTTCTCTTGACCTTGGGTCATTTACCGATCTATTCATCGCAAGCTTGTTATAAATTTACGTCGATCAGCGGAGATCCTTGCAGGTCACTTGAATGCTCCTTCGGCGCTGAATGTATTCGTACCAAGGATGGTAAAAGAGCGGAATGTGTCTGCCCCGAAAAGTGTTACACTTATGGAGACTCCGTTGGTTCAAGGCCAGTTTGTGGTTCCGATGGTCGAGATTATCCAAATGAATGTGAACTACGACGGAAGGCTTGTAATTCCAGTAAAGAAATTACCGTTAAATTTCAAGGAAAATGCGGTAAGATAATCATCAGCGTTTTTTTTTATCGAATTCGAGACTTTCACATTCAATCATTTCTCATTTTAATCAACTCTTTCAGATCCTTGTGATGAAGTCCAGTGTCCAGCCTCTCAGATCTGTCAACTTGATGATAATCGAAATCCGATCTGTCGCTGTAATGCTATTTGTCCACAAGAATTCAAACCCATTTGTGGCTCCGATGGGAAAACTTATACCAATGAGTGTATTCTTAGAGTTGAGGCTTGTAAGGCTCGAAAAAGTCTTCGAATTTTGTACAATGGCGAATGTGGATCTGGGCGAGGTAAGAATTTGTGACTTTCGACTTGTTAGATTTCCATCTAATCCGATATTTTCTCTCTTCCTTTCTGTATCAGCGGTAAACCCATGCGAAAGTTTAAAGTGTAATGTTTACCAAGAGTGTGACATTGATCGCTATGGAATCGCCAGTTGTGTCTGCCCTCCATTATGCTCACAGATCATGAGTCCCGTTTGTGGTTCCGATGGTCATACATATGACTCAGACTGTGAGCTGCGTCGTGAAGCTTGTTTACTCCACAAAAATGTGACACTAATTTACAAAGGGCTTTGTGGTGAGTGTTTGACCTGCCGATCGATTGAAAATCTTATTTTTCGTATTGATGTTTTTCGAACCACTTTCTTACCTTTTCATTTCATCAGGTGAAGACGGAGCTTGTAATGGGTTTAAATGTGAATTCGGATCGATTTGTGTTGTCCAATCAACAAATTCCCAGCCAACCTGCGAGTGCCCTTCATGCACTGAAGAGTACAAACCAGTTTGTGGATCCGATGGGATATCGTATTCTAATGAGTGCAAATTGCGTCGGGAAAGTTGCGAACAACAAAAGTCATTAAAAGTCACTTCTCAAGGATATTGTAGTAAGTAGAGACTTAATTGGCTATCGATTTTTTTTTCTAAGGTCACTTTTATTTTGTCTTTTCTAATAGATGGTTGTGAAGGCATCAAATGTGATTATCATTCTGTTTGCCAAATCGATTCCAATGGCCATGGAAAATGTATCTGTCCAAACAACTGTCCACATGTAAGTGACCATTTAGAGAGTTTTGATTATTTCGATTTTCATTTTTCTTCGATTTTTGTTTTATTCTCTTCTTCAGATCAAATCTCCAATCTGTGGATCAGATGGTGTTTCTTATGCGAACGAGTGTGAACTTCGATTAGCCTCTTGCACCAAGAAGGAATTCTTGACCATCGCTTCTAAAGGTCCGTGTGACATTTGTTTCAATGTCCATTGCAAATATGGAGCTCGATGTGAGGCTGGTCTTTGTGTCTGTCCATCGGAATGTCCACAAACTTATGAGCCCGTTTGTTCAACCGATGGACTGACCTATGTGAACGAGTGTCAAATGAGGATCAACGCTTGTCAGAAAAACATTGAACTTGGCATCTCCTTTTACGGGGAATGTCAAGATAAGGGTGGACCCGAAAGTAGTAAGTAACACCAAAGAATGGCCTTTGATAAGTTATTAATATGATTACGATGAAATATTTTAGTTGGAACTGGAATTGGTTATATTAAAACCTGTGATCATAATACTTGCCGTTTCGGTGGAGTCTGTGATTACGATTCTGAGGGTGTCCCACACTGTATTTGTTCATACCAATGTCCGACACTTTCGACACCCGATGAGTCCGTTTGTGGGTCAGACGGTCGTCTCTATGAGAACGAGTGTAAACTCCAAGAAGAGGCATGTCGACGTCAACAGGAAATTCAACCAGCTCTTAATCGTCTCTGTGAGGATAGTAAACTTTTACCATGCGAGGGTGAGCCTCCCCTGATTAATCCGACCACAGGTCGAGAATATTATTGTGGCGATGGACCCGAATCGAGACAATGTCCACCCAACAGCTATTGTCACAAGAGCTCACGATTTGCTAAATGCTGCAGAGAGATTGCATTAGTAAGAAGTTGCACCGACTCGACTTATGGTTGTTGTTCGGACGGGGTCACTTCCGCTCAAGGTGCTGACCAAGCTGGATGTCCATCGGTCTGTAACTGTAACAAATTGGGATCGTACTCATCCTCTTGTGATCCAGTAACCAAACAATGTCACTGTAAAGTTGGAATTGGTAAGTTAATCGAACCGCCGATTTATGTTCAAAGTGAATTCTAATTCCAATCTCTCCTCGAATTTAGGTGGCCTTCAATGTGACCGATGCGAACCAGGTTATTGGGGACTTCATAAAATCTCAGAGGGAAACAGTGGTTGTATTCGTGAGTATTAATAATTTACTTGATTGCGAACAATTCAAAAGGTGATAATGTTTCAAATCTGTTTTTCTTTAGCGTGTTCATGTAATATGAATGGTTCAGTTCGAGATGATTGTGTAAGTATCGAAGGGAAAATTTTCGAAGAGTGCAAATTAACTGAGAGTAAATCTTTTTAATTAGGAGCAAATGACCGGTCGATGTGTCTGTAAACACGGACTACAGGGTATGAAGTGTAACGTTTGCCCTGAGGAAACGATTCTTGACCAACATGGGTGCATTCATGGTGAGAAATGGTCATTTCGAAAGAGAGAAAATAATTTTGAGAACTTTTTTCTTCATTAATATTTAATTTATCTTTTTCTTTTCGTAGTCTCATTGATCAAGTTCTACTCCGGTTCATGTGCTGATATGAAATGTCGCTTCGGTTCGACCTGTGTAGAGAATCCTGACAAAGGTATTCAGTGTATCTGTGCCATGAGATGTCCAGAGGTCACTTTGGGCCCTGGTCATTTGATTAGACGGACATCGCAGGTCATCTGTGCCTCCGATGGAAGTACCTACCTGTCCGAATGTCAGATGAAATTTTTCGCCTGTCGAATGCAGCGAAAAATTAACCTTGTCCATCATGGACAATGTCGCACTTCTCAAGGTCCACCTTCGTCTTCGTCTTCATCTTCTTTTACCTCTTTCACATCTCCTCCTTCATCATTGTCCACTGATGATGATTCAGTAACCCAAGGCCCCGCTCGCCGATCAACAATGTTCAAAACAACCTTACAAGATACCGATAAGCCAACTCGTGAATTGTCCTTGAGCTTTTCCGAGCAGGTCAGTCCACAAACAACCAGTGCAACACCGACCGTTTCAATGAAGCCCATAAAGTTACCAGCGTTTGTTGGCGATTCTCATATTGAGCTACCTCGACTTCAGGCCTACACCCGACTCTCAATCGAAATGGAATTCATTTCCTATTCAGAATCAGGAATTTTACTCTACAACGGACAAACAGGAACCGGCGACGGTGATTTTGTCTCACTCACAATAAGAAAAGGTAAATAAAAATGTCCATGAATTAACGTAATCTTGATCAATTGAATTGTGCTTCTTTTAGGTTTTGTTGAATTTCGGTATGACCTCGGATCGGGAAAGGTCATTCTTAATTCGAGTAAACCGATCAAATTGGGAGAATTGGTCAAACTGGTTGCAAAAAGATACCTTAAAGACGGTATTTTGACCGTCGAAGGGCAAGATGATGTGGCCGGGGCCAGTGAAGGTGATCTTAAAAGTCTCGATTTAGCGGAAAATTTGTACATCGGCCAAATTCCAGGTCTAAACAGTAAAATCTTGGAAAATATCGGAGTCAAAGAAGGATTCATTGGGTGCCTTCATAGTTTCCGAATTGGGCGGAAAGATGTTGACCTTTCTTACCCCGGATCTCGGGAACTTATCAAAGTGACCGATATTCACGATTGCAGTGAGATGCCCTGTTTGTCCAATACCTGTTCAAATGGTGGAACCTGTTTACCTGAGGCTGGATCGAGTTTCGGCTCCTATGAGTGTTTATGTCCACTTGGATTTACGGGTAAAAATTGTGAGGTCAAAATGGACGTTTGTCTGAATGAGAGCCCGTGTATCAAAGGGTCGACTTGTACTCTACTACCTCGCGGTGGTTTCTCGTGTCTTTGTCCTCAAGGTCAATCGGGTAAAATTTGCTCTCAAAGTAAGTCAATCGAATGTTAAACAATTCAGTAAATTTTGATACAGAATCGAGATAATCATTTATTATTCTGTTCTAATTTTAGTACCACGTGAACTTGAAAACGCTTTTGTACCCGATTTTTGGTCCACTTCTTATATGATATTACCTGCGCTCTCAAATGTAGCCCAATCCTTCGTGATCGAAGTTTGGTTTTTAACTCGAGACTCAAATGGCCTTTTACTGTACAATGGTCAGAATTCAATCCAATCGCGTGGAGATTTTGTCTCGTTGAACATTGTCGACTCTCGAATTCAATTCTCGTACAATTTAGGAAGCACAATACCGAACGTCAGGTAATCAACCCAAAATCTAATCAAATAGAATCACAATTAACTTTTTTCTCCTCTCCCAATCAACCCAACTACCGAATAAAAATCATTAGCGGAGTGATAACCTTAACGTAAGTACCAAAATCCAAGCTAATCAATTATAATCAACTAAATTAATCTAATTATAAAAACAATCGTCACCAGATCAAAGCGAAAAGTATCTTCGGGCGATTGGCATTCAGTTCGGATCACAAGAGATCGGACAAAAGGGACACTTCAACTCGACGATAGTTCAACAGAATATGGTCAAGCCAAGGTAAGAGAATTAGCAACAATTAATTAACTTGGAAAATTAATAATCGTAACAATCAATAGGGTGGACTAAGTGAACTAAATCTCGATCAACCCTTGTACATTGGTGGGATACCCGAAAGTGTTAATATCAATCGAGAAGTGATCGGAACGACAGTCGCAGGTCTCAATGGTGCGATCCAACGGATCGTCGTTAATGGTGAAATTTGGGACAATTTAATTGATCGATCAACAACCGTTAATAACATCGCTGATTACACGGGTCCACCTTGTGGTCAGTCGAATCCATGTCCGAATAATGCAATTTGCTTACCACAATTTAGTGATTATCTTTGTCGATGTGCATCAACCAATCGATCACAAACTTGTCTTAATTTAGTTGAGGCTCGAAAAGCGATCAGCCTAAGAAAAGGATTCGTAACTAGAGATGTGACAATTAGCTAAATTGTTACTTAAATTACAATCGATCAATCAATCATCATAATCGTTATCATTATAATTAGAATCATAATTTAATTCTAATTATTTTTGTTTTCCTCAAAATCGTTTAGTTCAATTTTATCATAACAATTTAGACAACCAGTCCAATTGATTAACTTTTTTGTTTGATAAATTGTCGATTGTCAATTTCAATTGATACAATTATTTATCTTCAGTTATTGTTAATAGTAATCAAAGTGCCTTAATATTTATCATGTTATCAACAATTTAACTGCCAATTTAATCAATTATTGTTGTTGATGTAATTTGCCATTTTTATTATTAAAATCAATTGATTAATTAATAACCAGAAAGGTTTTTGATTTTGTATGTGTGGAGTTAGTTAATTGTTGTTGTTGTTTTTTGGTATAATTTACAATTGGGATAAGTTTCTATGTACAATTTTCTAAATCAATTATAATTAATAGAAAAATTAATTGAAATGTCTAATTAGTGAATTGGTGATGTTGTTAGTGGGAGATAAAAATATAAAAAAAGGAGATACAATTAGTTTAATTGTGATTGTTTGTTTTTCCAAGCAAACAATTGTGCTAATTAAACTCGAAATTGTTTGTTTATGACCAGAGATCTCATCCATAACCAGCATTGCTTTAGTTTTCACGCAGAGTTTTCAAGAAGGGAGAGAGAGTGAGGAAGGTAACGTGGTGAAAATCATGGCGATTGCATGGTTACATCAATTATTTGAAGCTGAGCTAAAAAGATTAATCTCAATTTTTCTCATTAACAAGGTAACTAACGAGGTGGTTGAATAGGATTACAATGATTAACAAAAAGGGAGGATTAGGAGGTTGATTAAGGTGGGAGGATGTTGATTGTGTTTACGATGATAATGATTGAAAAACGATCCCATGAGTTTGTGTGTGGCTTCAGTTGATAACGTTATTAGGGTTCATCCTCATCTGTATATTAACAGGAATTAATTTTAGTGAAATTAATTGAACTGCAATTATATATATTATGAGATAACATAAAATTACAGTTAGGATGATAATTAACTTTTTCTTTCATCTTCTTGTTTCTTAATACACACAATAAACTTTATCACTGAGGTAAACACACTATCATATATCTATAAGATATCCTAATGATGGTTATCATAGAAGAGAAATTAATTCAATAAACAAAGTGATTAATTGCTGGAGGGAAAGAAATTAATTGATAGGAGGAAGAGAAGGGAAGATAAAGTTTTTGTTAAGAATCTGCCGAATTTCTTAAAGGTGGAATATAAACAAGAAGAATATATCAATGGTTAGATCTATCTTCCATCTCTTTTCTTTTTTTTCTTCTTCTTTTTCTTCGAAATCTCTGTCATCTAATATAAATAGAAGAAGTCAAGTTCAAAGGTCACTATGATATGCAAGAAAAATTATTTGAGCTTCATCATTGTCACTATTTACAATAACAATGAGACAAGAAGGAGATGAAGAGATGAGGAGAGAAAGAAGAAGAAACGAAAGTGAGAATAAAACAAGAATAATGTTGAATCATGATTAAATATGGCAGAAGAGAGAGAGAAGGTAGTACGAGGGAGAGGAAGAGAGAGAGAGAGAGAAAAAAAAGGATACAACAGAGGAGAAACAAGAGATAGAGGGGAGTTTTCGATAGATTGAGATGAGATGAGATATTAAGAGATGGATGAATGAATAAATGAATTAGATTACAGAAAATGGGAGAAAGAGAGAGAGAGAGAGATAGGGAAAGAGAAAGAGAAAGAGAAAGAGATGGACTTGAAGCTCCTGAATATTATGATGGTGGTGGGCATAATGACGAAACAAAAAAGCTGATGATACGTGACGATATTGCTAAAAAGGAAAGATGAAATATTACATTGGTGTTTAGGATAAAAGAGAAAAAGTGAAAATTATCAAGAGTGGAAAGACACACGGTTTATAATTATACTGATGGTGTAGACATATTACTTTCAACACTGAAAAAAGAAACTTTTGAAGAGTAATGAATAAAGGTGATGATAATATTGTAGAGATGGTGGAGGTGAAATGTACATAGAGTGCATAAGTGGGTGTCTTTTAAAAGCGATTATACTTTTTCTCCGGAATTCCGTATTTCCGTTTGATCTCATCCACTCGCCTTTGTCTTTCCTCTCGTTTGGCAAAAGCATTATCACGGATAACAGACCCTCGCATGGTTAGATTTTCTTTTTGATTATCTACTTCCCAGCCTGATCTTTTCCGTTGACAATTACAACAGCAACAGCAAGTGATCACAATTGTAAGAAGAATTACACCAGCCATGGAACCAAGAGAAATGGCAAGAACGTTAAATTTAACCAAACAAGTACCATAAGCAGTTTCTTTAACCGATGAACAACCAGACAATTTAAGGTTAAAGGGTAAACATGAACTGGTTGAGTAACAGTAGAAACATTTTTTAGATTTAACACAAGAAGAACAACTTGAATTTCTACTTTCACAAGAAACATTTTCAACGGTTTCATTGGAAATTGAATTAACTGATTGTGCAGAAAAAGATGGCGATAATAAAGTTACAGAACCATCGGTAGAATTTGACAAAGGTGAAGATGAAGGTAATCCATAGACAAAATGATTAACATTAACATTTAACAATATGATAAAAGTAACGAGTCCAACAAGATGATGAAGAAAATAAAAGTAACAGGATTTATTAGCTGGTAACATGTTTGCCTGTTTATACAAACGATGAAGGAAAAGAAAAAAAAAGCAGCAAATCAAATAAAACACCAAAGCAGAAATTTAAGTAAACAATTAACACAAATTAACAGTTAATTCTCCGGGTACAAAACTCTGTTTAATAATCTAATTAAAACACAATTAACTTCGTAACAACAATTAGGAAGATAGAGAGAGAGAGAGATGTTAACGTTACGGAAAGAGAATAGAAAATGAGATTAACTTTTTTCTTTCTTTTCTCTTTCTCTTTTTCCCCTTTTCCCCTTTTCTTTTTATTCTATTCTCTTTTCGGAAAGAAACGCCTTCCAATCCAATGGAAACATCGTTAATTTTGTTTACTTAATTTAATTTCTCTTCATCTTAAACTAATTGTTGACCGAAATTTTAGACAATTTAGTTAATTAAATTTACTTCAATCATCGAATGCCAGTTAATTGACCCAAAAGGAATAAGATTAATTTGATTTCGATCATCTAGTCAACTTGTTGCTCTTTTTGACATTTTTTTTTTCTCTCTTGAGATTAATTTATAATCAATTCTATTGTTTGATTGTTGTTAAAATTGATTATCTCTAGTGTGTATTATCATGTGTAAAAAATGTTATTTCTATCTCTCTGATTATTGAATTGATTCGATTGGAATTGTGTTGTTTAGTTTTACTTTGATTATCTGTTTCCCATAGAAAAACAATGTGATTCTCTTTACGATGAGATTAATTGTATATTCTTCATCCTTCTCAATACACAAATACCTACACAAGGGAGAATTTGTTATTGTAATTCTACACCGGATCTACCCAAAACCAACACCTCTTCTTCTCTCTTCTCATCATCACCATCCAAGAACGATAATGATTAACTGAGAAATGTGATAATTAACGTTTCCCTTTAAAAAAGGTCCACAGGAAAACAGTAGAGAAGGTCAAGTTTTTGGTCTCTTCTCTAACTCTGCCAATGTGAAATATGAAGACGGATTTCCAACAAGTCATGGTCAATTAACAATTGAATTAAATTGATATTGATTGAGATTCTCGGATTACATCCTCTTAAAAAAAAACTTTCTCTCAGTGAGTGAGTGATTAAAGTTACACCAAAGTGTCATATTATACATTCAGCTTTCCAATTGTATGTTAGTTCATCAACCAGTTCATTGGACTTTAAAGGAAACCAGGTTATAATCATTATATTATTATCATGAGATTCTAACACACTTTTAATAATAATAGAAATATGGATAATAAATCTTCTATTAAAGTGATTAAGGGTAAAAAAGAGTAATTCAACAAACAGTGATTGTAATAAATCAGTCTATCATCAACTAACCAAAGTTCTTATGACAATTTAATTGAAATATTTTCTTCTCTTTTTTTCCCTAATTTCAGATAATCAAAGGTCACACGAGGGTCATACAAATTTCCCACTTTTCTCTCTGTAAAGTCAATCATTTAATTACTCCTGGTAATTGTTTGATTTGATTATTATCAAATCATCATGATAATTTTATCCTTTTGACATAGTCATTAATGCAACACCACATATAAGTAAAATTAATTGTTGATTGATTATTGTCCTTGGTATGTTATGGTTTCAAGATTTATCTCATCTAATTGTTGTCTCATATAAGTTAATTGAACTCATTGATGAAAGGAAACAAAAACAATCATTGTAAAGAGTTTTTTTTCAACTCCATCTCATTGCATTCGTTAATTTGGATTTACACTTAAATTTTGACGACAATTAAAAACAATCAATAGTAGTAGTATCTATAGATGTTAGATAATTGAGAAAAAAATCAACTCCGATTGTAACGATTCCCCCAACCTCGTTTATTATCTAAAAATAATAATGAAAGAAAGTGAAACAAGAAGATATTAATTTACCAATCATTAATTAGACCAATAATTTGATCATGAATGAATTAATTAATAATCACTTACCATCCTTGAATTCATCCCACCCTCTTGCCTTAATTAAAGCTTCTTTATCCTCCTCATCTTCAGCTTTCTCCTTAATAGCAGCATCATCTTCATCTTGTTGCTTTTTGATATCAGGATTTTGAGCCCAATCCATTAGACTATTACTTTGTCTAAATTGTTGGAAGGAGAAAAAAAAAATCAGGTTAATTAGAATACAATTAACATTGATTACCAGAGATTGAGAGTAAATTGTTCTTACCCTGGTTTTTGCTCCGAGAGAGCCCCTTCTTTGATCTTAATATCAACAAACTGCTCTATGGACATTGTTGGAATCGCTGGATAACCAAGGCCGAAAACTTTTTTCTGTAATTCAGTTCGAGTTATGATAAAAGGTTTTATTGGTTCGGATTTTGGCTTCTCTTTGGGTTCGACTTTTTTTCCACCCATTTTTCTCATCAATGAGAGAACTTCTTTCTCCTTGGCGATACTGGACATTTCTTCGATACCAATTGATACCCACTTTTTAATCAATAAAATAAAATATTCTCTTCTCTGTTCATCACTTGCATCTTCACCATCATTACAATTGACAATCGGTTCAAGAGACTCCAATTTCTCATCGATTTCCTTTTGCCGTCGATAATTTTCAATTTTGGCCAATCGTTCGCGACCCATTGCTTGTAGTTCTGCAATCGAATTACTTGTAAACACTTTCTTTGGTTTTTCGATTTTAATTGTTTCTTTTGAATTGGAATTTCCTTCTTGTTGTTGATCCTCTTCTTCTTCCCCATCTTCAAGCTCATCCAAATCAATTCCAATCGGACAAACCTCATATGATACAATTCTTTTGAGATAATCTTTAAAATAGATATTGGCAATGATTAAAGATTCTAATCTATCCTTTGTCACTAATTTCATGTGAAGATAACCCAATAGCGCTGGAAGAAGTAGATATTTGATTGAAGAACTGGCGACATCAGAAATCGTTTCATTTTCACTGAATAGACTCAACTGATTAACCATCACTGTTGAACGTTCCAAAAGACTGATAGTCTGTTTAACTTTATTCTAAATAGAAAAAGAATCAATTTAATTGTAATGAAATTGTTGAGAATATAAATACAAACCTGATAGTTGATGTTGTTTGTTGGTAAATCGCTATTGTCCAATTCTTTGATTAATCTCAAACTTGTGTCGAAATCATTGGAAAGATTAACCGAATCAGGTGTAGATTCATTACCATCCATGATGAATCAACACTCGATAAAAACAATTGACAACAATTAAGTAGATATCAGATAAATGATGATAAGTAGAAAATCAAATGTAAAAAAAAATGAGAGAAATTATTTTTCATCAGCTGATTTAGTGATCCAACCAATAAGATTTTAACTACGAAAATCAAATTTACTTCAATTTAATAATTTTCTTTCATTTACCACATTCAATGTGAAGAGAGAGAAAGTAAATTTAATTTTTCTTTCACAACCAAATTAAATTTAATTTAATTTCCATTTGAAAACATCAAAAAAAAAATTGAAATGAGAAAAAAATTATCACAAAAATTAACAGAATCAAGACAGTTAACACTGAGACTCTTTGAGATGGAGATGAAGTTGAATTTACAATTTAAGATTCTAATTAAACTACACTGTATCCACTTTTCAATCACTAATCAATTGGAGGCACAATTTAAACAATCAACACAATTAGTTAAACATATGATTTCTTATAGGAAATGAATAGAATCTGATATCGAGTGAATAATCAGATAGAATCTGATATTCGATTTTCGAATCGAAAATTGTTTATTCGGTTCAATTGAATGTAAATTTCGGTTAATTAGAGAATTGAAAAAATTTTTAAGAATATTTCAATTATGGAAAATATTAATTTGAAAAGAGTAAGAAAATTTATCAATCAGTTATCGAAATATTTGATTCCCTAATTAACATTCACGTGTTTTTTTCGATAATCGATTCTATGAAAATCGATTATTAACTCGAATTCAAACATCAACTTGGAGAATTGAAAAAATTAAATTCAATTTTGTTTCTTTGATAATTAATTTATTTTTTCATTGGATTAAAAGTGATTATTAATAATCTTGCTGATTGTTTGATTGGGACCTTTTTCTACACTGAATCTGTTTTGTGCTCTTGCGAGATAATTGACCTGAAAAAAGAACAATAGATTAATCTGGTTACTGGTTAATTCCAATTGGAACAAGTTGTTTTCATTTTTTTGCTCTTTCTTTTTCTCTCTCTTTCCCTTTCTGCTATTTCACTTTCTCTATTTTCTAAATTTGCTTTTTTTTCTATTCTCTTTTCTTTTTTGCTTTACTTTATTCTCTGTTTTTCTTTTTATTCTGTTCTAAATTACCAATTAAACCCTCTAGATTAACTAATAACCTTTTGATGACTTGCACCATTGCTTAAGATGATTTTATCGGGTGTCTCCGATTCCTGCTTCATAAAATACTTACAACATGTCATATCAAAGGTAAGAGTCTTCATTTGGTGTAATTATATTCTTTTTCTTTCCTTTACATTAATTGTAATTTCTTTTCTTGGTTTATTATCTTTCTTTTCTTTTTTCTCTAGGGTTGTTCTACGTGGAATTCTTAGACAATTTGAATCAGGGGAGAAAAGGCAATGGCCTGTCTACCTGAGAGAATTAACTAAACTATTTGAGGGATCACAGTTTAATCGAGCAATTTATGAGAAACCTGGACGTATAATTGATGATGTAACCAGAGTTTTGGCTCGTGTTTTGACCACAAAACTTTTCCCTGATATAATTGAAGAGATAATTGTTTGCCTATCAACATTCGCTGTATCTCTAAATTACCATTGTAAAGATCTTTTCAATTGGATATTTGAATTGTACAATTCATCAGCAGTTCCAGATGAGACTAGATTGGTATTATTACGATCGTTGGTTAAAATCATCGAAACCAATTGCAATGCTTTACCTGAAAATATGCCCGGGCTGATGGTAAAGATTAAAAAAGCTCTTGAAGAAGCTCAAACCGCTGAAATTTTACTTGGAATTACTGATATTTTTCTGGCTACTGCCGATAATTTTTCCAATGTTTTACAAATTCATTTTCGTGATATTGTTGACATTTTAATCGGTTGGCATTTGGACTCTTCTCAGTCACCAGCGATTGCAGCTAATTTAGCTAAGGCTTTCATCTCATTCAATAGCTTTTGGATTAATGATTTTGACTTTTCTCTTGACCTGTTGGGACAATTTCTTGAAGACTTTGATGTTTTTTACAAAAGATTATTGGAAAATCATGCAAACATCGAAAATTTACCCGATATCAAACGTTCTTCCGATGAAAAAGAATCTTCACCTTCTTCTCCCATTGAAAGTCCATCAAAAGATTTATCCCAATCAAGTTTTACCCTAAACAAAATGGCCTCACTGGTTCGGGTCTACATTACGGTTCTCAAAAGTCTCGATGAATATGCATCACCATTACGCAATAATAGGATCACATGGGAGTTTATTGTGGACTCATTACAAACAATTCTTACTTCTGTCGAGCAAACCATGAAATTTACTATGTTTGAATCTTTAATTGTCTCCACCAATGAATGTGCCCTTTTCATCTTGGACATTATGGCCAACTCTAGAGTTGAACTGATCCAAGAATGTTCATCACAAATTATACCTTACATTTACTCCATCCACCAGAATATGATTGATGTAAACGATGCCTACATTTTGACCACACTTCAATTAATTACCAAGATTGTCCGAGCACTAAATGGAAACCTACCAATTGAATTTATTTCTAATCTTCTTAAACCACAATCTAATTGTCAAAGATTACGGTTTATGCCTTCACGTCCAATTCAAGTTGCACTTTTTGATCTTCACCATTCATTACTTGGCTTGAAAAATGTTCCTCTTCTTAAAGAAACTTATGGCTCATTCCTGTGTGACCTTTTCTCAGCTTATTCATGTTTAACTGGTCGAGAGATCACCTTACCCGACGACGATGATGATAGTAAAAACTGGAATGAATATAAAGTAACATATGATTTTGAGAAATCGGAAATTATCATTGAATCAATATTAATATCGTTAACTGAGATTGGTAATGCTAAAAATTCAATAATCGGAATGTGGGCTTTACGGCCAACCTTTTTTGACCTGTTAACGAGTTACATTGATCCTACCAATGAGACATTGATTGAGAAATCACCACGAGTACAACATAACATTTTGTATATTCTACATTCTCATTGTAGTTTACACAATCATTTCATCTCAAATAGTAATCTAATTACCGATACAAGTGGAATCTCAGTTCTCTTTGGTACTTCACCTTCGTCCGCTTTCACCACATCAATTACATCTCACACCACAAAACATTTTGCCAAGATTCAAAACATTCTAACCTCAATTCTTTCTAAACCCAAAATTCAACGAGAGACTAAAAAATTATGTTTAAATTGGTTCTACAAAATTTTAAAGAGTAGTACTTGTCACCTTTCCCGTTTAATTCAATCTCAAGAATTTACCAGCCTTATATCAGCCGTTTCTCTTTACCTGTTTGCCAAAGATTCCAGGTTATGTTTAATTGCATGTGATTCAATGAAACTACTACTCCGATCAAATGAACGACTACTTAGTGCCGATTTACTCAAAGTTGTCCGACAATCATGTCTCTTTAACATCGGTCGTATTGAGAGTAAAATTGTCTCAAGTTTTCTCGATCTTTATGCAGCCCTACCAGTTAACTGTTTCTCTTGTTATTCTGGTTCAATGAAAAGGATTCAACTAAATAGATACGATTATCTAATACCTGACGACCTGAGGATCGCTAAAATGGCCCTTATGAAAAGTGAACCTAATTCGGAATTTTCTTCAAATTGTTTTAGAACTGTTCTTACATTTCTCCTTGAAAATCCAACCCTCGAAGATGAAAGATGGCTTCAACGTTTATGTCAAACAAGTTCAACCAATGGTATACCCAAATTAACCGATGTTAAGGCCAATAATCACGATCAAAGTGGATTCGGTGCTAATTCACAATCTTTGGCAGATATTTTTGATAACAATCAATCAGCTCTCATCTTCTGGGCTTGTTGGCAAAGTATTCAATACTGTATTGTTAATAAATTACGAACACCATTAGGTAAAGCTCAAGACACATTTACTAAAATAGAAATGGCCGTTAAAACGAAAGCAATAGCCGTTCAAAATACTGTGGAAACAAAGAAATCACCTCATCGACATGAATATCTTCAAACACGAATGTTAATCCTTTTAATGGAAAATCTTGACAAATTAATGTACAACGCATACGAAGGTAATGCTAGTCGGCTTTATACTACACCCAAATTGGCCAAATCTTTTTTCCGTACCAACAAAGCGACTTGCGTTGAATGGATGAACCGTAATCGTAGGTCATTAATGATAATCTCCCTCAAATCGGGTGATCCTGCCTCCGTTTGGCGCCATGGTCAAGAATTGTTAAAAGAGATGGTCATTAAATCACAGAATCAAGAAGTTGAATTTATTTTAACGCTTATGGTTCAAGCTTTGATAGAGTTGAAAGCAAGCGATGCAATAGCGGGATTATATATTTGGGCCAAAGAAACGCTTGGTACACGATTTTCATGGATAAAGTGGGTTGTCGATGAGGCTCAAGGAAAGTACGAAAGTGCATTAATTGATTATGAGAATTACTTGACCAGCCTTGAGGGTAAAGAACTGGACTCGTCACAAAAATTGATCAAAGATTTTATTGAAAATCGTCTTCTAGAATGTCATCAAAGTCTTGGATCTTGGAGTGAAGCCCTTTCGTGTTTCAAAGTTTCCCGAACTAATGTTCTCGAACGTCGGAAAAATAGTTTCTTCTCAGGTGATCTTGACCTTTCCTACCTCTCAAGTTGGCAAACACTCGAAGATACATCTAAATGTGAATACAGTTTTCCACATATTCTTTCATGGGATATTCAATCAGTTTATCATCGAGCTCAATCTCAACTAACCAGTGTCATCAATCTGACGATAGCCAATGAAGAGAGTAACCGTGTAGCGAACCTTAAAACCTTAGATCAAATTTGCTCGGCTACATCATCAATCCTTACGACACCCATTCTGGTCAGTCCATCTTCAATTTGCCAAAAATCGATGACAGTTCACAAAGTTGCGTTCAATCTTCGTCATCGAGCAAAATCTCAAACCAATAATTGGAATCCGTGGACTCAATCAATATCAGATGATCTCCGTAAAATGGACTGTTCCGTTCTCGTCCATGCTATTGGCTGGTTAGAAAAGTGTAAAAATATTGACTCCCTAATGTCAGATTCTGGAGCGATAATTAATGGTCTAAATTTTACTGGAGCCAAAATCGCGCGAAAACAAAACAACCTCAAATTGGCGCAAAATTTATTGGTCAAATTTGCAAAATCAGCTAATATTATACAAAACACAAACAGTTCCAACCAACTGGTCAGCGATTTGATTGACACCTCATCTGCATCTCATTTACAAACTCATCTCAACTTAGCCCTTGACACTACTAATCTGTCTCCCGATTATCCGGCAATTGAGAAATTAAAGTTCCTGATTGAAGGATCAAAACTATTACATGCCCTTGGGCACACAAAGAAAGCGGGTAATACCTTATTATCCTGCATAGAGACAAACTTTGTTCTGGTCACTGATCCAGCATTAAGCTACTTTCAAGAATCTTTGTCCAAACTTTTGTTGACCCTTGTTAAATACTCGACCATTGATGGAACCCTTCTTGAACAAATTGACCCAACCAGTTATAGTAAACTTCACGAACTGGTTAACTCAATTAACCTTGGAGTTAATTGTAATAATCAAATTTTTGACATGAATGACCTAACCAGCGGGAAACTTTTACAATTAGGTGTTCAATACTGTCCACAAATGCCAAAATCATGGTTCAGTTTAGGTGCCTGGAGCTATCGTTGTGGTAAACGTTTAATTGACTCCGAAGATTCTGATAAACTTGATATAGATTCAGTTAAATCGTCAAATGAAGGTCCATTTGCTTTCTACAAACTTGCTGCCAATTCTTATTTCAAATTTCTTCATCTTTGTGGTGCTGGAACTGAGGATTCTTATGTTACTGCAACTTTACGTATTTTACGTTTAATTGTTAAACATGCATCCGAATTACGAGATATCCTGGAAACTGGACTTTCAACAACTCCCACTGGTCCATGGAAATCAATCATCTTACAATTGTTTGCTAGGCTTGGTCATCCTGAGCCTTATGTCCGTCAAAGTATCTCTGAACTACTTTGTCGCATTGGAAAAGATTCACCTCATCTAATTGTTTTCCCGGCGGTTGCAGGTTCTTTTACAAGCAACAGTGAAGATATATTTTTTGAAGGAAAAATAACTGAAAATCAGGGTAAAAACTTTGAAGAACAAGAAGATTGTAATGTTCTTTGTGATTTCGATGACGATGAAGGTGCCGAAGAAGACGAAAAGAAAGACACTTCAGTTATGCAAAACTGTTTCGCTGCATTGGTCGATGTTCTTGGCCAACAAAATCCTGAACTCATCTCACAAACGAAAACCTTTATCCATGAGCTTCGTCGGATTATCATCCTATGGGATGAACTTTGGATTGGTACACTAATGGGACACCTTGGGGTTATGAAGAAACAAGTTACAGTTCTGGAAGATGAAATATCGAGAGTGTACAAAAATCCTTCTCTCTCCAAAGAGGAAGAGGAAAAATTATCGTCGCTAAACATCGAGTCTTTTTACGTCGCGTTATTTATATTCTTGAACAAACTCAAATGATAACCAATGAAGCACCAGAAACACCCCATGAAAATTGGTTTCAGAAAAGTTTCAACAAATCAATTGTATCAACAATCAAATTACTGAAGACTCCACTCAATCCATCCAAACCTCAGCAAAGTTTACTCATCTATCAGCAGCTTCTTCAGTCACTCCAAAAGAAAGCATCAAACTGGAATTCAGCTCGATCTCAACACATCATGAGTTCAATCAGTCCCATTTTAGCCAATATGGAGAAAACTGTGATACCAATGCCTGGGGCAAATTTCAGTGCCGACGGAACCGTGATAACCATTGAAAAAGTTCATAAAACTGTTACTATCCTTCACACTAAAACAAAGCCTAAGAAAATTGGATTCTTTGGTTCCGATGGTAAAACACACACTTACCTGTTCAAAGGACATGAAGATTTACACCTCGATGAGCGAATCATGCATTTCTTAACAATTGTAAATAAAATGTTTGCCAAATACCCGAGCAATAAGAACGACAAATCGACCTCTTTCCGAGCTCGTCATTACTCAGTTACCCCGTTGGGAACCAAATCGGGTCTAATTCAATGGGTTGACGGAGGATCTGCCTTATATGGTTTCTATAAACGATGGATGCTCAATCGAACTGCCACCGCCGCCGCTGCAACAATTAATCCCAAAGACGATAACAGTAAGGTTGTCGTTCAACCTTTGAACGATAATGCATACAAACCATCGGAAATTTTCCAACGTAAATTGGTTGCCAAAGGAATTTCAAGTCTTAATCGATCAGAATGGTCGTTACCTGTTCTTGTTGAAATATTGAAAGAGCTAATGGTTGAGACACCAAGTAATTTAATTGCTCGTGAATTGTGGTGTGCATCAACTAACGCTTTTGAGTATTGGCATCTTGCTCAAACTTTTACTCAATCAAATGCCGTTATGTGTATGATTGGTTATATTATTGGTCTTGGTGATCGTCATCTTGATAATGTGTTGGTTGATTTATCTACCGGTGAAGTTTTTCATATTGATTTTAATATTTGTTTTGAAAAAGGGAAAACCCTTCGAGTACCTGAACGAGTCCCATGTAGATTAACCCAAAATATTGTCTCCGCTTTTGGTCTTACCGGGGTTGAAGGAACCTTTCGTATCTCATGTGAACATGTACTTAGAGTACTTCGTAAAGGCCGTGAGACTTTACTTACCCTATTGGAAGCTTTTCTTTACGATCCTCTAATTGATTGGACCCTGGGTCACGAGGAAGGTTATACTTGGTCCATTTACGGCGGTGGACGTATCAATATACTGAAAGAAATGTTTATTACAAAGTACCAAATGGAACGAGAAAATGCCGAAGCAATGTTGAAAATTCGTATTATCGAGACTCGATTTAACTGGACCAATGTAAAGGAAACTTTAACAAAAATTTTGATTACCATTTCAAATTGTCTTCAGGAGGCTGAATATTCAAAATTTCCACCACTTTCAGCATCATCTCAGAATGAAACTAATTGTCCATCTTTAATAACCAAATCTGATCAATCAGTGAAAGAATTAAATTCAGAAAAAGAATCAAATATAACACTAATTACCTCTCGTGATACAACCAAATCGTCATCATCATCGTCTCGAAGTCTTATAAATGATCACGCTTCTTGGTCCCAAATCAATGAAAAGGTAATTCTTAAAAACTCATTAGTAATTCATCAAATAATTGTAACAATTAGCTTAATCATTTTTTAAATTCTAATCAATTTCCTTTTCTAATGATCTTTCTTTTCCTTTTAAAATCAATTCTCTCCAATTTTCTTACCTCTTTCTCGTCATCAACATAATGATAATTAATAGCTGGTTCCATTGAAGAGCATCATAAATAACCATAACGCTCTTCTGGCTGAAATTAAACATATAATTAGAGCTTTATCTAAATTAGAAGAAAGAGAAATGGGACTTGAGAGTAAACATAATGGGCCCATTAATCAGTATTACCTGATTCACCGTAAATTCATCGAGAATATTTACAAACTGGTTAAGGAACTTGAACAACTTTCATCCGTCAACCTCCTCTCAGGCTCCAACAATATACTAAGTGCTAACAATCTGACTAATAATGTTTCACCGGACCCATTATCATTAACATCGTTACAACAGCATTATAATGATAATAGTACAGAATTGACGATTGACACTATTAGGGAGCGGTTGAATTTGGTAATTAAGTTAATTGATCCTGTTTATGATACACTACTTGATCTAGTTGGTAAAGATTTTGAATCGAAAGATTTTACATTGGCAGCATTTTCAGGGAAACAATTTTTAACTCAATCAAATTTAAACTCACCAATCAAACAAAACCAACAACAACTACAGTTAACTTATAACAACAACAATAATTTTAATAATAATAATAATAACAATCATCATAAAGATATTGTTAATGGTGATGATACAACTATTGCTGGACCATCAAGTGACCATAAACAACAACCTGTTAAGCAAATTATTGGCCTAGAAAGAAATACCTATGCTACTAATGTTTGGAAAAGAGTAAAAATGAAACTCGATGGACGTGATCCTAATCCGGTAAACCGAAGCTCAATCTCAGAGCAAGTTGATTATGTTATCAAAGAGTCAATGAAACTGGAAAATTTAGCTCTCATGTATGAAGGTTGGACTTCCTGGGTGTGATAATGTAAAGAATGAAAATAATATTATATATATAAATACCTTTTGAAAATATTCTTGCATCTTTATCATCATCTTGTTCATCTTGTTCATCTTCCCTGAAATTATCCTTCTATTTGTGTGTCTAAATTATAATCACATTGAAAATAATATTTTCGATGCTAAGAAAACTTTTTTTCTCATGAAAAATATCAACAATTCTGATATTTTCTTCCTGTTCCTACAAAGAACTGTGTGTCTATGTGTAGTCTTGAAATCTAATTTAATTTGATAATTAATTTAAATCAAATGAAATTAATTCTATTTTCTAATTGTTACCCTTTTTGCTACCTCACATTTAATTACATCTCCACAATTAAGCGGCAATTTTTTACCTACCAATTAACCTAATTAAACAAGAGGCCTGAACTTGTTTAATTTGATTAACTTTACACTGTTACTGTTGAAAAATTTAATTGATTATATGTAAATTTAGTTGATCAAATTATTGATTAAGTGCCTATGAAAATCAATCGTGAATCAAGTGCAAAACAAAAAGTTAATTGTTGGCAAACAAAAATCAGATTAAGTTGATCCTTGAGGTTTGATTGGGCCTCCAAATAATTATTAAATTGTTTAACCTGATCTATTGATTAACTGATTAGATTCATATTGATACCACCCAACATTTAAATTGAATTAACATTCAATAGTTTGATTATTAATTATCAACTCGTAATTGTAACTATCTAGATAATTAAGTTTGCAATTTAATTTTTCCTCCTCATTGATAATGATGTTATTATTACTAATGATGAATCAAATGATTACAATCAATTTTAATCATTTAATTTAGTTACTATTGGTTTAATGGATCATTTTTCTTGTTACTTTTATCACAAACAATTATTACGATTGACGATTTTTCGCATGAAGATTAAGGAAAAACTAGGCTACCTACAGACACAGCAAAAATATCAACTGAAAGAGCTAAAAAATCTTCACCCGCAAAAAATAGAACCAATGTCATAGGTTGTCAGGGTCAAAAGTTATTAATTAATGAAAAAAAAGGGGCGTTAAATTGACCAAATTAAAATGTTAATTAGATTAATAAGAGGATTAGATAGAAATGAAAGAGAAAAGGGGAAGAGAAAGAAGGGATGAACTATGACGTACGGGGCAATGAAGGGGAAAAGAAAATAAAGAGCATCAGATGAATGTAAGTTTTTAATTGTATCAATCCCATAATAGAATTCGTGTTTTCTGACCAATGTGACTACTAATTACTTTCTTTTTCTGACTGAACAAGTTCAGTATGATGCTCTTAACAATCTCTGAGCAAGAGAGAGGCAACTTTTTTCCTCGGTGGGAAATTTGGGTTTTCACCCAAAAAAATTTTTTCTTAATTTTCAGTATGTTAACCAAAATTGGTCGTGGGTAAGCCAAGGTTAGACTTCCTAACCTTATGCACATAACGGTTGTACCGTTTGACCAAAAAAGATTTCGAATACATTGGTCAGAAAACACGGAAACTTAAAATTTTCAATTAAACAATTAAGTGAATAGAGTTCGTGTTTTCTGACCAATGTGACTACTAATTACTTTCTTTTTCTGACTGAACAAGTTCAGTATGATGCTCTTAACAATCTCTGAGCAAGAGAGAGGCAACTTTTTTCCTCGGTGGGAAATTTGGGTTTTCACCCAAAAAAATTTTTTTCTTAATTTTCAGTATGTTAACCAAAATTGGTCGTGGGTGGAAAAGCCTAAGGGACTTCCTAACCTTATGCACATAACGGTTGTACCGTTTGACCAAAAAAGACTTCGAAAATAAACATTGGTCAGAAAACACGGAAACTTAAAAATTTCAATTAAACAATTAAGTGAATAGAGTTCGTGTTTTCTGACCAATGACTACTAATTACTTTCTTTTCTGACTGAACAAGTTCAGTATGATGCTCTTAACAATCTCTGAGCAAGAGAGAGGCAACTTTTTCCTCGTGGGAAATTTGGGTTTCACCCAAAAAATTTTTTCTTAATTTTCAGTATGTTAACCAAAATTGGTCGTGGGTGGAAAAGCTAAGGTTAGACTTCCTAACCTTATGCACATAACAGTTGTACCGTTTGACCAAAAAAGACTTCGAAAATACATTGGTCAGAAAACACGGAAACTTAAAAATTTTCAATTAAACAATTAAGTGAATAGAGTTCGTGTTTTCTGACCAATGTGACTACTAATTACTTTCTTTTTCTGACTGAACAAGTTCAGTATGATGCTCTTAACAATCTCTGAGCAAGAGAGAGGCAACTTTTTTCCTCGGTAGGAAATTTGGGTTTTCACCCAAAAAAATTTTTTTCTTAATTTTCAGTATGTTAACCAAAATTGGTCGTGGGTGGAAAAGCCTAAGGTTAGACTTCCTAACCTTAAGTGCACATAACGGTTGTACCGTTTGACCAAAAAAGATTCGAGAAAATACATTGGTCAGAAAACACGGAAACTTAAAAATTTTCAATTAAACAATTAAGTGAATAGAGTTCGTGTTTTCTGACCAATGTGACTACTAATTACTTTCTTTTTCTGACTGAACAAGTTCAGTATGATGCTCTTAACAATCTCTGAGCAAGAGAGAGGCAACTTTTTTCCTCGGTGGGAAATTTGGGTTTTCACCCAAAAAATTTTTTTCTTAATTTTCTGTAGGATAAAGTGAATAGAGTTCGTGTTTAAAATAATCCTTAATAATGAAACTGTTAGTATCTCTAACATAAGATTTTAAATTTGCACAGTCATATAAGATGCGAGAATCTTCATTAAGTGTTGAAAATATCCACAGATTAGATTGCTTTTCTTAAACACCCCTTTAAATAAAATCTCATTTTGTCTTATTTTCATATTGGATATTATTCGCAATTACTTCGGATGATTTTCGTTTAATAAAAAGAAATCATTGGTATCATTTTTATCTATTTACATTTCATTTTTCTTATTGTCAAGTTCAAATTGTTGTTATATCTTTGCTTTGGTTGTTAACTATTGATAACTTTTTTGAGTTTCGAACCTCGATTTCATCTTGATCAATGGAAAAGATTACAATGGTAAGATATATCATTGATATTGAACCAATTAATTACAATCATGTTTTTCATCTAGAAATGTGGATATTGTGAAAATAACTTCAACAGTGTTGAAGAACTATTTCTTCATGTCTGTGATGGCTACGACAATGAAGTACGACACTTTGAGGTAGACACCGAAGTTCCAATGAAAGTCGATGCGACTTTGAGAAAGAAAAGAGGAAGACCAAGAAAGATTCCAAGTGATGATGTTGTAGTCGAAAAGAAGAAAATTAAGAAAAACCCTTGAATAGAATTGTCAGTGAAAACGATGATTGTAATGAAATTTTTTCTCAAATGAAAAGAATAAAATTCGATAAGGCAATTTATATATCAATGCTCTCTTAATGTTTATTTTTCTTTCCATGATCAGAGTCTAGCTGAAGCTATTATAGTGGAGGATAAATTGGTAAGAAAATATCGAAAATTGGTCAATTTTCATAAGTATTTTTGGAATATTCGAAAAGTTCTTAGATACAACATTTTCTATATGAAGAAATTGATACGCAGAGCTTTCATTTATGGTCATAATCGCTTGACGATGAGTTTCAGAAGCTATTTATACATAATCTCAGATATAAAAGAAATCGAAAGATATTTGGAAAAGCAACAAATTTAGATTTTCGACTGGTATATTATTCTTGAGAGCTAATAAATGGATTAAATACCATTTCTCTTACACAAGATATGATAAAATATTTAACCGTATGAAAATTTGACTCGATTCACTATAACATCCGGACAATAAACATTAACATTCTCATTTAAATTTCATTTCAAACTGTTTACCTTTTAAAAAAGTGACTTTCCGTTGAAAATGGACTCAGTGTCTTCAATTCGACAGGTAACAATTATCACTAATTTGCTCGGATTATAACGCATGTTAATAAAAGTTACATATCCATGAACTTTTGAAGTCTTTTGCAGTTGAATAGAGTTCGTGTTTTCTGACCAATGTGACCACTTATTACTATCTTTTTCTGTCTTAATATAATCTAATTGATGCTCTTAACAATCTAAGAGCATCAAACAAACAAACTTTTCTCTCCTCTTGATTTTGAGTTTTCATCCCAAAAAACTTTGTCTTTTTTTCACGTCAGTAAACCAAAATTGGTCGTGGGTGCTCAAGCCTAAGGTTAGGCCTTCTAACCTTAGGTGCACATAACGGTTGTACCGTTTGACCAGAAAAAAGACTTCAGTAAACATTGGTCAGAAAACACGGAAACTTGAAGAATTTCAATTAGATGATTAATTGAATAGAGTTCGTGTTTTCTGACCAATGTGACCACTTATTACTATCTTTTTCTGTCTTAATATAATCTAATTGATGCTCATAACAATCTAAGAGCATCAAACAAACAAACTTTTCTCCTCTTGATTTTGAGTTTTCATCCCAAAAACTTTGTCTTTTTCACGTCAGTAAACCAAAATTGGTCGTGGTGCTGCTCAAGGTTAGCCTTCTAACCTTAGGTGCACATAACGGTTGTACTGTTTGACCAGAAAAGATTGAGGAACATATTGGTCAGAAAACACGGAAACTTGAAGAATTTCAATTAGATGATTAATTGAATAGATTTTGTGTTTTCTGACCAATGTGACCACTTATTATTCTTTTTCTGTCTTAATATAATCTAATTGATGCTCATAACAATCTAAGAGCATCAAACAAACAAACTTTTCTCCTCTTGATTTTGAGTTTTCATCCCAAAAACTTTGTCTTTTTCACGTCAGTAAACCAAAATTGGTCGGAAGCTGCTCAAGGTTAGGCCTTCTAACCTTAGGTGCACATAACGGTTGTACTGTTTGACCAGAAAAGATTGAGTGGTACATTGGTCAGAAAACACGGAAACTTGAAGAATTTCAATAAGATGATTAATTGAATAGATTTTGTGTTTTCTGACCAATGTGACCACTTATTACTATCTTTTCTGTCTTAATATAATCTAATTGATGCTCATAATCTAAGAGCATCAAACAAACAAACTTTTCTCCTCTTGATTTTGAGTTTTCATCCCAAAAACTTTGTCTTTTTCACGTCAGTAAACCAAAATTGGTCGTGGGTGCTCTGCTCAAGGTTAGGCCTTCTAACCTTAGGTGCACATAACGGTTGTACCGTTTGACCAGAAAAGACTTCGAGTGGAACATTGGTCAGAAAACACGGAAACTTGAAGAATTTCAATTAGATGATTAATTGAATAGAGTTCGTGTTTTCTGACCAATGACCACTTATTACTATCTTTTCTGTCTTAATATAATCTAATTGATGCTCTTAACAATCTAAAAGCATCAAACAAACAAACTTTCTCTCCTCTTGATTTTGAGTTTTCATCCCAAAAACTTTGTCTTTTTTCACGTCAGTAAACCAAAATTGGTCGTGGTGTCAAGCCTCAAGGTTAGCCTTCTAACCTTAGGTGCACATAACGGTTGTACTGTTTGACCAGAAAAGATTGAGGAATACATTGGTCAGAAAACACGGAAACTTGAAGAATTTCAATTAGATGATTAATTGAATAGAGTTCGTGTTTTCTGACCAATGTGACCACTTATTACTATCTTTTCTGTCTTATATAATTGATGCTCATAACAATCTAAGAGCATCAAAACAAACTTTTCTCCTCTTGATTTTGAGTTTTCATCCCAAAAACTTTGTCTTTTTTCACGTCAGTAAACCAAAATTGGTCGGGGGTTTCAAGCCCAAGGTTAGCCTTCTAACCTTAGGTGCACATAACGGTTGTACCGTTTGACCAGAAAAGATTGAGTAATCACATTGGTCAGAAAACACGGAACTTGAAGAATTTCAATTAGATGATTAATTGAATAGAGTTCGTGTTTTCTGACCAATGTGACCACTTATTACTATCTTTTTCTGTCTTAATATAATCTAATTGATGCTCATAACAATCTAAGAGCATCAAACAAACAAACTTTTCTCCTCTTGATTTTGAGTTTTCATCCCAAAAACTTTGTCTTTTTTCACGTCAGTAAACCAAAATTGGTCGTGGGTGTCAAGCCCAAGGTTAGCCTTCTAACCTTAGGTGCACATAACGGTTGTACTGTTTGACCAGAAAAGATTGAGTGGAATGATTGGTCAGAAAACACGGAAACTTGAAGAATTTCAATTAGATGATTAATTGAATAGAGTTCGTGTTTTCTGACCAATGACTTATTACTATCTTTTCTGTCTTAATATAATCTAATTGATGCTCATAACAATCTAAGAGCATCAAACAAACAAACTCTTTCTCTTGATTTTGAGTTTTCATCCCAAAAACTTTGTCTTTTTTCACGTCAGTAAACCAAAATTGGTTTGGTGTTGTTTCTAAGGTTAGGCCTTCAACTTAGACTTATTTCATTGGAAAACACGGAAACTTGAAGAATTTCAATTAGATGATTAATTGAATAGATGTTTTCTGACCAATGTGACCACTTATTACTATCTTTTCTGTCTTAATATAATCTAATTGATGCTCATAACAATCTAAGAGCATCAAACAAACAAACTTTTCTCCTCTTGATTTTGAGTTTTCATCCCAAAAACTTTGTCTTTTTTCGTCAGTAAACCAAAATTGGTCAGGTTCAAGCCAAGGTTAGCCTTCTAACCTTAGGTGCACATAACGGTTGTACTGTTTGACCAAAAAAGATTGAGGAAACATTGGTCAGAAAACACGGAAACTTGAAGAATTTCAATTAGATGATTAATTGAATAGAGTTCTTTCTGACCAATGTGACCACTTATTACTATCTTTTTCTGTCTTAATATAATCTAATTGATGCTCATAACAATCTAAGAGCATCAAACAAACAAACTTTTCTCTCCTCTTGATTTTGAGTTTTCATCCCAAAAAACTTTGTCTTTTTTTCACGTCAGTAAACCAAAATTGGTCGTGGGGCTCAAGCTCAAGGTTAGGCCTTCTAACCTTAGGGTACATAACGGTTGTACCGTTTGACCAGAAAAGATTGAGGAATGGATTGGTCAGAAAACACGGAAACTTGAAGAATTTCAATTAGATGATTAATTGAATAGAGTTCGTGTTTTCTGACCAATGTGACCACTTATTACTATCTTTTTCTGTCTTAATATAATCTAATTGATGCTCATAACAATCTAAGAGCATCAAACAAACAAACTTTTCTCTCCTCTTGATTTTGAGTTTCATCCCAAAAACTTTGTCTTTTTTCGTCAGTAAACCAAAATTGGTCGTGGTGCTCAAGCCTAGGTTAGCCTTCTAACCTTAGGTGCACATAACGGTTGTACCGTTTGACTGAAAAGACTTCGAGTGGAACACATTGGTCAGAAAACACGGAAACTTGAAGAATTTCAATTAGATGATTAATTGAATAGAGTTCGTGTTTTCTGACCAATGTGACCACTTATTACTATCTTTTTCTGTCTTAATATAATCTAATTGATGCTCATAACAATCTAAGAGCATCAAACAAACAAACTTTTCTCTCCTCTTGATTTTGAGTTTTCATCCCAAAAAACTTTGTCTTTTTTTCACGTCAGTAAACCAAAATTGGTCGGTGTTTCCTCCTTAGGCCTTCTAACCTTAGGTGCACATAAGTTGTACCGTTTGACCAGAAAAAGATTGAGGAAGTCACATTGGTCAGAAACACGGAAACTTGAAGAATTTCAATTAGATGATTAATTGAATAGATTTTGTGTTTTCACCAATGTGACCACTTATTACTATCTTTTTCTTAATATATCTAATTGATGCTTAACAATCTAAGAGCATCAAACAAACAAACTTTCTCTCCTCTTGATTTTGAGTTTTCATCCCAAAAACTTTGTCTTTTTCACGTCAGTAAACCAAAATTGGTCGGGGTGCTGCCTGTTAGCCTTCTAACCTTAGGTGCACATAACGGTTGTACCGTTTGACCAGAAAAAGATTGAGGAACAGATTGGTCAGAAACACGGAAACTTGAAGAATTTCAATTAGATGATTAATTGAATAGAGTTCGTGTTTTCTGACCAATGTGACCACTATTACTATCTTTTCTGTCTTAATCTAATTGATGCTCATAACAATCTAAGAGCATCAAACAAACAAACTTTTCTCTCCTCTTGATTTTGAGTTTTCATCCCAAAAACTTTGTCTTTTTTCACGTCAGTAAACCAAAATTGGTCGTGCTTCAAAGGTTGCCTTCTAACCTTAGGTGCACATAACGGTTGTACTGTTTGACCAGAAAAAGACTTCGAGGAAATACATTGGTCAGAAAACACGGAAACTTGAAGAATTTCAATTAGATGATTAATTGAATAGAGTCTTTCTATCTTTCTGTCTTAATATAATCTAATTGATGCTCATAACAATCTAAGAGCATCAAACAAACAAACTTTCTCCTCTTGATTTTGAGTTTTCATCCCAAAAACTTTGTCTTTTTCACGTCAGTAAACCAAAATTGGTCGTGGGTGCTCAAGCCTAAGTAGGCCTTCTAACCTTAGGGTACATAACGGTTGTACCGTTTGACCAGAAAAGATTGAGGAATACATTGGTCAGAAAACACGGAAACTTGAAGAATTTCAATTAGATGATTAATTGAATAGAGTTCGTGTTTTCTGACCAATGTGACCACTTATTACTATCTTTTTCTGTCTTAATATAATCTAATTGATGCTCTTAACAATCTAAAAGCATCAAACAAACAAACTTTTCTCTCCTCTTGATTTTGAGTTTTCATCCCAAAAAACTTTGTCTTTTTTTCACGTCAGTAAACCAAAATTGGTCGTGGTGTGCCAAGCCTAAGGTTAGCCTTCTAACCTTAGGTGCACATAACGGTTGTACCGTTTGACCAGAAAAAAGACTTCGAAGTGGTCACATTGGTCAGAAAACACGGAAACTTGAAGAATTTCAATTAGATGATTAATTGAATAGATTTTGTGTTTTCTGACCAATGTGACCACTTATTACTATCTTTTTCTGTCTTAATATAATCTAATTGATGCTCTTAACAATCTAAGAGCATCAAACAAACAAACTTTTCTCTCCTCTTGATTTTGAGTTTTCATCCCAAAAAACTTTGTCTTTTTTTCACGTCAGTAAACCAAAATTGGTCGTGGGTCAAGCCTAAGGTTAGGCCTTCTAACCTTAGGTGCACATAACGGTTGTACTGTTTGACCAGAAAAAGATTTTGAGTCACATTGGTCAGGAAACACGGAAACTTGAAGAATTTCAATTAGATGATTAATTGAATAGATTTTGTGTTTTCAATGTGACCACTTATTACTATCTTTTTCTGTCTTAATATAATCTAATTGATGCTCTTAACAATCTAAGAGCATCAAACAAACAAACTTTTCTCTCCTCTTGATTTTGAGTTTTCATCCCAAAAAACTTTGTCTTTTTTTCACGTCAGTAAACCAAAATTGGTCGTGGGTGCTCAAGCCTAAGGTTAGGCCTTCTAACCTTAGGTGCACATAACGGTTGTACCGTTTGACCAGAAAAAAGACTTCGAAGTGGTCACATTGGTCAGAAAACACGGAAACTTGAAGAATTTCAATTAGATGATTAATTGAATAGAGTTCGTGTTTTCTGACCAATGTGACCACTTATTACTATCTTTTTCTGTCTTAATATAATCTAATTGATGCTCTTAACAATTCTTCTTGCTATCATAATGTATTATTTGTTTTGTACTTCCTCAGCCATGTAGAGGTAGACCACGCTCACGAAATACAAGTATTAGACAGAATGATGTTCGTAGGTACAGATATGATAGGAGACGGAGAAATACCGATAATACTTCAAATCATCCAGGATATTACGCAGCATTCGAACAAAACTTTTCTTTCTCATCTAATCTTGGAATAAAAAATGTCAAGTGTATATTTTGTGGTGCTTTCAATTTCGACTTTGAACGAACAGGTCGAGATAAGAATTTCAGTATTTGTTGTCAGAAAAATAAAGTTAAACTTGAGTTACCTCCATATTCACAGACATTAAAAAATCTGCTATTGGATAATCACCCACTCTCATCACTTCAGAGATAAAATTCGCCAGTATAATTGTGCCTTCTCATTCATCACTTTCAGTGCCAAAGTTCAGAATATTCCTACACGTGGACCTTATTGCTTCAAGATCGGTGACACGGTTCATCATTTAATAAGTTCTCTTGAAAATCAGCGATTAGGTGGACAGGTCTATATTCTGGATTTAGAAGAAGCTTACAATGTTAGATCATCGCATCAAGCCAATTCAGGCTTAAAACGTGAGCTAATGAACATGTTACATGAAGAATTTCTCACTATAAACCCATACGCGAGAACTTATAAAAACATGTCAATTATCCAACAACGAGAGGAAGAAATGGCACGTTTGCTTGGATCACCAATCAAAGTCTATGGAATTGAGTTTTTCACTGATTCAAATGATAATCGAGGCCGTGGAAATTTGCCAAACATCTCAGAAATCGCTGCAGTTTTTGAGACTGATGAAGGTACGCCACCAAATAGTCGAAATTTGAGAGTATATCCTGTAGGCGAAGCTCCTAGAATAATCTCACATTTAAGTCCTCACCTTGATCCTATGGCATATCCTATCATTTGGCCTTATGGGCAACAAGGTTGGTCCCCTTTTTTGATTCATAATAATTCCCGCAGAACTTCAACTCGAACAAAACTCACTTTGAGAGAGTTTGCCTGTTATAGATTTTCAGACAGAGAAAATCACTTCAATGCGGCGAATCATTGTGGTAAATTAACTCAACAACTTTACGTGGATATTTATGTAAGGTACGAAGGACTCAGACTATTTTGGATCAGAAAAAATCAGGACAAACTTCGCGTTGAAACATATGCTGGGTTATTAGATTTCGTTTCAGGAACTTCTGAAGCACAAAGTTCAAGAGCTGGTCGCAGAGTAATTCTACCATCTTCTTTCACTGGAAGCCCTAGAAATATGTTCACAAGGTACCAGGATGCAATGGCAGTGGTGAGACATTGTGGTAAGCCAGATTATTTTATAACCATGACCTGCAATCCAAATTGGCCTAAAATCACTGGATCAATTTTACCAAATGAGAAATGGTTCGATCGTCCAGACATTACTGTTCGTGTTTTCAACGGAAAAGTGGAAGAAATGAAAAATTTACTATTGAAAAATAAAATATTTGGTCAAGTAACATCTTTGATTTGTGTAATAGAGTTTCAAAAACGTGGTTTGCCACATTTACACTTACTACTCAATGTTTCAAATCACTGTAAGCCAAGAGAAATTGAACAAATTGATTCTGTTGTTTGCGCTGAAATTCCTGACCCAGTAGCAGATCCTGAGCTATTCAACTTGGTAACTTCTCATATGATCCATGGTCCGTGTGGTATTGTAGATAACTCTTCTCAATGTTTGGACGATGAAGGTAACTGTACAAAAAAATTTCCAAAACCATACCAGGAGCAAACTCAGATCAGTGAAAGGGGTTATCCTCTCTATCGACGCCAGAACACCAATCAAAGATACCCACACAGGACGGGTGGGGTCACTGTCGATGTAGATAACAGCTGGGTTGTTCCATATAATAAATTTCTTATCAAGTATTTCAAGTGCCATATAAATGTGGAAATTTGTTGTACCATCAAAGCGATGAAATATTTATACAAATATGTTTACAAAGGTTATGATCAATCAAACATACGAGTAATAAGTGAGGATGAAAATGGGGTTATTGATGAAATTGATACGTTTCTCAAATCAAGATACGTTGGCCCGACTGAAGCTGCTCATCGTCTATTTGCTCTTCCAATGTACTTCAATACACATACAGTAGTATCCTTACCAGTGCATCTCCCAAATCAACACTTCATAACTTTTCAGGACACAAATGAATTAAACGCAGCAGCAGCAGCAACCAGACACACCAAACTAACAGCTTGGTTTGAATTGAACAATCTTTATGATGATGTTCCTATTTATCCTCAAGTGCCGACTCAATTTGTTTGGTTTGATAATAAGTGGAATAAAAGAGTTTACAGTGTGAGTGACGTTATTGGAAGACTACACATTGTCCCACCAAATCAATCTGAACGATTTGCACTTCGCTTACTTTTATTGAATGTAGCTGGAGCTAAAAGCTTCATTGATTTACGAACACACAACAATGAAATTCATGGATCATTTCAGTCTGCAGCCAGATCACGTGGATTAATCGAAGATGATAGTGAGTGGGTAAATTGTCTCCAGGAGTTGGTAACTGTTTGTTTTCCAAAACAACTGAGAGAAACTTTTTCTTACATTTTGTTATTCAGCAATCCTGCAAATGCTAAAGAACTTTTCGAACAATTCAAATCACACTTTTGTGAAGATTTTCTTAGAGAATTCAATCAACAAGTTTCTGAAAAACTTGCCTTGGATCATATTCAGAGCATTCTCGATGTTCATCAAAAGTCTTTACATGAATTTGGAATAGAACATCACAATAATAATGCCTCGGATATACATGTTCCTATGAGCTCAAGTCGAAGGCAATCTTACTTGAATGAGTCAATTAATTTTTACAATAGTGCCAACAATGAACAAAAATTTTGTATTGATACCATTCTCAAAACTATCGAAAACACCAACCCCGATACATGGTCTAAGGCTTATTTCATCGATGGTCCAGGTGGGACTGGTAAAACATCAATATATAATTATTTGATAAAACATTTAACCGCCAATAACAAAACTGTCGTTGCTGTAGCTTGGACAGGTACTGCTGCGACATTATTGGTGAATGGTAGGACTTCACATTCCAGGTTTGGCCTACCACTAAACCTAAATGAAACCTCCGTATCTTCTATCTCAGCTCAAAGTCATAAGGCTGAAATTTTGAGATCAGCTGAACTTATTCTCTGGGATGAAGCTTCAATGATACCTAATACAGCGCTCAAGATAGTTAATGATCTATTCAAAGATATTATGTCATCTGAAAAACCGTTTGGGGGTAAAACGATTGTTTTAGGTGGTGATTTTCGACAAATATTGCCAGTTTGTCCTCATGGGGCAAAATTCCGACCCTGAATCTATCACTCAAGAAATCTACACTTTGGCAATATTTTCATATTTTACGGTTAACGTTAAACATGCGAGTGGATGATAATGACAATGCCTATAGATCTTTTCTATTGGAAATTGGAAATGGAAGTTATAACAACATTTTACCACCCTATGTTATCTCATTACCTTCAGATATCATGATTCCCGCCGATGATAATCTTATTGATTATATATATGGAAACAATCCTGATATTTTCACAAGAGATCCATTATTTCTAACAGATAGAGCTATTCTCTGTCCAAAAAATATACATTGTGATGAAATTAATGAAAAAATTGTTAATATGATAAGTGGAGAAGAACAAACTTATACAAGTTTGAATACAGTTGTTGATGATGGTAGTGGGTCGAATATTAACTATCCAACAGAATATCTTGACACTTTAGAAATATCAGGTTTACCTCCACATAAAATCAAGTTGAAAAAGGGTGTGGTTGTCATTTTGTTGAGAAATTTGAATCTGAATGCAGGTTTGACTAACGGAACTAGGTTAAGTGTAAATGAAATGTATGCAAATTCAGTTAAATTTACAATAATTACTGGACAAGCAGCTGGCAAAGAAGTTTACTTACCAAAGATAAATCTTTTCTCAAATGACCAATCTCTTCCATTCACCTTCAAGAGGAAACAACTTCCTGTTAAAGTAGCTTTCGCAATTACAATAAATAAAGCTCAAGGGCAAACTTTGAATAAAGTTGGTATTTACCTCCCTGAGCCAGTCTTTTCTCATGGTCAGTTATATGTTGCTCTTTCAAGAGCTAAAAACTCACAAAGTGTCAAAGTTCAACTCCCTTCTTCACGAGTAAACACAATAGCTCGAAACTTAACTAACAATGTTGTTTATAAAGAAGTTTTATCATAATTATAGACGAAAATCACCATAAATAAAATTAATTGAAAACTAAAAGTTGCAATATTTTTCATTCGCTTTTAAAAGCGATCATGTTGATCGCACGCCCCCTTGTATTGATAATTATGAATATTGATTTAATCAACTCTAACACTTAATTGTGTTAAATTTACCAATCAACTTGTGAAAGGATCATTAACTTTTTTTTTTATTATTGCAATTGATTTAACATCCCAATCATTAGTAATCTGATTATGTTTTGATTAAAATTGATTTAATCATTTTGTTTTAGGTTAAATATCAACATTGTCAAACAATTTAAACAATTTGCTTAATATTTGATTAGTTAATTGTAAATCCTATTAACACACAGCCTACAGGTAAGCTTAAAGCTTTTCAATCAATAATCAACAATCAAAATCTTTTGTTTTTCTCAGTAATCAACTAATTGTAAATGTCAATTTAATTTAGTTTCTAATTATTTTGGTTAATCATTTTCATCCCTAATTTGATTAATAGATAAATAGTAAAACAATTTTCAGATGAGGGACAAAATTGATTACAATTAATTGTTAATTTCATTGGGAAAGTAAATACCGTTATTGTTGTTGTTAATTGTAATTTAGTTTAAACTGAAAATGAATTTAAATTAATTGATTAACTAAATTAAAAAGGTTTAATATTCAATCAACGTTAACATGATTGTTGTTGGGTGGTAAGTTAATTGTTTACAATTAACTAAATATCTATTTATTATTTATCACTGATTCCATTGGTTGTATTAGTTAATCAAATGAAATGAAATCAAATGATTAATAATAATAAATTATATTAATTGAATTAAATAAATTCAATTGAAATTGTTAATTCCTTGGGAATGTAACCCTTTTTTTTGCAACTTAACAATTTAATTTAATTGTTCGGGTAGTCGTAGATTGTTGAAGTAAACAACTGATTTAAAACTAATTGTTATGATTAAAAATTAAAAATTACAATCACAATTTATTAATGACAACTATGTGCTTCTGTTACCAAACAATGTTAGTATTAATTATTACACATTTAAGTTAATATAATTATAAACAAAAATATTAACAAAATAATTAACTTACCTGGTAAATTGTAACCTTAATTGTTTCTAAATATATTATTCAACAATCATCATCATCACCAACGATTATATTAGTGTCATTAGTAATAATAATCATCATCATCATTCAAACAATTAACCATCACTTTGTAGTTTTACTTGTATCACAATCAGAGAGTTAATTGTGTTTAATTCACTTTGAAATTCAAGTCATGAAGCAATTTAATTAAGGAGTGTCTCTCTCTCTCTCTCTCTCTCTCTCTCTCTCTCTCTCTCTCTCTCTCTCCTCATCATCATTATCATCTTTAAGATTAAAACTAACGGGTTAATATCAGTAGTCACTTCTAGTCATCATCATCATCATCTTCATCATCTTCATCATCTTCATCATTGTAAATTGAGATATCGTTTTAAATTCAGTTTGGGTTGGTAATCATATTTTATATTTGTAATGATGGGGTTGCTGTTTAATCATTGACTGATTTAATCACAATTATTCAGTGAGGATTGCCTTCGTTAGTATGATGATGATGATGATGATTAACTTTGATGATTATCAAGAGAGTTAATTGTTCAATGATAATAATGCTCACGGAATTTGGTCAAGAATTTAGCTTTGATTGTTGTATTTGATAACAATCGGTCAAGGTAACAGTCTCAGTGCTTTAATTGTTAACTTGATTATTGATTCAAAATTGCAATTAGTTGATCATAATCATCATCATAACTTTATTAAATACTGTATAATCATTACACAATTAAGATACTAGAAAATTAGATGTTATTTAAATCCTTTTTTTGTTCATTCATCATAATTGTTACTCAATATGATTAAATCACTTTAATCATCAACTCTAATCATCTTGATTGTTACTTTGTCTGACATCAATATTATAACATTTAAATTGTTACTTGATTGTTATTTATATAAACTTTACAATTGACTTTTATTATTTATATCACACATTTAATTTGTATTGTGATAACATTTTATTTAGTTAATCATCAACAATCAAATCTTTCATCAATCATCCGGATTTTCATGTTTATTAATATATAAATTGTTGGACAATAAAACAATTTACTTGTATTATTACATTGGATTAATTTTAATTGTCTCTTAATTGTTACTTAAATTTGCTGAAAATTTTCACAATTACACAAAATTTTCAACTAAATTTAAATTGTAATGATTAAAGAAATGAGCGATTCTACCAGTTAATTGTTTATTCATATCTAATCACTTTGACCTTTCAACAAATACTACAATCAAATTAAATGATTACAATAATTGATTGTGTTAATTAAGTGTGTGAGTGTAAGTTGAATAAAAAAAAGTTAATTGAAAAAAAAATAAAATCAAAGATATTAATTAGTTGATCATGTTGATAATGAACTTAAATTGATTAGTTAGTGAGTATAAGAAATTGATTCATGAAATAACAACAACAACAACAACAATTTATTAATCATTACGATAACAAGGAACCAAATTATTGAGAAAATAAATTGTGATGAGATTTAAAAAATTCATGATTTGAGAATCAAAAAAAAAAGCAAATCAATGATTAACTAATCATGATTATTAATAATGATGATGATTAAAACCTGGGAAAGGTTAATTTTTATACTCACATGTAAACAAATATATATTTTACTAAGCAATTAAAGTTAATTGTGATTAGTATAACAAGTAATATATAAAAAACAAAAAGCAATAATGTTGAATAATAAATAGCTCACAAATTGTAAGTGTGCCATTAATAAAGATGATTAAAGTTAATCAAAAGTTAATCATTGACTCGCCCAATTGATCAATTGACTATGACACTTAATTTAATGAATGAATAATAACTTGGCTGAAGTAAAAACAACAACAGCAATCAACTAATTGTCAATTTATATATATCACATCTAGTTGGAAGCAGGTTAATCAAGAGGTAATCATATAAAATATTAATGATTAACAATTTATTAAATAACTAAATTAAAGCTTTAAGGGTTTACTATTAGTATTAATATTGATAATTATGAAAGACAACAACTAAACAATTTCATCTGATTTTTATGGGTGCAGTTAATTGTTGGAAAGCCGTTGTAGTTGTAATTCATTTAACTAATAACTATGGCGTGATATTGATGATCAACATTTCAATTAAATTGCCTGGGGTAAATTTCATCCGATCATCAACTTGTATCATTATCATTATCATTGATGATGATGATAAAATTATAATCATCAATGATGTTAATTATCATCCAATGTGCATTATTAGGTTGATTTAAAAAATGTGAGAAAAAGTGATTCAGAGAAATTGTTGATTTACTAAAAGAAATCAAATTTAACCTTCAAGCAATTTAGTAAGAAATATGAACATTTTGTTATTAGTTTTAAGCAATAAGTTACTTATTATTATCTCATCTTCATCTTCATCCTCATCTTCATCCTCATCTTCATTTTTATCTTCATCATCAACAATAAAATCAACATCATCGCCATCCGATTATCGTATTGACAGTAACCCAAAAGGATGATGATGTTTTCGTTAATAATAAAGTCTCAGGTTTCAACAAGACAACATCAATTCATCTTCATCATCATGATCATCCTCATCTCTTAGCTTTATCGTCATCCTCATCATCTTACTTCCGGGCTCTACCTTGTATTTAACGTTGATGATGAAGAAGAAGCAAAAAAAATGATGAAAATGAGTAGAAAAATGAAAAGATTTAATTTCAATGATTCTAATTATGATTGATTTTCCAGCTTTTTAATGATAATTAACGTTTAATTGTAAGAAAAACTGAGATGATCAATGTATCATCATCATCATTATGATCAATTACTTTTAATTGTTTCACTTTTCTGCTAACTATCTTAATCTATCATCGTTGATTGTTTAAAATACATTTGATAATCAATTGATTGTTGAGATTTTTTTTTCCTTCTTATAAATGATTCAATGCTCATGAATAATGTTAACATCATTAACAATTAACTTTAATCGATGTTAATCTTAATCATTAATATTAGATAATCAACTGATAATTGTCTCATGATCAACTAATTGGTTCCTTCAAACACTAATCTGATTGACTGATTAAGGAAAGCAAAAAATTGTGAGAATCAAAATTATCCATTGACATAACATTTACTTTAACTAACTGTTATTAGACCTCACTAATTGTTAATTTTTTAATAAGTTAATTGTAATAGTAAAACGATTAGTATACAAATTACATTGTATTGGTGATTTTCTCACATGATAATTGTGATTAAAATCAAGTCATAATTAAATGGTGATGAAAAAAAGTGTCTAAACATTTGATTCCCTTGAAAAAAAAACTTTTATCCGATTTTGTGATTAATCATTAGAGCTCAATCTTCATTAAGTTAATCTGAATCTCAGCTTTTTCTCTTGCCTTAATTATGATTAAAATCAATCTCATCATCATTATCATTTTACTAATCATCTTAACTTTTTAGTTTAATTTTTTTGCAACATTGTAAACAATTAACTAACTGTTACTGATCCCTCGTTACCTGTTACCTGAGGCTTCATCAGATTTCCTGTGTTACCTTTAAATTGGAAAAAAAACTTCCAAATTAAGATAAGAATTAACTGATTGCAATAAAATTAGAGTTAAATCATTCTTTCTGATTCCTTGTCTGAGAATGTGTCTTTAATTACAATTAGTTAACCATTTCCGTAATTAGATTAACAACTAATTAAAACAATCTGGAAAACTTTGTAAAGTCTAGCAAGTTAATTAACGAGAAAAACTTTTTCTTAACTTAAAAAGTTTTTGTTTTCAATTTGGAGCCAAAATTTTACTCGAAACTAAATCAGTAAATTGTCATTGGTTATCCTTTAATTGGATCCATCTACTAATCTAATTTAAACCACTACTTTTTACAATTAAGAGGATTACAATTAACTCGTTTGATTATGAGTGGAAATCAACAAGTTGAAGATTAAAATTAATTCAATGATGATTAGTTGGTTAAATTTAGTTTCAATTTGTTACAATTAAACTGATCCAAAGGATTACTTTGAATATTGTCAAATGGTTTAGTTGTTAATTGTTGGAAATCTATTTGATTTGGTTTCTCAATTTGGTTAGAATTTTTTTTCAACCTTGCTAATTGTTGTGTTTAATTGATTAATTTACATGAAATTTGTTTCTTGTTTTAATTAAATTTAATTATCTTGGGCTTGATAATGATAAGCATGTTGGTGGGTATTTTTTAATTATGAAAATGTTTAATTAGACCATTAAACTATTAAAGCTAATTAATCAATGAAATAATTGATTCTGTGTTAATGTTATTCAATCAGGAGCTTGAAAATAAACAGTTAATTTATTTATTGCTGTTTTGATTTAGTTCAAAGTTAAATTGGATTAATTAAAATTATATTAAAAAAGAGTCTTTATCAAGGATTAAATGTCAACAATTAACTATTTTTCAATCAGTTTAAATCAAGTTCCCATTTTGTTTGATTAGAAAATTAATTCCTCTAATATAATATACATGTAGATGATTAATTGTTGCTGATTGTTGAGTTGATCTTATAGTAGGGAAAAATGTAAACAATTTACTGATTGTTGTGATTAAATTATGCTATATATTTTCAAGTGATTCCATTAATCAAGATGATTTGACCAAGTTAATCAGTTTAAATCAATTAAAAAGGTAATCACATTAATCTTACAAAAGGATCTGAATAATTTTCCCTTGAAAAGTTGAATCAAAATAAATGAGATGTTGATATTTAATCAGTGGAAATAATCAACTTTAATTGTTGCAAAATGGTTCAATTAATGTTAATCATCATCAAAGGTAAATCACGCTTTAGACAGGTATCCAGGTAATTACAATTACTTAATCAACGAGCTAATCATTGATATGATTAAATAGTAAAGGAAAAAATTTTTTTCAGAAAAACAAAAAGTTTTGTTATAACAATTGGATAATAGTGAAACTTTAATTTGATTGTTCATCTTTGTTCATAATCATCACAATTAGATTGATTCGGTTAATCATGATTTTGCCCTTTCCAATCTCGTAGTACAATATAAACACATGTAATCATCAACAATTAACGTCTAACAATTAAGATTACAACGACACCAGCGGAAAATTAAAACTGATCATCATGTATAATGATTAAAACTCAATTTAGTAAATTATTATAATGACCTAATCTTCAAGAAACTAGAAATTAATTGTGACAATTAAGATTAAGTAATCAGAAAAGTTTATCCGGAAGTTAATTGAGGACATAGATTGTTATCTCAATCATCTTAATCATCCTAACTAATCAACCTAATCATCACAATCTTAATCAAAAATGGTTGACATAAAATCTTAATCTAATCCCTTATTTAATATCCATATTAAAATTAACGTTAAATCATTTAAATTAGTTTTTTAATTGCAACAATTTTAGATGAAAAATTTGTACATCCAAACAATTAAAGGCTTCAACAATCAAATTAATTGTTCATCCTTCCAGAAATTCACTAATAACAACTGTCCACAATACAATTAACAGGTAGGACAGTGAACAATTAGTTAAGTATCAATTAACAACTTGTATGATTAGCAATCAATGAAAGTAATAGCTACAGGAACAGAAATCAGAGATGATGATTAAGATGATCATCTTAATGAGGCAAGGTCATTGATGATGAAGATGATGATGATCATTGATCTCAATGGTGAATGAATCAACTGACAAGTTAAACCAGTTAATAAATTTAATTGCTAACTAGTTATAAAAAAAACCTTTATCCATAGTAATGATTAAGGAAAAGATGATAATAAAACATTTCAACATTAATTTCATTGAGAACATTTTTTTTACAAAGATAATTGGAAACAGTTTAATTGTAACAATTGAAATTGATTAGATTGGAGAGTGGGAACGGTCAATTAGAACTTTTTATTTTTCTTATCTCCATCAATTCGATAATCTTTAGATTTATTTTATTTATTTTCTTCTTCTTGATTGATGCTGGAAACGGGATTCTGAATGTTAAGGTCAAGCTCTCAGTCTGGTCAAGTCTTCGTTGCAACTGTTTCCCGCTCTTCCCCCATTTCTCTCTCTCTCTCTCTCTCTCTCTCTCTCTCTCTGTAATCCCTTCTTATCCTCCCTCTCCTCCTCCTCTTTCTTTTTCATCCTTACGGCTCTTTTCTTGAAATCATCAGCATCTTCATCACTCTGCCCCTTCTGAGCTTCATCTTCTTGCCCTCGTCTCTCTATCTCTCTCTCGCTCCCTTACTCTTTCTTTTCATCCTCATCCTCATCTTCTTCTTGTTTTTTTTTCATTCTTCATGAAAAGTTCAAGTTATCGGTTTCATTTCAAGTTGAGAGGTTACCTGAGTTAGTTCAAAGTCTTAAAATAGCTTCAAGTGTCGAGACTTTTTTTTATTATTCCAAACAAAATATAATATAAACAAGCCATGCAAACATTACTTCAAAATCAGGTAAGTTTCATTAACAATTAATTGATTGTCCATCATCCTCCTTGACCATTTTTCAAATGACAATTTTCATCTCGCGTTTTCAGTGTAACTGTTTATTTTACAATTGTTTAATTCTCGTCTTATTTTTATATTCCTTTCATTTTTTTAATCGTCAATCCTTTTGATAAATACTCGTAATGAAGGATCAAAGTGACAATTCATCGACAATCAAAAGTATTCACTCTCTTGCCTCCATGGATCGACAGTACACTTCCCATCGTCATCGTCGGTGTCGTGACAATTCATCTTCCTCATCTTCTTCATCTTCTAACTCAGTAACCTTGTGGCTTATGGTTTTATCCATTCTCGTCATCATAGGAATCATCACCATCGGATTTGTCTTAATCTACATCGTGGTCAACAGCGGTATCACCGTTGGTTCATCAACAGCTTCCGAAACTCGATTACTTGACGATCACAATAATCGACCTGAGAATACTCCAGTTGTCATTGAACTTCTACAAAAACCTTCATCCTCTGTTCCTCCATCAACCTCATCATCGCTTCAAAATGTAGGAAAACAACAACGAAGCAAAAGGTCACCTCTTCTCTCATCATCTTCCACCTTTGTTGAAGGTTCTTCCGATCCGATCAACTTTTACCGTCGATATGATGTAGCCTACGACATGCCGAAAGCCGAGTGTATCCGCCGAAGTCTTCCCATGTGCAACGGTCAAGTTCCTTACAATTCAACAGTCTATCCAAACTACATTGGTGACAACAACGAACTCGAAGCCTCAAGGTCACTTCCTTATTACAATTACATCGCCAAATCAAAGTGCAATCGTCGGATAAAACAATTACTTTGTACCTTCCTTGAGCCTCCTTGTGTTGAAGGTCGACCGATTCCTCCATGTAAAAAGTTTTGTCGAATCGCTCTCGAAGGTTGCGCTGAATATGTACCTGCGACCCTTGAACTTTCCGCTGCATTTGATTGCCGCCGTTACCCTGATTCAACTGACCCTTCCGTCTGTGTCAACTTGGCCATCGGCAAAGGCTGTGCAGCCGATGAGTTTCAATGTCCAGATAAAAGTTGCATCCCAAAGCATTGGCTTTGTGACGGCGTAAGAGATTGTGCTTTCGCCGCCGACGAGGCAAATTGCGCCGGTGTTGGTAAGTTAATCAACTCATACCCACCCGCCACCCACCCCATACAATTTAAACATCTCTCTCTCTCTCTCTCTTCCTAAAAAAACAACTAATTGTTAGCAGTTAATTAACAACAAAATCAGTTCCTGTTACCATAAGAACCTTTGTTTTTTTTTGTTTGATTATCAGAAAACAAAAACGCTATTTAAATGCAAATCATTTACTCTTTCAGTTGATTAATGTTTAAATCAGTTTGTTTTTAATCATTTATGATTATGATTGTTATTAGATACATTAGACCAAGTTGATTAACATTTATTACCTATTTTAGGTGAGGTAATTTAAACGTGATTAAATCAGATGAAGGCTCTTGCTTTTCAAGATTAAGTGTTAATCATGATTTTGACTTATCATTATATTTAAGTTTCCCTTATTATTTTTACCTATTAATTAACTAGGAAGTTAGTTAGTTGATTAGTTAACTTTGTTAATTTAATAGTTTTCTTTTCTCATAAAATTTTTTTTTATTATATTTACTGTTATTAAAATAGCAAATCTTAATTACAATTAACTAACTATTTCACCGTGGAAAAGTTTTCCTAAAGTTGTTAAAATTATTTCATTATCATTAAAAGTTATTAATATGATGATAATGATATTAATTGTTACGATTTAAAAAGTTAATTAGATTAATTCACCATTAATTGAGTGGGTTACAGGTTGATTTTTATTACAATTAATTGTTTTAATTTGATTGTTAACAGTTAATTGTTGGCCTTTCTCATTCACACCAATCATGTTTGTCTGACAATCAAATAAAAACTTTTTAATCATCATCATAATCATTTAATTGCAGTTAACAAGCCAAAATTTAAATTGTATTACATTATAATGTAAATCATTTGAAAACAATTTAATCAAGTTAATCATTTACCGTTAATAATGGTTATACAAATTTGCTGATGAGTAAATCAAGTTAATCGCAGTTGAATTAATTTTGATTTAGTTTTACATGTTAGACGTTAAATAGATGAAAATATTTATGATGAATCGCAAACAATTAAGTTAATTTAATCAAATTAAAGTCTTTATGAGAAGAATGAAAATTAATCATGATGATTATTAGTTAATTATGTTAAATTGTAATGATGATTTTTTGTTTTAATCTTTCAAACAATTAGCTTGTTCCAGTGAAGAGTTTGAATGTGATCGGAAATGTGTCCCACTCTCTTGGCGATGTGACGGTGATCGTGATTGTATGGACGGTGCCGACGAGGCCAATTGCTCATACAAACCAGGCTGTGGTCCCGATAGGTTCAAATGTGCCGACGGAGCGGGTTGTATACCCAAGCGATGGGTCTGCGACGGTAAAGCTGAATGCCGAGACGGAAGTGATGAAGTTGGATGTACTCAAAAAGGTGAGATTAAGTTAATAATAATATTAGACATTGAATAGTAATGGAAAATAAATAAACAAATAAAACCAGATTAGGAAGATGATTATGATGATGATCATCCTTCATCATCTTCATCACTAGGGTTTGGTTATCTAATAACAGGTAATACCTTTGATTAGGACAGTCTACCTGACGAGAAGCTTGAAAAGGGTTTAAAAGTCAAGTTGTTGTTGATGATGAGAGAGAGAGAGGGAAAGAAAGATGATAAAGATGATAATGAAAGAGAGGAAAGATGAAGATGATGAAGATGATAAAGGAATGAAATGTTTATACCCTGAGGCGATGATGAAGATGATGATGTACCTTTGACGTTAATAGTATTTACCTGTTACCAAGATTCTTTTACCTCTACCTACCTTTTTTCTTGCATAGTAAACTTTGTAATTCACTTGGTAATTAACATTAAATTATTGATTCTATTAGACAAAATAAAAAAATCATAACTCATATTGTTGATAATCATCAGTAACTTAATCATCGTAATTAAATGTGATGATTTTTACGATTTTGAACTTTCAACTGAAACAATTTACTATCTTTTATTTTATCAAATTACATTGAACATAAATTATCATTATTCTAGTTGAGTTAATTGTTGCTTGTTAATCATTTCCAGAATGCACTCAAGGTGATTTTAAATGTAACAATGGCATTTGTATTCCTAACATTTGGCTATGTGATGGTCAAGATGATTGTAAAGACAATTCTGATGAAAGAAACTGTGGTGGACAAGGTCCAGTTATCTCTTCACATTTTCCTCAATATACTTCATCTTCAGTATCTTCATCAACTTCATCCTCATCCTCATCCTCATCTTCATCTCCAGGAGAGTCAACTCAAAATCATAACGATTTAAATCATAATCATAATCACCAACAACGACCTCATGTTCAACATCAATCACACCAACAACAACAACAACAACATCAACAACAATCAATTAATCATCGACCTAATTTACATTCAATTGGTCCTTATTTCTCACATAATAATATTTATCGTTGGCTTCATAAGTGATTTGATTAACAATTAACTTCCGTTTTTCAATAATCTTATCTGTTAATCATCATTCTCATCGTCATCAAAATAATCATTCAATTAACTGATTAATTAGAGTAATTAATTTACTGGTAATTAATTGAATCATCTCTCTCTCTCTCTCAGTGTCTCTCACCTTTTCATGAAAACGAGTTAATTGTGAAAAAAGAAATCAATTAATTGTCAATTTTAAATTTATACACAATTAGTTTAACATCCTCATCATTAAGAAAAGTTAATTAACTCTATTAATCTTTATCATTAATTTTTAACGTCCATTCCCACCGATTAATTAATTCATCACTAACTAAATTAATTATTTATCAGTATCGATAATGGTTAACTTTTTTCCCCCTCTTCGCAATTACAATTAACCAATTGATTAAGTTAATTTTGTTTCTTATTCAATATTTGATTTCTAAATCACTTATTATTATTATTATTATTACTTTTTAATTACTACTACTAATTATAATTACTAATTGTTGCGGGTAAATTATTAGACTTTAATATAAAAAAAATTAGCGATTGGTTTTCCAGGGTAAATTTAATCAACATAATTAACTTAATCATTTCTGGTGATGATGATGATAATTTAATTAACTTAATTCACACTTTAATTGTGTGGGTGTCGCTCTGCCCCTTTCCCTTAATCACATTATTAATTAACTTTAATAGTGTCTCTTAATTGTATTTTCCAGATTGGGATGAATGAAACAATCTAGTTAATTGTATTCACTTCAATCATGAAAAAAATCAAAACTTTACTAATAATAATCAACTAATTGATTAACATTGTCACTAATGTTTATTGTAATTGTGAACAATCAAATGTTAAATCAGTTGAAAATTTTATTTAATTGATTTACACCTTTAAACTAAATCATATTGGTTTACTAATCTTGTATTACTATTTGTGATAGTTAAATTATTTATACATCCATTGATTATTAAAATATAAATTGTAATAGTTAATCAATTGATTGACAATTAACAAGAAACAAAATGGATTTTATTTATTTGTTAATTGTAACGAAATCACTATCAATTATCATTGAATTAAAGAGGCCAAACAATTAAACTGATTCATATATACATAAAATACTTAATTTACAATTCAAAATGTCCATTTATTTACACAATTTAACCAACACAATTAACTAAATTGTTTAAACGATTGTCCATTTAGACTGTCAAATGGAAGCAAGAAAAAAAGATTATTTTATCAAAAGCTGCTTAGTAAATATATTCTCATCTTAATTGTGATAATCAGGATATTAAATATTTATCTTCTAATCAGAGATTAAAATTTAATAAGCTAATTAAAAGTTAATTAATCGCAATTAAGACCAAAGCACTTAGGAAATTATCCCTCGAGCTCCGAACGCCCTCTGTTGGCTCCGTTTCGATGAAAACATTTTCTCATTTTCTTTGAGAAAATTTTGATGAAAAAATTATTCTCATGTTCCAACATCTCCAATTGTATTAACAATTTATTAATTTATTTGATTCTTTTTGTTATTGTTTCAATTTGTGGACTCTTTGGTCAATTTTTTCTTCAATTATTTGGACTCTTTGGTCTTTCCTGTTGGCTTTTCTCGCTTCTTTTTCGGTTCTCTCTTCTCCAAGTGACAATCCTATAAGATTTTTGTTTACCTTTTTTCTTTTCACATTTATTTTGTTTGTTTGCCGAAAATGAGTTTCCGAAGAGAAGCCGGTAATCCATTTATACCTCGACGATCGTTTACAATCATGGACACTGAGAATTATATCCATGAGACTATTATGTACCTTATTTCCATTTTGGGTGGTGAAGAAAGTTGTTCCATGGAATTGACTAAGCTAACGGTTGAACTTTGTAAACGAGGTAATACTAAACCATTGAAAAAAATGGCCTCAGGTGATTCGATTGAGGAAAGAGTTTTAGCTTTTGCATGGCAACATCCTTCCATTTTTGATACCAATGAACGAATTATCAGCCTTCGACCAATGAAACCTGAAATTGATGATGAACTTGAGTGCAATTTGGAGGAGAGGTTAATCCAATTTCTTGTTTTCCGATGTAACCAGTATGGTCCTTGTCAAATTCCCATTTCCAAACTATTGGGAAACCTTCATCAAGCCGCTAGTGATATTAGATTTCATTTTCATAATAATGATTATTCACGATTTCACAATTTTCTACGTACTCGTGATGATATTTTCACCCTTATCGATTCCGAAACAGTTGCCTTAAAAACTGTTCTCGATAAGGCAAAACTTGAAAATAAATCTCTCTTAAAATGTGATGAATACTTTCTGGATGGACGAGTTCTTAATTGTACTAGAATGGTGGATACATTCAGTGAAGGAATTCAAATTGTCCGGGAAATTTTAGACACCAAAGATATTGTCGCAATAGACTGTGAAGGAGTCAATCTTGGTGCACCTAATGGATATATAACTTTAGGTAAATTTATCAATTCCATCTCTAAATTAGTACATAACTTGTCCAATATTAACATGGCCTAAATGTTTAATCTTTTCCACCTTTTATAATTTTCCCATATTTAGTTCAATTGGCCATAGTTGATGAATTACCAGAAAACCATACAGATGAAGATATTGCCAATTCGATTAAAATTTATCTATTCGATGTCCAAGCCGATGTTGACCTGATGTATATTGCGTTAAAAAAGCTTCTGAAAGCAGAAAAGATAACGAAAATATTTCAAGGATGTTCAAGTGATGCAACCGCTTTGTATAATCGTTACAAGATAATTACTGCTTCCGTTTTTGATACAGTCATTGCTCATCGTCATCTTAATGAAGGAGCAAAATCAGATCTTTATTATCTTTATGAATATTATGTTGGCGAGGGAACCAATCGAATGAAAAAAGATATCAAGAAAAAGTACATCTTTAATCCTCGATTATGGACAACAAGACCACTTACCGAGCTTTTAACTTATTATGCAGCGTTTGATGTTTACGCATTAATAAGAATCTATTATAAATTGAAGAATCAGATTGACGAGAAAACTTACAAAGAGATTTGGGATAAAAGTTCAGCTACCGCTCAATCAGCCTACATACGAGCTTTACCTTTGTATGCCGCTTCATTGTATAATAAGGGTTACACTTTAGCCCAAGTACACGCCGAGATTGGCTGGGAATTGGATAGTGACGATGAAAAATCTTTAGGTATCCATAAATCAAAATCTAGTAATAATTATAATGGCAAATCAAGATCCCGACAATACACAGTAAATGGTAAACCAAATTACCAAAACAATAAACACCCAAGAAACTTTAACCGACTCGGTGAAAGTGGTGGCAGTAGTGCAACAACAGTTAATCATCCTAATCGGAATACGCCTAATTTTGATAACAATAATGGTAACAACAATTATAGTGAATATTATAATGGAAATGCTTTATATCGTAGTTCACATAATCAGTACCATCGTTCTAATCATTATTCTGGTAAAAGTTCCGTTCGATTTCAAAGACCAACGTTACCTCAGAATCACTCGAATCCTCAGCAACATCAAACAAATCATTATGATAACACACAACACTATCAACAACGAAACTATTATCAATACCAACAACCACAGTTTAAATATCAACAACCTTATCAAGGAAACTTTCAATATCAACACCAATATCAACCAAATGTCCAATATCAGCAACAATATCAATTTCAACAACCGCAACATCACCAATATCAGCAAAATCAAAATCAATATCAACAACCATCAACGCAAATCCCACATCAATCAAAGCAACACTACCACCACCAACCTCAACCACAACCACAACCGCAACTCCAACAACAACAACAGCAAATGCATTTTCAATCTCGTAATCAGCAATTTAATACAAGACGAAATGTTCAAAATTAGATACTCAAAAAAAGAGATGCAATAATCATTGTGAATAATATAAAATATAGTTAATCACTAACGATATTTGATCAATACAATGATAATGATTAGTTGTATCAACGATTGTTGAGCAAAATTAATTTAACAAATTGATTGTTGACATTGCACTAAAAAAAAAGTTTTCATTCAATTCTGAAATTGAAGTAACAATTAATAAATTGTCTTTCTTCTTCACTTGATTCTGATTAAATTATTGTGATGATTTAATAGTCAACAAGATAATATTTTGATAATGTTTTTGATTCTTTAATTAATACAAATATTTAAATCTAACAATTAATTGATTGCGAGCTTTTCATTCCCTTGGATTTTCAATATTCTGACTGATTAAGTTTCAAATTAATTCTAATCCATTGAGATAATTTAGATTATTAATAATTGAAGATTCGATAATTTGGAATAAATTTTTCGACTTTGAACATTCTGATTGATATCGAGAAATTGTGAAACTTAATTGCTCGATTAATTCGATGCTCGATTAGAACCATTCTCAGTTTGATTAATTGTTGATTAAAACCAATTCGATTGTTAATTATATTTAAATTCCCTTCTAAGGAAGACAATAGTTTCTCCAATGTTATCAGATGAAAACGAAACGAATCAATGAACAATTAACTTCATTTTTCCGAAAACATTGCGAGTAATTAAAAGTTAAACACTATAAAAATTAATAATTACTATAAGTGACCTAATATTTGAATTGAACATGAAAATTAAAATTCGTAAAAAAATTAGGTTATAATAATTATGAATGAATTTTGATAAATTCAATCAAGGAAATGTTTGTTTTGATTTGAATGAAACGCGATTATCTTGATTTAACTGAACAATTAAACAAAGAATAAGAAAAACTATCATCATGATTAAACTTGATATTATTAATAATTTGTTGTTCTCTCTCAATCTATTGTTACATGTTAACAATTAAGGAAAGAAGAAAATAAAATGATCGTTAATTCATATTAGAGTTAATCACTGATTGTTAGTTAATTAGAATCGTTTTTCTCAAATTTTCTGAACGTCAATGATAATTTAAAATGTTCCACGTGAAGAGTGAGAGAGATGAAAAATAAATGATCATAATCATGATTAGAATGATTAAAAGCAAATCTTGCTGAACAATCAACTGTTGTGTGAAATTTAAGATAAATTTTCCCAACATTTACACGGAGGGTTAAGAGAGATGGTGGAAGATAATCGTGGAGAGAGAGGAAGAGAGAGAGAGAGTGAGAGAGTAACAAATGTTTTGTTTTTGCAATTATTAGGGTTTATTTTTGCATCACAATTCAGTAGGCAAAACTTTCACACAAAGTACAGTCTCGCAAATATTTTTCCTTGTTTTCAGTTTAACCTCTCTCACAATTTTCACTTGAAAACGTCTTTTCATCATCTCCTGTAAGTCTCTCCCTCTCTCTCTCTTTCTCTTTTACAACTATAAATATATAGTATATACATTATTGGATGATTATAATGATGACGAGGTTGTTGTTATTGTTGTTGTTGTTGTAGGTGATGGTGTGGATGATGATTTCACTTCCTCTTGACAAAAAACTCTTTTTCCCTTAATCATCATTTGCCTCTCCTTTGCTTTCCAATCTTGAATTGAAATGGTTTCATATGGAATAGTAGTTCAAGTGAGATTAGTTTGATGACTAAATAGTTATCAAGAGGATGATTGTTATTGAAGGAAGAGGTGGTGTTCCTGGTGTAGGAGGAGGAGGAGGAGGTGATGATAATGATGACGATTTTCCATCCGTTGATATTTTCCAAAGTGGTGTTTGCAAAAATAATATATAAAAAAAGAAAAGTGATTTTTTCTCTCTCACAAACATAATCGATTTTCACAATTAAAAGATATGAACTGTTTCTTTAGCAATATTTTGTTTACTTCGAAATCTTTGCTTTCATCATCATCTTCCTCTCGTTTCTCAATCTTTCCATTTATAGTAATATATTTCATCATTTAGATATAATATATACACACTCATATATACAAATATATATTCATACATGATTTTTTTTCCTCTTTACTTTAACATGTACCACAGATTAGGTGAAGTATTTTTTTTTCCTATTTTATACTTTTTCTTCATCTCTCTTTCTAATGATATTGCGCTTTCTTTTTACGGGCAGCTAACATATCAAAATAAGGATTGTGACTAATACTCTGTCGTATACATTTAACCCAAATATCTTTCTCCTCCTTGGTTGCGGTGGACATTCGGTAGACTGTGTGCCTACCCTCCATTACTCGTCCCTCACTATCCGTTTTACAGGCTTTGATTACTTCATTTTGTCCAAGAGCTGAATATAATTCAAAACAATTGGGTTTCCCTCTGTCTTGAATCTCACGAACTTGAACATTTTCCAAAGGAATGATACCTCGAGGCTCTTTATCTGTTGTATATTCAAAATAGTAGAGACATTTATCATTTAAAATGAACCAACGACGTTTCCAGGTTTTATATCTTCCTCCTTGTTTCCAAAGCCAACCTTTTGTTTAGATGATAGAATAAGAAAAAGAAATAGTAAAATGAAAAGAAATTAAAGCAAATTAAAATTAGGATGATAATTGGTGAGTTTATGGGAAAAATATGAAAAGAGTATTGAAACATAGAGAAATATGTAGACAGACAGAGTTACATGATGGGAAGAAAGAAAAGAGTTGAAATAAAGAGTTTGGTAACGATGGAGAAAAAGAAAGAGAAGAAAAAGAGAAACAATAACAAAGGAAATAGAGTAAACGTCAGAATGGAAATGAGTTCAAGGTTAATATTGACAATAAATGTCAGATGAAGAGTTTGAGTTGGTTAGAAAAAGAGAGGAATTATTTCAGGTCAATCACAAAAGAAAAAGAAAGAAAGAGAGAGAGAGAGAGAGAGAAATAAAAATTACACTATATTCAAGGTGAAAAGTAGTGTTTTCTTCCGCTTTCTCACCATAATCATCTTCATCATCATCAACTCTTCAAGAACCTGATCATCCAACAATCTATCTCAGCATGAAATATATCAACAACAAAACATCCGCATCTATCATTATCAGTTTTCCACTATAACCTAGATTCTGAAGTCTTGATTCTCTTTTCATTAAGAAATCGGAAAATAGTATAATATAGGAGAGAGAGAGAGAGGAAAAAAATAAATCAATTGATTACCTTCTTTATCTGGATTGAATACAACTGTATTCATGAGATCGTTGGCATCATTTTCTGGAATTTTGAATGGCTCTTGTTTTATACTCTCATATAGAGATATTAACAATTCTCTGGATAAATCTTTACCATTGTTGATTCCTCGATTCATGGAGATAAAATTATCCACTGTGGGTTTTTCTTTGACATTTGGATTGTGAAGAGCAGTGTTTAACATGATTATAGCGAAACTAAGAACATAACAGGTATCAGAAGTTGAGAAAACACCAGGATTTTGTTGGCAATAACGAGCAGCAAATTTTTCCATCATACGATCAATCTTTTGAGCTTCTCCAGGTAATCTGAAACTCCAAAGAAATTGTCTCAATGCTTGGACCAGAAGTAGATTGGTAAAATCATGTAAGTTAATAAAAGCATCTAAAACTTTCAGGTTAAAATCAACCTTTTCACCAAGATATTCACCAATGGAGGTTTTATTTAAACCTTCACCTTTAAAGAGAAACGAGGCAACATCTTCAGCAGTATTTTTAAGTAAACTATTTTCAATAAGATATTCAATTCCTTTCTTTGGATCCATGTTGAACCTTTTTTTACCAATACACAGTTGCTTTTGTCGGGTGGTTATTTTAGCCTCATCTTGAGATTCAAGTTTAGCCATCTCAGATGTAACAACGGCGATCTCATCTTTCAACTGTTTGATTTCATTCAACAATTCAGCTTTACGACGTCGAATCCTTGCGAGTAATTGTTGTTCTGTTGGGGTTAAATCACTGGCACAATTTCCATTAGTTAATTGCATGATTAAAAGAAAGTTGAATCCACTCTGACAAACTTGAGTCTGACAAACTCAAGATACTAAATTGAAATGTTTAATGTTGATCAGCTGTTAATGGAAAGAAAAATTCGAAACCAGATGGCGTAACTTTCGAATTTCTATCGACCAATCAGAGAGAAGAAAAACAAAACGTTCGATTTGAACTTGAGGATTAATTCAAATGTCAAACAGAAAAAAAAACTGTTAATTTTGTGTTACAATTTGTTTCAACATCGACAGTTAAATCTACCATTTTGTATTTTAATTTGGTTTAGTTTGATTCATAGTTGTGTTTTTTCTTTCACCTTTTCACTTTTTCAGTGTTTTAGTTTTTGTTTTAGTGTTTTTTATCAAATATAAAATTGTGAGCCGAATATTTTTTAAGAATTTTACGATCTTTTTACTTAGTACGGTTGCAAATTGTTAGACGATTTCAAAGCAAAATGGATGTTAAAAGTTTGACTTCAAGTGGAGATCGACCTCCTCTTACTAGTAAATCTACTACTGAAAATAAACGTTTATCGGTTGAAAGGATTTATCAGAAAAAATCGCAATTGGAACATATTTTACTTCGCCCTGATACGTACATTGGTTCAGTTGAACCAGTTACTCAACAAATGTGGGTCTTTGATGATGAAAAAAATGAAATGATTCTTAAGGATATCACGTATGTTCCAGGTTTGTACAAAATTTTTGATGAAATTTTGGTCAATGCGGCTGATAACAAACAAAGAGATAAATCAATGAACATGATTAAAATCGATATTGACCCATCGGAGAATATGATTCGTATCTGGAACAATGGTGCTGGTATTCCGGTTGCTTTTCATAAAAGTGAACAAATGTATGTTCCTTCTCTCATTTTTGGTCATCTCTTAACTTCATCCAACTTTAATGATTCTGAGAAAAAAGTTACCGGTGGTCGTAATGGTTATGGTGCTAAACTTTGTAACGTATTTTCAACAAAGTTTATTCTTGAAACTTCTTCCAAAGCTGATGGTAAATCATTCAAGCAAACATGGACCGACAATATGACTAATGCTAATGAGGCTAAAATTAAAGATGCTGCATCAAGAGATTTTACCTCCGTTACCTTCTATCCAGATTTGAAAAAGTTTAAAATGACAAAACTTGATTCCGATATTGTCTCACTTTTCAAAAGGCGAGCCTACGATGTTGCTGGGTCTTCAAAAGGCGTTAAAGTTGTTCTTAATGGAACCGAACTTCCAGTTAAAAATTTTAAAGATTATGTCAACCAATATCTTAGAGGTAAGGTTGATGAGCAAGGTGGTCCACTTCAATGTGCTTACGAGGATGTAAGTGATCGATGGCAAATTGCTGTTGCATCAAGCGATAAAGGCTTCCAACAAGTCAGCTTCGTGAATAGTATTGCTACAACTAAAGGTGGTCGTCATGTTGACCATGTTAGCGATCTAATTTTATCGAAAGTATCCGAAGTAATCAAGAAAAAGAACAAAGGTGGTATCCAAGTTAAGCCTCATCAACTTAAACATCAACTTTGGGTATTCATTAACTGTCTTGTTGAAAATCCAACCTTTGATTCTCAAACTAAAGAGAACATGACCCTTCAGGTGAAAAGTTTTGGATCTAAGTGTGAACCATCTGAAAAGTTTTTCAATTCTGTTTTAAAAGTTGGTATCGTTGAGAATATTCTATCATGGGTTAAATTCAAAGCTCAAGAACAGCTTAATAAACAAGGTGTTAAATCCAAGCACACTCGCGTTCATGTTCCCAAACTGGAAGATGCTAATCTTGCTGGTGGACCAAGATCTATCGAGTGTACTCTTATTCTAACCGAAGGAGACTCAGCCAAATCGTTGGTTGTTGCAGGTCTTGGTGTTATTGGTCGAGACAAGTACGGCGTTTTCCCATTGAGAGGTAAATTGTTGAACGTTCGTGAGGCTGCTCACACCCAAATCATGAAGAATGAGGAAATTCAAAATCTGATTAAAATTGTTGGCTTGGATTATCGAAAAAAGTACGAAAGAGAAGAAGATTTGCGTAGTCTTCGTTATGGTAAAATTATGATAATGACTGATCAGGATCACGATGGTTCTCATATCAAAGGTCTCCTAATCAACTTCGTTCATCACAATTGGCCGAATCTATTAAAATTGCCTTTCTTGGAAGAGTTTATCACACCCATTTGTAAAGCCACCAAAGGGAGTAAAGTTGTATCTTTCTACTCCCTTCCCGAATTCGAGGAATGGAAAAACGAAACTCCAGATAATAAAAATTGGAAGATAAAATACTACAAAGGTTTGGGTACAAGTACTTCTAATGAAGCTAAGGAGTACTTTTCTGACCTAACTCGTCACAGAATTCGATTCAAATATGAAAGTAATCAAGATGATCAAGCGGTTGTTCTTGCTTTTAGTAAGAAAATGATTGAACAGCGAAAAGAATGGTTAACAAAAGCTATGCAAGAAAGAAAATCAAGACGTGAAGAAGGTCTTGGAGAAATTTATCTCTATCAAAAAGATACCAAGGTTGTAACTTACAGAGATTTCATCGACAAAGAACTTGTACTTTTCAGCAATGTTGATAACGAACGTTCTATTCCATCGATTATGGATGGTCTTAAACCTGGTCAACGTAAGGTTATGTTCACTTGTTTCAAACGTAACATGAAGAATGAAACTAAAGTTGCCCAATTAGCTGGTACCGTTGGATCCGAATCAGCTTATCATCACGGTGAAGTTTCATTAATGTCAACCATTGTTGGCCTTGCTCACGATTTCGTTGGAAGTAACAACATTAATCTTTTACTTCCTCTTGGTCAATTTGGTACCCGATTACAAGGTGGTAAAGATGCTGCCAGTGCTCGTTATATCTTCACCAAATTGAGTCCTTTGGCCAGAAAAATCTTCTCTAAAATGGATGATCCACTCCTTAATTATCTTTACGATGACAATCAACGAGTCGAACCTGAATGGTATGCACCTATTCTCCCGATGGTATTGGTTAACGGTGCCGATGGTATTGGAACTGGATGGAGTACTAAGATTCCCAATTATAATCCAAGAGATATCGTTGCTAATTTGAGACGCTTGATAGCTGGTGAAGAAATAGTTCAAATGAAACCATGGTTTAAAGGTTATAAAGGTGTCATCGAGAAAATTGACTCACAACGATATGTCACCATGGGCGAAGTTTCAATAATTGGTGACGGAAAGATCGAAATCACTGAGCTTCCAATTCGTGTTTGGGTTCAAGCTTACAAAGAAAACATTCTTGATCCATTCCTTCATGGAAATGAAAAACAACCTACTTTTATCAACGATTACAAAGAATATCATACTGATACCACTGTTCGATTCGTTGTAACCATGAGTCCCCAAAATCTTGCTGAAGCCGAGAAACAGGGTCTTCATAAAGTTTTTAAACTTCAAACAACCTTTACAACTACATCAATGGTTGCATTCGATCACAATGGATGCATCAGAAGGTATGACACACCGGAAGAGATTTTAATGGAATTTTATGGAGTTCGTCTTGATTTCTATATCAAGAGAAAAGCTTATCTTGAAGGTATGCTTCAAGCTGAAGCGTTGAAATTGGAAAATCAAGCTCGTTTTATCATGGAGAAGAATTCCGGGCAACTCAAAATGGAGGGTGTTGGTGCTAAAGCCATGATCAAGACATTCATTGAGCGAGGGTATGACTCAGATCCAGTCAAAGCTTGGCAAAAGAAAAACAAATTCGATACTCCAGAAGAGCAGCAAGACGAAGATGAAGAGAATACCAGTCAAACTGAAAAACAAGATACTTCAGGTCCAGATTATGATTATTTGCTCGACATGGCAATGAGATCCATGTTGAAAGAAAAGGCTGATAATCTACTCAAGACTCGTGACGCTAAAAGAGCTGAATACATTGAATTGAGAGATACAACAGTTCAACAAATTTGGCTTAGAGATCTTGACGAATTCAGTCAAGAGTTGGACACCGTTGAAAGGGAACAGGCAGAAGCTGCTGAGAAGGCTCTCAAGCCTCGAGGGGGAGATGGTGGTAAACTCAAGTTAAAAAAATCAAGTAAAAACGATATCGACACCAAACCATCCGAATTTGGAAGAAGAATTGTACCTCTAATTGATCCGGCCTTTGCGAAACAAGCTGCAGCCGCAGAGAAACGGGGGAAGAAAATGGTAAAAGAGGAAGATCCTGATGCGACAGAGATCCTCGATGATATTCCAGATTTAAGTGACAATGAAAGTGATGAAGATATTCCTTTGTCACAGAGATTAGCTGGTATCAAGAGTAGCAAAACTACTACTGGTGCCACAAAATCTAAAGCAGCACCTAAAGCAAAAGAGCCCAAAACTACTAAAGCAACTGCTCGAGGTAAATCATCAGCAGACAAACTCAAGCAAACAACATTACCATTCAAAGCTATAAGTAGAAAGTCTGACGAGGATTCCGAAAAAGATACGTTCGATATTGATAACATTGGTGAAGAAGATAGCGATGAACCAATAGTCAAACCACCCACTCTCAAGTCAAAAGCGGCTTCGAGTAAACCAACAACTGCCGCCACCAAGAAAACAACTGCTAAATCCGCTGCTCCTAAAGCCACCACCTCTAAAGCTGCTAAAGCTACAACTAAATCCAAAAAGCGAAAATCATGGGACTCGAACGATTCAAGTTCCGATGAAGATGATGTCATTCTTGATTCTTCTTCAAGCTTATTACTTGACGAAGAAGACATAACACCAGTAGAACCAAAATCTAAAAGAGTTCGTAAAGTTATCAAATATCGAATTGAAGAAAGTGAAAGCGACGATTCAATAATGGAAAGAATTTAATTCCACTTGCTGGCTAGTTGATTGGACGCAGGCACAATTATTTGCTTAGAGTCAAACGTTCGAGTCTGAGTTCAGTCGTTTAATTGGAAGGTATTGAATATCCTCTGGTGAAGGTTCCAAGCTATGACTTCTTAGAAGCGGTTTAAAGTCTCTACATTGGTTAGACTATTGATCGTCCATGAGTAAATATTTCATCATTCATCAAATTTTAACTATTATGTACAAATTTTTAATCAAATTTCATCATTAACCATCGAAACATCTTTTACTCTTTCATTCTACATTTTTTTTATCAAACTGTCATTTATTTTTTATCAATATCATTTTCGAAAAAAAACTATAGTCACATTTGATTTTCATTAATCATCTCCAATTAAACCTCTAACATCAAAATGCTCCTTTGACTTTTCCATTTTTCGATGTTTCGATCTAGCATTAAGATCAACATCCGGTAAACTCACATCATCGGAACCAGAATATTTTCTTAATTTATAACCTGCTTCTCGCAGACGATTAGCAGCTAAATTAAAAAGCGTAACATCGTCAACATCGGTCTCGGTCATTTTGGCGATTTCAATATATTTCTCAATGAATAATTCGCTAAGAGGAATTTTCGATGAATCAGTCAAATCAATCACACCAGGAGAACCAAAAACTTGATAAAATTCCCTGAAGATTAGAAAGAGAATCAAGTTTAACTGAAATTGTCGAGTAACAATTAAAACGATCAAAACAATTAGCCAATTAGCACTTACGCTCTAATTTTATCTTCGTGATAAAATATTGGTTTAACTTTAACTTCTGGTAAAGGTTGTAAATAAACCGGATCCTTTACCGGTGGAAAACGTTTATAGACATCAAACCAAATCGGTTTATCTTCCAGTTTAATTGCTCCCGATCTAAGGAAACCTTCAACACTGAAGTAAGAATAAAAATTAATGATAATTTCTAAATTGAGTTAATCAAAAGTTGATTAGAAAACAAAAAAAGAAAATACAAAAATGGAAAAATATAAAAATATAAAATCCATCAAATTAACTTACCGATTAACAATAGAAGCAAATTTGTGTAATCTAGATTGAGCCATGAGAATAAAGACTTAATTAAACTCAAAATTATAAAGTAAACAAAACAATTTATCGAAACAATTAGTAAATTAAATGAAAATTAACTGACAATTTAAATTGAGACAAACATGTTAACAGATTTGTTTTCATTTTCTCGTCGCTAAGTAACCGTTTGAATCTAAAGCGCGAAATTCAAAATTTGCATCAAAAGTAAAACGATTGAACAATTTTTTAGATTTTCAATTAATAAAATTTATTGTAACGATCAGTAAATAACTTTACAGGTAAAGCTGTTTATTGAATTTTATCTGAATCTTTTTATTTTCAAATTAAAAGGAAAATTAGTTAATTAATATCATTATCATTACGTTCACCATCATAATTATCTTGATTTAATTAGAATTAAAAAAAAAAGTGATTAATTTGCTTTTGTTGATATTCAGTTGATAATATTTATCGGAATGTCAGTTAGGTTAGAAAATAAGATGCATTTTATTAGTTAATTAATTGTTAGTTGATTAGGAGAAACAGAATCAAGCAAATTATATAATTTAAATGATGATAATTAATGACAATTAAAGATTAGACAAATAGTGAGAAGGATTTAAAGGATTTATCAGGATCGAAAATGGGAAATGAAAGATTTTTGATTTTCTTTTTCTTCCAGTTTAATTAGTAATTTTTTTCTCTTAATTGTTTACTATTAATTTATTATCATCATTATCTTAATTGTTATTGTATTTATACTTAATTTATTGATTTTGGTCATCACTGCACATTCTGAAATGATAATAATTAGCAAATTGTCATTTATAATTAGTAATGATAATAAATGTTGACGGTAATGATAATAATAATTGTTATTTTTTTTTGGTTGATTAGTTGATTAAGTAAAGATTTAAGTGTTGAAAGGGATTTACAATCAGTTTTGTTTGATTGTTACAATTTGTATACGATCATTTTAATCATCATCATGGATTTTGTTCAACAATTAAATGGTTAGATTGTTGATTCTTGCGAGTTGACAATTTATCTGAACATGCGGGGCCTGATTCTCAGCCTGAATTTGATTGTTAATGTTTTGTTGTAAACAATTAGTTGGCAGATTGTATCAAAAAACAATTTATCAGGCTTTGATTTGGTGGTTGGTGAGTGACAGGCTTATTTTTCATTACAATTAAAAATTGGTTGATATTATCAAACATTAAGATTTGATTATATAACAAAAAACTCTTGGCTTTTCAATTGATATAAACGATTCGGTGAAAATCAGGAGAAAATCAAATTCTGGTAAATTCATTATTTCGGTTTTCTGGTTTTCTATTCATTCTCAATCATTCATGTGAATAACCCAGAATTTTATCATGATTTTTTCTTACTCTTTGTACAAAAAGAAAGAGAAAAGAGAGAGAGAGAAAAAGAGATAGAAATAGATCATGACAAGAGAAAATAATTCTGACGCAGGTTCAGAGAAATACGATAACTCTGAATGGAACCAGAATTTTTCGATAACTGTCTTCATTTTTTCTTCAGAGTTGTTACTGTTTCCATGAATGATTAAGATTGATTTTCAAAGACATTAACAAGAGATTTGATATCAAATTGTTGTGGTGGATTAAGGTGGTAATGTAGAAGATGCTGATAATCAATAACAAGAAATATCACCAAAAAAAACCAGCAAAAAGAAACTGTTGGCATCGTAATTGTTTCCTATGTGTGACAATAAGAATCACAGAATTTTTTTCTTCTTCTTCTCCTTTTCATCCTGTTTAGATTCATTTCTTTTGTAGATGAAATTGAGCCACAGAGTTGAACGCATGTTCTGATAAAGTCAAGGCAAGAAGATCATGATGATGATGATGATGATGATTACATGATGATTACATAACTACGAGATTTTTTCCTGTGTTACTTAACATTCAATTGTAACAATTACTGATTAGTATCAATTTGTCTTGTCCTTTGTAAATATCACTAGAATAGCAAGTTAAGGACAAAGCAAGGAAAGTGTTATATGAAAAGAGAGGAAGAGGAAGATGAAATAAAGGAGGAAATTGGAGGTTGGGAGTGGGCGAGTTTACAATAATTAGTTTTATAAGATGAGTGTTAAGTAACACAAGCTTATGTTTATGACACTGATGTTTATCATGATAGTTTAAGACATTTTTGACTGGAACACCCGTTCACATATAATTACAAAGGTACAGAGGAAGATGGAGATGGTGTTTAGTGGGTGGTGTTGAAGGATGAAAATGAAGATGAGGAAGAAGCAGAAAAATGTTTTGTCAGTGAAAATGCTGTGAAGATATGTTGAATTATAAGGTAAGTTTACAGAATTGCAATCTATCCTTTGCGAGATCCCTCTTTCATTTAGTGTCGTCTTGTTATTTTTTTTAATTGCTATTGGTTAATGTTTATGGTTTGATTTTGATTCTTCCATTGAGATTAATTTCCTCCTGTGATCATTTAACATCATCAGCTAATGGTTTTCACTCCAACAATTGTTATTGATCAATTTACTTCGGAGGATTAATCCTTTTGTTTTGGTCCTGTTTCTTTATGGTAAAAGAGCAGCATCATCATCATTAACTTGTTGTTGTTTCCGTTGAGAGGGTGAGATGATGGTTATCATGGAAAAGGGATGAAGATGAGATTTAATGGAATGAAAAATAAAGGTATTTGATTCACGGTGGGAGAGGAAGAGTAGTTAAGGGAGAGGGTAATCTTAGCTGCGAGAACAGAAAGAGATTTGACAAAAAAAAATCGTCGAAAAAATCAAATAATATAAATGAGAATACAAATTATTATGAAAAAGTTGGACTGACAATAAAGGAGATAGATAGAGGTCGATGAAGATGATCAACTAATAGTAATTAGAGTTGAGAGGCCATCAGAAAGTTGAATAATTGATCAATAAGATTCATCATCATCTCTTCATCATTTACCTTACACATCACATTACACCAAAGATAAACATGGCAGCAATGACAACGAAAAAATATCCAAAAATTGAACAATCGAGTTGATCAAATGAGGAGAGAAAACAACAAACAAAACCAATTATAACAAATGAAGAGGATGATTAGACTATAATATGAGTTCAGTGAATCGATATTATCAACATCATCAGAATCAGAATCATGATAAACATTATTACAATTATAAAGAAATTCAATTCTTGCGAGAAATGTTCAAGATAAACAAGGAAGATGAAAAAGAGTAAAAAAAACAATAAGATGAATCAAGGGAATCAAATGGGATAATAAGCAAAGGTGAACAAAAAAAACATTGAATTAATTTACGATAACAAAGGTCATAGGTTGGTAAATAATTCAGGTAAATAATAGCTCAGGTAAATGGAAGGGAAAATTTGGTGGAGAAAGTTTTTCAACAGAATTGAAATCTTTTCATTTCAGTCTGGGAGCAGAAAAATTCTGTCATCAAGATTAATGTTCCCATTGTAATGATAACATGATTTTCATTATTATTATTATTATTAATTCTGTTAATAATATAACAATAATAATCACAATGATTGTTAGTGGAGCGAAAGTAAAGCAAAAGAAAATGAATTTTCAAGTTAAATTGTTAAGTGTTGATGTTACACTAATTTTTTTCTTCTTCTACTTCTCATCTAATTCAATGTAAAGAAAATTAGAATAGATTGACTTCTATCTTCATCTCTTCTTATTATCATCATCTTCATCATCAAAAAATATAATGAGAAATGTCAATGAAATGGAAAGTGAAATCAGAGAGAGAGAGAGAGAGAGAGAGAGAGAGAGAGAGAGAGAGAGAGATGATGATGATGATGATGATGCAAAGATGAGGCAGCGGGGTGGGTTTCATATAAGATGAAAGGTTAACCAAAAGATTAAGGAGCAAGTCAAGAGGCGGATTTAAGATGATGCTGATATTATATTGATACATTGACATAATAATGGCAATGATGATGATGTTAAATAGATAAAGATTTGGGAATTAAGTTAGTTACTGTTGAAAAAGAAAAATTTAACAGAGAGAAAAAGAGAAATGAGAAGATGGAGATTATTACATGGAAAAGGAGGTTAAATAGTAAATTAATTCAAATGGTAGTTTTAAATCTTAATCATTGACTCTTCTCTTAATTAACAGTGATATTTGTGTTTATAAGAGAAGAAGAAGAGAAGAAAACAAAAAAAAACGAATAAAAATAAGGAGGAAGAACAAGAACAATCTTATTCTCATTAGGAAAAGGGTGGAACAGGGAGAGAGAGCGAAGATGAGAAGGATGATGAGGAAAGAAGAAAAATGTGCGAATTGAGAAGAAAAAGGTAAGAATGACAAGTCGAAGATTGAAAAGGTAAAATGATTCGAGTTTGCCTATTGTAGAGAATCGAGTAAAAGGAGAGAGAGAGAGAGAAGATGATAAAACAAAGAAGAGAAAAAGATGAAGATGAATCAAAAATGTAGAGCATTAAATGAATGATTACAAGTCTATAATTTGAACAATGTAATATAAGCTCAACACAAGTGAAGTCCATAGTTGATAGACATTGGAAAAGTTCAAGTGATGGTTCAACTATATCATTTTCCAGGGAAAAATCAGATTTAAAAATGAAAGAAAACATTTTTCATGTTTTTTTCTGCTCCTTCATCATCATTACAGTTATTACAGTTATCTAATGTTCAGTTGATTGAGGATGGAAACAGGATGAGAGGAGGTGATGTGGGTGTACAAAGGGATGAAATTGAATCAATTTGAATACATAATATACTTATGATATTACAAATTCAAACCATCTCATCATTGTTTTTTTATTTGCTTGTTTGTTTGTTACTCTTTTCAAACAATAAAAAAAAGGAAAAAAGCTAAACGATAATCATAATAGTAAATCAAGAGAGGAAACAATTAACTGTGTAAAGAAAAGCCAGATTGATAAGATGTATATTACATAGGAATAGTGGGTGGGTATTTGTTTTTCCACTTTGATTAAATATCTCTGACAGGATACACACCTCACAAGTACATATCTTCATCTCATTTTATCATCATTGCTGTGAGATAATCATCATAAGGATGAATATAAAAGGTAAAGTCAGTGAGATTGGAAACATACCTGTAAATTGGATTAGGTGAGATTAGATTTTGAAAGGTTGTCAAAGTTAAAAAATGAATGGCAACTGAAAAAAAAAAGGTTGGCAACTTATGAACAACAAATCACTCAACAAAATCAACTCGCATCTGAAAATATATTATATATATCAAATATAATTCAATATATAATACTATTAATATATTATTTTTCCTGTGATTCTTTGCTTTCACCTTTTTCCCACCTTCATCTTTACCCATCACCAGGAATGACGCCTCTCTCACTCATTCTCTCTCTCTCGCTCTCTCCTTCAAAACTTTGATACAAAACGTATTTGCGCAAACTGTAAAGGTGATGATGATGATAAGCAGGAAGAAGGGGTTTATCTTGAAAAGTGATGAGGAGGAGAGTGGGAGTTGAAGGATGGGGATGATAAAAAATAAGCAAAAAGATATAACAAAGTTAAAGAAACTCAATTTCTAAGTTGTCATTGGTTTTCTGCTCAGGTGAGATATCAAATGACTCTATTATCATGACCACTAGAAAGTTTTGTCATTTTAGTTTATCGGGTGTGAGTTTGTTGATTTCCATGTGAGTGTAAATTGGCACTAAAGGTAAAGTTGTATGTGAGAGACTAGAGAGGTACAGTAATGATGAAGAGGAAAATCTTATCATCCGAGAAAAAAAAATTAATGTTGAAATAATTGTGAAAATAAGGATAGAGAACAAGAAAGGGAGAAAAGAAAGAGAGATAGACATGATGAGAATGATGGTCAGTGGGATGACAAGGAAGATGATGAAGAAAATGATTTGATGGCCTCTCTCTTTGCTTTGCTGTTGAACCTCTCGACATCGTTATCACCTCATTGTCAGTTAACAAGATTGACCTGAGAGAACAATTGAAATTGAATACAATCAGAATCATCAGAATTATTATCCTCATGCTCATCATCTTCTCAAGAAGAGTCTAGGAGTTGAAGAGAGAGAGAAAGAGAAAGAGAGATGATGAAGTGAAAAAGAAAGAAAATGAGCATGACAGGTTGGAAACAAAGGGAACACAAAGATTTCAGGTTTTGCGTTGACACAAAAGAGGAAAAATGATGAGACAAAAAGACAATATGAAGAGAGAAAAAAGAAGATAATCATAACGGTAAAAGAGAAATAATAAGAAAAATAAGAAAAAGAAAAAGCATATTTCGTATCTTTCTCATTGAGAGAAGTACAAAATGAAAAGATGTAGCAGCTTAGGTTAGAAGGAGAGGAAGGAGATCAGGAACCGAATATGATGATAGAGTGGTGTTGGATCAAGAGAAGGTTAAAGTAGTAGTAGTGGTGATGGTGGTGGTTGTAGTAGTTATGTGTATAAGACGAGAAGTAGACGTGAGAGAGTGGGAAAGAGAGCAAAATGTAAATTAACGAATTCCTATCAGGTGAGATCTAAAAGGTAAGTGTTGAATCATCCCATTCCAATTCACGACGAGCCTTTGTTTTTTCAACTTCGTCCTCTGAACTTTCACCATCATCTCGATAACTGCTTCCATCATCTGAACTATCAGAATCATCATCATCTTCTTGGATAGGTAAGTTTTCCTGTTCTTGTTCAATTTGCTGTTAGGAAAAAGAAGAAAAAAAGCAAATGATGAAACAATTCACAAGTAAAAAAAAGATACAAAAAGTTAATAGATAATCATTACCAGTGTTGTAAAAGGTTGAAATAGAAAACATGAAAAAAGAGCAAAAAAAAGTTCAAACAGATAATCATCAGAATCTGAACTGAAAATCATCATCATTACCATGATATCATTCATCTTCATCCCCATCTTCTCACAATAGTATTAATATAATGACCAACAACCATTCAACAAGGGAGATGGTCTGAACTTTTCCTATCATCATGAAATTCAGATTCCAGGATAAAAAATGGCTCTTTTTTTACTTCTAAATATTATCATCATTGACCCAAAGCAACACAACGGATTATTGTTTTCTTTTACCTTTATCTCTCTCTCTCTCTCTCCTCATCCTCCTCCTTTCATCTTCCACAGTCCACCAGATACAACACATATAATGATGATGATAACATAGAGATGACCAACAACAAAAGTAACCCAACGGTCAAGAACTCATATTTTCTAACCATAATACATCAAAAAAGAAAACTAATAATAATGATGATAATAAATGTATACTCAGGGTGGATGAAACTTTTTCCTTCTCTTCCTAAATTTCAGCTCCACTGATCATTTTAACCCTACCAAGAATAACAGAGCAACGAAAAGTTAACTTGAAAGGTTAACTTTTTTAAAATGGAAAACAAGGTAAGCATAAAAGCTTCTTCTTAAAAGAAATTTTTTTCTCTATCTTCATCCTCATCTTCCGCATCTTCTTACACTGCCTTCTATGTTATTTGCTTTTCTTTGCTTTTTTTTATTGCTTCTAGATATTGTTATTATTATTACTATTACAGTGGAGAGAAAGAAAAAAAATAAAATATAAATTCGCAAGGAAAAAGATAAAAAAGATGAAGAAAACTTTTTCTACAATAAAATAGATTTGAAACTTTACCCTAAAGGAAATGGAAGTGAGGATGAGAAGGAAAAAAAAGATGATGAGAAATAATAGATTTCATCTGTTTCGTTGAGACTGAAAATCCCAATTAATTGATTGTACGATGTGAGGATAATCCTTAATCAAGGATTAAAAAGTAAAATGTTAATATGTTTTCGTTATATTGATTAATCTTACGTCTAATGGATTAACGGTAATCGTCAGTGAGGTATCATCCCAGGCCATTTCTTGTTCCTCATCTCGAGATTCGTTGGACCGATGATGAGCAGCTCGAATGCGAATCACTCCAAGGACAATCATAAAGACCAAGAAACCAACGCAAACGACAATAATAACGGTAACTGCGTGACCTACAACAATAGGCGACAGACGAGATGATTTCACTAAAAATAACGATAACAAGATACATAAACATATCAACAACGAAAACGAGACAATATTTATAAACAATACACATAATTTAAGAAACACCAATAACGTTCATCATAATGATAATGTTATTATCGTTTACGATTAATCAAAATGCATGAAACAATTAAATTATAAAATGTTTGTAAACTAATCATACCATCGTTAACGTTGAATTGAACAAGGTTTACATTTACAATAATAATGAATAATAATCGATTGATTAATTTACTTACTTGCTGAGGTTCGGGCAAAAGATTCACTCGATTCAAGGGAATCACGGAAAACATTTGACTTCAGCTTTGAATCTTTCAATTCAACCTGTTGCTGGTGTATCTGAGCATGAGAGGCGATTATACCGATTCTATCATCACGTCCATGTCCATCGTTAACTAAATTGTTGTTTTTCTCGTTATTATTATTACTACCAGAGTTACCGTTGTGCCTTATTGATAATCCATCTGAGTTAATATTGTAATTATTATTGTGGTTATTAACGGTGTTTCCTTGAACATTTTTACCAGAGGATGAGGTTGATGATGAAATGCTACCTTGCTGGTTGGCGATTGATCCGGTCAAGTTTGATGGATCAACTTTCGGATGGATTACTGTTAATGTTTGAAAGTAATCATTTGAGATAAAACGTCCATTCAACTCGGAACAGGTCAGTTTGAAGGCACGATTCAAATAGTAGGCCGGCTTATGATTGAAGTAAACGATCTCGCGTAGTATTGTTTGGTAATTGTGAACTGTATCAGCTCCTATTAATATAATTAATAATGAAAATCAATAGACTATTAGTTTATCATCAACAAATTGATATTTTACTTTGCAATATGAAAGCTAATATTTGTTTATATTTACTAATCAACGTTAATCAACAACCTAATATTAATAATAATCACCGTTAATTAACCAAATCGTTCAGTTTAACTCTTGTCTAGTTCATTCACTTTCATTATTCATTCTAATCATAATGATAATTATGATAACCAGGAAACTCATTAAAAAAAAAAGGTAAAGCCTTAACTCTCACAGGTAATGATTTAATAAAACAATATTATTAATAGTATACACATATATGAATATTACTCTACAGAATTAGCTTTCTAATTTATGATTTACTTTAACCATTTTCCCACCCAATAATCTCACAGGTTACAATCAACGAGGAAGAAAAAAAAAGGCAACAATAGTTGATTGTGGGAGATCAACGACTCAGGTAAAAAAATCAATATCAACCATTGGTTATGCTCCCTGAAGAGCCAAGATGATAACCGACTGAAACAGATAAGCATTATGAATGTTACGTGCATATTGATGAAAATTATCTTCCTCCCAGGAAGATAGAGAGAGAGAGGGAGGGAGACCTAAATGTTTGAGTTGAATTTGCGTGTAACCATCAAACTATCATGATTATTAAAAGTCAGCAAGATAAATTATTATCATCTGATATTTTTGATGAATATATTGCTAGATAATTATGGAAGACAATGATTATATTGTAAAAATAATGATTGTGGTTAAAACTGACCGTTAATAACAATACCATCCTTGGTCTCAGTGAATCGTACTCCAAGATGGGTCATAAAGTTTGTTGGAAGTCGGAAATATTCATGATCAGGATTCAATGGTGGATAAACTTGAATTGAACAGGTATCCAGTTTATGAACATTGGCAAGTTTACCAACTTCTTTAACTGATTTTGAAGATGAGTCTTCAGAAGACAGATCACCAATATCATCCGGGTTAACATTGTTATCTTCATCATCTTCACTTTCAACTTCATGATTAACCAGAATGGAAACAGTTGAGAAAAGTTCAATTCCTTGGACAAATGCCTCGTATTCTCGTGCCAAGTTTGGTGTCCCATTCAAACTGATGCTTGGTTGTTCCGGAGGTAAAACCATGATATAGGAATCGACGCTTGGAACTTTCAAAGTTTTACCATTTGAACATCTAAATATAATTAACAGAATAATCAATTAATTTGGTCAATAATCAATCTAATTTAAATGATTACAACATTTTCATTGTTGTTGGTCAACTAAAAGGAAAATCAATTTTCCTCAGATAATGTTATATATTATTACTAATCAATACTCATGAAGTAACATACGAATGTCTGTAATTTAACAATTTCATTCATGATAATAATCATTTCCAAAGGAAAACATTGACTTGAAAACTAAATTGTTGCTATGATAATGGTTGTTATTTATCCAATTACTGACAAATCAACTTATCTAGAAAAGGTTACAATTGATAAATTACTGTGAAAAATAACAGGTTTAGGAAATTGTATTAAACTATCAAGATTCAACAGATAACAATTGTAATTAATGTGGAGAAAATTTAAAAATAAAAAGTAATCCCTACAATCAGTTAATTTATTAGATGAGAATGAGTATATTATTATTACCTGATAGAAGTAGATAAATGGAGACTTCGTCTTCCTGGTGTTGGATATTCTCGAGTGTTGATGTAGGAAATTTGAGAGATCATGTCTTCGACATCGATGGCATCTTTGCCTTCAATAAGAATCTCAGTTCCTCGAGTGTTGATTGAAACATCAGTTCCCGAATCGAGAGAGTCGGAAGGTGGCATTTCAAGACCTTCCTTACACCTATGGAGACAATTCAATACATCAGGTGATTCATTTCCACCTCGTAAGATACTGAGTCCAGCGAGAAAACCACGGAAATGGAAATTTAATTTATTGGCCTTGCCTTCCCAACAAGCACCGACGGTCAGTGAGGTATTAACACCCTTCATTGCATGTAATGGCCAATCGTCGACGATTTCTGGGTTAGTAGATGTATTTTTGTACAACTGTCCATCAAGGTACAAATTGACATCGGGAAAGTTAACAGAGACAGAGTAATGATGCCACTTATTGTCACAAGTTTCGGCAAGTTTCCAGCGCCATTCGGCAGGTCGGAAAATGGTTCGCTTTTCCTGATTGAATTCACGTCGAAGTAGCAAAATAAGTCGACAGTTTCTTACAAACAAAGCATAATGGTGTCGATTTTTTTCTAATATAAACAAAAATAATGATAGAAAAATTAATTTACCATAATAATAAATCAAATTGGAAAAATAAAAAGAGAAACAATTTTCAAAATAATATATTGATGATGATTATCATCATGTAAGACTCATGTATCATTAAGATATTAATACAGCTAATGCTGCTAGTTTATCTCAATGGAAATCATTGTAGCTCATTAATTATGCTGTAATCAAGTATAAGAAAATGTCATCAAATTTATCATACTAATCATTGTAATTATTATTATTATCGTCGTCATTATCATTCATTTAGATAGATATTAATGAATTGAAGAAGAAGGAAAAAAATGTAATCTGATTTTGTTTCCATGATATTTTTGCATCTTTTTTTTTCACCATGAGATAAATATTATTACATCTTATTGACTCTCTCAATCTATTTATTGCTACTTTTTTTCTAGTTCATCTTATCATTCATTCAATTGATGATAATGATCATGATTTCTGATGATTGAAACTTACTGTGATCATCGGCATTACAGATAATATGTTCCTTGATGTGTTTGTTGGTGTGATCAGCAGGAGGTTCATGTTTCATCCAGAATGAGATTGAAAATTTGTTGGTAAGATTATGGTCGACAACAGAATCAGGAACCATGGCTGCAACCGATGCTCCATCAAACTCAAATATTTGGTCACTTTCATGACCTTCATCGGTTGGTAAATAACGTGTCCACTCAGCTCCAATACCTGGTGAAGGTAAAAGGTCAACACTGGCCACATTAGATCCTAGACAAGGAGGAAAACAACAAGAAAAAAAAACCAAATACAAAGAAACAATTAGTAAAAATTAATAACAGTTATAAAGATGTATACAAGTTATTCTCATAAAAATGAGAGAGGGAGGGATGAGGAGGATGATAAATGTAAGATGAAGAAGCAAAAAAAAGGATAAAAACAAAGGACTATATGGAAACTGAGTGAACAAAGGTAATACATGAAAATATCGTAAATAATCAGGATAAAAGGTATTAAAAGCCAGAGAAAGATAAAAACAAAAATAGGAATCAGAAGAGGATTAGAAGAGGAAAGATGAAGAAGATGAGAGAGAGAGAGACAGAGTGAAAGTGAGATTGAGAGTGAGAGAATCCAGTTAGTAGGAAAAAAAACAAGATAAAGTCTAAGTCTTTCCTCTGACATATAAAGATATTTATCAACATTAGTTATATCAAGTGATTGTTTCAAGTCATGGTCATCATTGTGATGACCAATAATATATAAAGAGAGAGGCAGAGAGGATGATAAAAAAAAGAGAAGAGGAAAAGTGAAAATTGAGAGAGCAAATTATGTTTATTTCTAGATGAGAGGATGATTGTGGTGATTCAGATCCAACATCAATTTGAGAGCAACAAAATGAATTGATGTTATAATTCATGTGATAGTTTGACCTGAGAAAACAACAGTTGAAGTTAACAGAAAAACCCATAGATATAAATATATATTTACAAAGCTCAGCAAGTGACTTACAAAACTGTCGAGGTGGATTTATTTTCATGCTAACAACCGTTACCAAAGAGATTTCAGCTCATCTTTTATCTTCATTTTCATCATCATTTCTCTTCTTCTTCTCTTGTTTTTCCTTTCTCTCCATGATATTATTTTCTAAAATCTATATAAACATGATAAAAACCTGAGAAGGCATAAAAAACTTCACTCAAGGTTAACTACAGAATGAGAGGGAAAGAGAAAAGGTAAATTGTTCCTAGTAAATCAATTGAATTTTGAGGTTAACAAGAGATGGAAACAAAGGTTTACCATCTATTACATATTCTTGATTGAAATAAATGATGTAATTTGATGGATCCCTTGATGATAATTAATTAAGCAAGGCCAATGATTAGCAAGTAAAAAAAAATAAATAATAAAATGCCAATGACTTTAAGCATAATAACAATTTTAACATTGTTATTGTTGTAATATTATCATGAAAAAGGATACAAGAAAAATAATAACATGAATAATATCATAACACAAATTGATTAACATAATCAATAAAATTATTACAAATCATCACAAATCATTAATATCATGCCAATGATAATATGATTAAATTAGTTTAAAGTTATTACATTGGTTGACAAAATTTTGAATTAAAATCATGAATTAACAGTTTACAACAATCAAAAAGAGACAATCTTTCAACCGGAAATCATATCATCATTATAGTAAATTTATAATCCTTACAAATTTTATATCCATCATCACAATTGAAATACTATACTGTTAAATTGTAATTCAATTGTGACATGGAAATAGATGACACAACATTTAATATGATTCCATGAGAAGAGGATAAAATTCATGGAAAGTTAATCGTTTTAATTCATTTTCCATTTACAACAAATCACATTTTTTTTCTCTTTTTTCATCATCATTAAGTTTCTGTAAACACAGAGAATCAGATTAACTAAAAGTGAGCAGAAAAGATAAACAAGTCTTGCTCTCTCTCTCTCTCTCTCTCTCTCACTACAAAACTATTGAACAATCAGACGCACAGTTATTAATTTAATTCAACTAAATGATAATGATTATGATAATAAGTAGTTTCCATCGTCAGAATCATGTTGATGGTGAAATTTTAACTACTCTTATTAACCTTTTCATGGTAAAAATTATCATTCTGTTGAAAAGAGCTTATCAAAATTGAAAAGGTCAATTAGTTATCATTGAATGGACAAAAATAGTTTCAATTTAATTCACTTTTAATCAAAAAATAATAAGTTACTTTTTTTACCAAAGTAAATTTCAATATGTCAAAAGCATCATAATTATCATCTTCTTCATCACCATCATCATCATCCCTCATCATAATCAAGTCAACTGAAAAAAGTCTATTTAAAACCAAGAGATAATTATAATTTTAATCACTTAAGAATATGACAATTTCTCTTGAGTAAAAATAATTGATAATAGTAATCATGATGATGACACTGATGATGATGATAGAAACCAATCAGAAAGAAGAAAAGTTTTCCACTCTAATGTAACTTCATTGACTATAACGGTATATTAATAATCATAATACTAAGGTGATTCTAATGATGAAAATAAGGTGAGCAATGATGATACATTAGAGATTCATAAATATAATGAGCGTGAAAACTTTTTGGTGATGATAAGGAAAAAAGGATGAGAAGGAGTGAAAATAAAACGATAACGAAGGATGAAAAAGTGGTAAAAGTGTAGGGAGTGGGAGGGAGATTCGAGATACATGTATAAGGTTAACTTGAATATACATGGTTTAAGTGTTACTTGTAATAATAAAGATTGGAAACAATTGAGAGAGAGAGAGAGAGAGAGAGAGAGAGAGAGAGAGAGAAGATGAGGAAGATAAGGAAAAAATCAATGAGACCTTGAGCATCTTGTATTAATATATTATTTTATTATTATAAAAACCACTATGAGCAGTCGCATCTTTATCATCTTCAATGTATAAGCTGAATATAAACTCATATATATTATCGAGCTTGTTTTTCATCATCATACAAATATAACAACAAAATAACAACAGTAACAGCAAAAAACGACAATAACATCTTGAATATGTACAAAAGCTCAACAACTTCTTAGTTTCATCTTCCCTTTACCTTTTCATCAATATCATCATCTTCATCTTTTCTCTCTCTCTCGCTCTACTCCTCCCTTATATTCATGGTGAGCTAAAGAAAACTCCAAGATATTGGTAAGACCTAAAGACTTTTCTTACAAGAGGATTATTCTTGGTTTTAACAAAATACTCCCTCTAACTTACTCACTCTTTCTCTCTCGCTCTCTCACTCTATTTCTTATTAAAATGCTTAGAAAGTTTAATTTTTTCTTTCATCAGAAAACTACTCTCAGTATAAATATTAATACATATGTTTATTGAATGAGTAGGTATGTTTGGAAAAGATGATGTAAAAAAATCAAACCAAAGGTAAACAAGAAAACAGATAACTGTAAATTCAATGGTAAATGTTGTAAGAAGGTGAATACCTTTGAATACCTGGGATTCATCATCTTGTGTTCATAATGAAAATGATAATATATTTTCATGGAAAAAGAGTAAAGAAAGGAAAGTCTTTGAAAAGATGAGGATAAAAAAAGATGACAATACATGTAATAGAAATCAATGTGAACAAACTTGATAACAATTTATTAGATGAATTTTAAAATTAAACATGACATGAGACTCACCATGTAAACTCAATTCATTTGAAACTTTTACCTTGTTAAAAATTCAAGTTAAAATACATTAACATACAATATAGAGACAGAGAGACAGAGAGAGGTGACACAAAAGTGAATTATTGATTAACAATCATTATTGATCATCTAAAACAATCAAAATTAAATTAATTTTGATTGTTTTTTTAATCATTTAAAGTAGTAACAGGATAGTCAAAGTGTTTTGTTACTCTAATCTTTTTTCATTATAAAATTCAATCAATGAGATATAATTGATTCAGTTGATAAACTATGAAAAGAGTTAATTTAGCTGAACAGCTCAGTATTAATAGTAAATGAATAAATGATTTGATGATTGTGTTTGAAACTTACTGGTTAATTTATTAATACTTTTGGATAATTAGATCATTTTAAGGATAAAATTAACACTTATTAATTGTTATCGTTATACTAATTATCATCTTCATCATTATCTTGCTTAGATTAGTAATCAAACTTGTATGAATTTATTTAGTCAAGCCTGTAAATGATCAGACAGTATTATCAAGGGATATGCATCATCAACAACAACATGGAATGATGATTAAAGTGATGATGGAGATGAGAGAGAGAGAGAGAGAGAGAGAGAGAGAGAGAGAGAGAGAGAGAGAGAGAGAGAGAGAATGGGAGATGAAGATAAAACTCTGGAAGAGGATGATAAAGGGAGAGTAATGGGAAAGAATCATGTGTGATTGATTTCAAGTCGATTCAAAAGGTGACACAGAATAATCGCAAGAGCGAATGTAATTCAGGCTCATGATTTCCAGATAAATTCAATGCAACAATCAGAGGGAATGGAAAATCATCAAGAGATGATGAAAGAGTAAAGGTAGGAAGAAATGAATAAAGAGAGAGAGAGAGAGGGGAGAGTAAAAAGGAAGGATAAAACGAGTAACTCATTTATTTTGGTTACTATCAGATATTGGAAGCCACAGCAATCAATTTCTATGCTTGAATGTCACCCAAACTATTGCTTGTTTCTGATCACGTAGAGATGATAATGTTAAGGTGAGAGATTTTTATTTCATTTTATCTAAACACTTTTTCTCTCTCACATCTTCCTGTCTCTTACTCCTTTCCTCTTAAATCGCATCTTCATCATCAAATACTGTAAATACGCGGAAGTCAGAGAAACAGGGGCTTCCCTTTCCAAAGTAATTTGATGATAACAATTAAAAAAAGTGATTCACTGAAAGAAAAAGAAACCAAAGTAAACTAATGTTTCAATTGAATCCAATTAACAAGATAAAAAACTGTATGTCTCATCAGTAGGAGATGAAACGATCCAATATAATAAAAAAATCTAAATGTATATAAGGTGATGCAAAGAATATACATTGTTAATTTAGTGAGAAAATTCTCAATATCCCAAAGCTTCCCAGAAAGAATAGAATGAGATTGGATGCCTTTTTTTTATCCCATTTAGAAAAATATTCTCGAGATGTTATCGAAATGATGAAATCAATATTATATCATCAATGGCATTGGAAAATGAACAAAGAGCAAGAAAATAAAACCTAAAT